AGCCTTAGGTTCTGCCGTCCGCCGTACCGCTGCACCAGCACCTGCACCTGCACTACGCTTCGCTTCGCTTCGCATGCGCAGACCTCTTTGCAGTAGCTGACTTGTGGTCTTGCCCGAGAAGCTACCTAATGAGAAGCAGACCTTGAGGGTTAGTTTGGTGGTTTGGTCAATGTGAAGTAGATTGGGCAGTCATGGATTGGTGGTAAGTTGCTGACGGGTGTTTGATGTGGTTGTAAGGGGGGGGAGAAGTCCGTACTCTGGAAGCCGAAAGTCTAATGTCTAATCCAACTAATGTTGAACGATCGTCGTCGGTCGAGCAAATATGCAATACGAGGCAACGAGAGACCTGTCTTGGTGATGTTCCTTCCTGAGGTAGAGTCGAAGCAGTGTGCGATCCGCAGGGATGAATAACAAGAAAAAAAAAGAGAAGAAGCAAAGGTGCAAAGGTGAGAAGGTGCACGGGACTAGAAGGTGGCAGGAAGGGGTCGCAAGCTCGGGGTTTCGAGTTGGGACGGAAGGAGGGGCCGCCAGATGGTGGTGGACTGTGGTGGTCGAGGTGCAACTTGATGGGATGACTGAGGTGAAGGCCACAGCAGGCGGTGACTGGCTGGAGCCGAAGCCGTGAGACCTGTGTCCTAGGAGACCTGACAATAAGGTGAGGTCAAGTAGTTGGAAGGAATGGAAGAGAGCCCAAATAAGGAACGGGGCTTGCTGATACGGGGACCGTGTGACGAACGAGAAGCTGACGATGCGCAACGCCCAATGCAAGGGACGGCAGCGTCCGTGACCCCGTTCCTGTTCCTGTTGGTTGATGTCGTCGTGGGCTTTCTGTGCCCAATGCAAGGTGCGGCACCTTGGAGGTGATGATCAGACCAAGGCTCAGTGCCCGTGTAGTTGCGTAAGTTAGTCTGTAGATACTCGTTGGATCCGGCCGGGCGAGATGCAATCTAGGACGGAACCCGGTGCTGCTGCTGCTGCTGCTGCTCTCTCTACGCCGAGGACAGATACAGAAGCAATGGATGATAGCAACGATGCAAGGTACGGATAGTCCAATCTAAAGGTCAATCAGGAGCGAAGAGTTTGGTTTCAATAGTTTTGCATCCGTAGGTAAGGTAGGTATTAGATAAGGCTGGGGAATTGCCCGATGTCTTTGCTTGATGAGGCGCAGTTTAAAAGGGACGGGTAATCGAGGATAAAGAACCGCTTCTCGGTCTATAACGAAACACACAAAGACCGGGAAGAGGCGTCTTGAAGCTAAAGTTTGTGGAGGCACAGAAGACCTCATAGTTTCTCCCGGTTGATCCCTTCAAAGTGCAGTGAGTGCCTTACCATGCGCTTCCTTGAGTAGCTGCTACCTTAACAAGGACAAGTGCGAATAATCCTGACGGGAGGCAAAAGATGCTGCTGAAGCCTGAACGGTGCGAATGATCAATCTGGAAGGCAAAGAATTGGAATGGGAAGGCAGGCCTAGGCCGGGGGTTCCTTCCCTCCTTCCCACCTATCCGCAACCACAGCGGCACATCTCACCTTGATCCGACCACCTCAACCAGACGGGACCTGCCAGATCTATCCCAGTTGGGCAGGTCCCTTAGAAGACGCGATATTGGAACTTGCGATGCAAATGGGCACGCATCACACACACACACATTACAATCTTCATTACCATCCAGACCCATGGGAAAACGCGGATAGAGTTCACTGTTGCGAGGAGCAGATGGCGAATGAAGTCACCGGCACGAAGAACACGTTATCCACGGTCTGACACCATCCCGAATTCCTGTCTCGGCCACATCATCAGTAAATACTACGAGATTCCAACAACGGAAATAGGATGAGGTTTGTTGTGTTTCGGCTTCCGGCTGGTTTGGCTTCCTTTCATTTTCGTCACCTCTCTCATACCACCACAGCCCACAATTCCTCATCGACACCATTGCGATGGATGCGCAAAGACAGCCCAGGACGAACAACCATGATACTGATACCACCTACCAGTAAAGCCCGTCGCCGTGCCATGCTGACGAGTCCTCCGTTTCTCCCGTCGCTAGGACATGCTTGGCTCCAAGCTCACCCATTGCGCAGCCAACCGAACGGACAGTCACGGTCGTGATCACGCATCCCTATCCTTAGGTACCCACTCCGAAGGAACAGCACATCGGCGGTCCGTCCGGTGCCCGTCACCAAGTTTCGCCATTTCGCCATGCGCCAAAAGACCAGACTTTACACGCGCCACGAGGCCCGGAGCAACCAGGGCATTCCCGTTCCCCATTTCCTCGTGGACACCAGCAAAGACGATTGGGAGTGGGAGGGGACCGGAGGGGCATCTTGCAGCGTGTGTGCAGCGGCTGGTCCCCCCCCCCGGCACAGCAAGGATGGCCCGGAGCCGCGAGCAGACAGCTGGCCCCAGACACGCCAATCAGATTCGTGGTGCATGTCGGTTGTGGTGAGAGTGGCAAGGTGATGCCCGCTCCGCCAATGCAGTTAATCTGCTTGCTTTTTGTCATCCGGGCGCGTCCACCTCAAATCACGGCCAACTGGCGAAATTGACAAGCCAGGGCAAGCCGGGGCGGCATGGAAACTCACATGCCGACCATTTCCCATCTGGACATTCTTTTTACCCATACTACGGATAAGGTAGGAGAATTTGGAGAATCAGAGTTCAGAAAAACAGGATGAAAGATTCTGCATTACATAATCTACCTGCATGACATTGACAAGCCTACGCTTTCAACCCCCCAGAATAAGCAATTCGATAATCGAAGCTAGCGAGATGGACCATCGGAGTTGTTTCCACAAGTTGACAAGTACACATGTGATGCGGCCCCGACCTGGCCGTTATCAGATACATGACAACGACACCTCTTCAGATGTACTATCCATCCTGACGCTGGCCTCTATGTTTCCTCTGACCTGACGCTGGCTTTTCTTTTGATCTCGAGATGGGTATGGCCTGCATTTGTTGAGTCTGACAGCCTGGATAAAATTCGGGGTAGCAAGTACATTCTGCCGGCGTCGGCATCCCGCCATGACACAACCTTCACAGAGGTTACTGAGCATGTCAAGGCCCTCAGACAGAGGAGGAAATGATTACGGCGTCACTTAAAGGCAGAACCCTCGATAGCTATGTCATCTAGCGGACGAGGCTGGTTACACAGAGTAAGTCTTCTGGAAAAGAGGAAGAAGTAAGAGCGACAAAGCAGACAAAGAACTACCGCTTCTTGTCCTACCCATCGCCCCTGAGCCACTGTCAACGGCGAGAGACAAGACATCAACGATGTGGAAGCAAGGGGTGTGCGCCATGAGGTTCGGCGTCAAGTTACATGCCTTTGAGTGTGTGGAGGGGGCTTTTCCAGAGTGCAAACAGAGACATATATATAGCAGTACACCTTTCAAGCACAGGCGGCCTATTTGCACGTGTATGTAAACTTACTATATATAAATGGCTCTCGATGCAGACCTAATCGAACCTTGAAAGAAGGCTTAGAAGCCATTGTAGGGTTACACTTTGGCAATCAACCTGAACTCATTATCCAAGAAGGCAAGCTGACTCTGGCGCCGGGTCCATCTTCTGCTGGTTTCTATGCCTTCAACAGGCCTTCCATCTACACCCCAACTCCCATCTGCAAGTCCTGAGCTCAGCAAACATTCAAACTTTGGTGTTTGCCAGGAAACCACATTGCAAATAGCAGAGCGTAGGCTTCCACTCGTTGCCTTACTCCCTATTAGGTGGATGGAGCCATGCCTGCAGTACATACGCACACGCTCTTCAACATGCAGTCTTGTAGGTTCGTGACAACTACCGCACGCAGTACGGATACAAGACGGGACACCATTCTCAAGGTGCGCGACGAATATGATGACTGCTGCTTCGGTCGTAACTCCACTCAATACCTGCCATCGGTGCCATCCAAGCCATGGCAAGTCGAGCTAGAACTAGACAGGTATCGCTTCAAAGCAAACCTAAGCGGTATTTGGACTAAGCCATCCCCACTCCATCAATTGTCCAGGCCACCCCGGCCACTAACATCTCGGCTCCGGCCTTAGCCTGGCAACTGGCAAACACCTCCCCAGTCGTCCCACCCCAAAGCCCCAAAATGTTCCAGCATGCTCTTCCATTTGCTCCAATCTTCCAGCTAGGTATTCATAAGAATTCTGTTCGTTATCCCAGTCTTTGGTGCACGTCCCCTGGCATAATCGACTTTAGCTCTTTTGGCCCAACTAGGAACTTCACCACCATCGCCGGAGTTTTTCCTGTCCCGAACGTCGGATCGTCACTGTAATTGAGGAAAGAGTAACCCGACTGAAGTAGATCTGTTTTACATCGCTTTTACATTGCTAGCACTTCGTACACCCTCGACTTTCACCGATATCCTGCCCAGCATCGCGTCGCTGCCCACGATCACCATTCAACGAAGGCCTCGGCCGCATACTAGAGAAATCATTAGTACGCTACGCCGGACGCCGGCGACACGTTCGAGCTCGTTGGTTTTGCTACACACCTGCCTTTCCTTTGGCTTCTGATTCCATTGCGACCAAGTCGCCCGTTGCGGAACCTCGCCCTACGACTGACCTATTTGAAGCGCGCCTTCCTGAGACCTGCACCGGCGCCTGCCGTTCTGTTGAACATCGCTACCCACCGAATCGAGACAAAGCCTCAAAGTGCAAGAGGAGGCAAGAGGGGTCGGACCGCACTTTCCCTCCTTGCTCACCCACCGTCCTGCGAATGCCTCCACCTTCAACCTGAGACGGTCGTTACTTCCCCTACCTATCGAGACAGAATCTGCCTCCAACTTCGATTCTGACTCTTTCTCAGCTGGTGACCTGTCACTTCAGAGCCAACTGAGACCTCGGCCTCATGGTACGCCCACGACTTTCACTTTTCCTTCTCTTGACAAACCACAGCCTCGTTAACCATAATGGATGAGTCCAGTCTCGCTCAAGGTCCTTTTTCGCTTCCGCCGCGCTGTCGCCGCAAACCCCGTAAACGATCAACCAAAAGCAAAATGTCATCTCACGGGACCCAGCAAGATGTAGTCGGGGCCCCCCTCTCAGGAGCGCAGGTCGCCCGCTCGAATGAGACTGTCAACTTCTTGCTAGGAAACCGACGTCCAGCATGGATGACTTCGCAAAACGTAGTACCATCCCACGGCCCTCTTATGAATAAGGGATCGACGTCGAGAAATCGGCAGGACGTTCAAGGTCCCCAGATGGCCCCAATGAGAGCATCTCAAACGCAGCCTTCAACACACGCTTCAAACACACCTTCTGCGCCAGGAGTCGTCACGATGTCTACTTTCCGATCGGCCGACAACTTACAAGACAAGCCTGCGGCTGCGCCTGAATCTAAACAACTCACAACGTACTTCCCCTACCCTATTTCATCTTCTAGAATCCCGCAGTCCTTTCCCTCGCCCAAAACGCCACAGCCGTCTCTAACGTTTTTCTCCGGCAGTGATTGCGCAGCCGCTCTTCCATCTCCGGCTCCGACTGACCAACCTAGTCCACCCACAGTCACATCGAACCAAACCTCGCGACAGTTTCGGGATAGTTTCTTTCGAAGTCCAGAGCTGGGGCTCGATCTCGCAGCCAACACCTCAAATGTAACGACGGCTTCAACAGGGGACACCCGCGCCCAGGAAATACCAGCCGATGTCCTGGTGCAAGATCTCTCAGGGGCTGGCTCTGGAACGGCAGCTATAGATCCGAGCAACCCGGTTCCTCTACCAACAAATCTTCATTCCTCTGCAAGGTTCTCCCTCTTCGAACCCAGCGAGCACCCAGGGCTCTTCCACTCTTCAGACGCGCTCCTTAAAAGACCGGCAAGCTCGGTGCCACCCTCTCTTGTCCTCAACTCTCAAGCCGCGCCTAGCCCTACGCCCAATTTGCCATCTCGACCGTCATCCGGCCAGAAATCAAGACCGACAGCAGCTGTACAGCCGCTTGCTACTGGTCACCACACGCCACAGTCTGCCGGCCAAAGCAAAGATGACTATCACCCTACCGGACAGCCCACAGGAAGTAGTCAGGACCCGTCAGACAGCTTCCGTCAAGTAGTCATGGCCAACCATCTCGACAGCTACGTGTCTAGTCGCGGCGGCATGGCCAAACTCCCAGAAGACGGCACCACTGCACCTAGAGTACGACTTCTCAAAGACGCCATTGAGAAGGCTGATTACTTCTATATAGTGCTTCACCAAATCCTTTGTTTATGGACGCTTGACACAAAAGGTGCATATGACCTCCTTGGTCTTTCTCCTAATGTGACGGAGAGCGCACTCAACATTGTGCAGAATGTCCTTCGGAAGAACACAAACATGAGCCATGAGACAGTTCTCTTCTTCGCAAGCTTTCCAGCTAGTAGCGCTTCTGGGCTATGGGCTACTGATGCCTACCGCAAGCACATCGGAGAAATCTCCGGGTTCCTTAACAACCTCCACGAGCAGTGGAACAGAATTTTAATTCCTGCCATGAGACCTCACTCAGGTAGAGGTTATCCTATCTTGGCAGACGAATTGCGCTATCAACTCAAACTTCAGTCTCCGATTCTACAGACTATTTTCTTCACTGTAACTAGGAGACATACTGGTGTCCAAGACGGCCCCATTGCCGATCAGATGACTGTGCTATTCCGACAAGATTCTCAGAAAGACCAAACAGAAATGTCCGAAGAGGAGCAAAAGATGTTCCAGCACTCGCTGATCTCGCGATACAAGATCTTGGTCAGTCAGAGTCAGCAGCAGGAACGGCAGGAACGGCAGCAACAGCATCAACAACGGCGACTAGCACAGCAGCAGCAGCAGCAGCACCAACAACAGCAGCAGCAGCACCAACAACAGCAGCAGCAGCACCAACATCAACAGTCGCAGCTGCAACAGCAAGTTTATCCACAGCAAGTGCCGCAGGACTACGCCAGAGCATCCGCCATGGCACGACAGCAAAATGCGATTGGCAATAATAGAAGGATGTCTACGAACTTTTTCCCAACCCAGGCCAGAGTGCCAACACCGACACAAAATTCTCCAACTCAAGGATTTGACATGTCTCCGTCCCCAACGGCTGAAAGTCTGGCCAGGATGCCAAATACCTTCAACCATCCCATCGGACCAGTGCCATCACAGTTGAGGCTTTTTAGTCAATCCCACGCGAACCAGCCCCTGACTCCAACAGGCTCGCCTCACTACCCCAGCATGCAATTGCCGCATGCTGCAATGGTGGCACAGACTCCAGGGCAGACATCTCCAGTTCTTCGAGCACCTCCAGGGGGGCTATCAATGTCCATGCCAACCCTAACATCGCCTACGCATACCGTCGCCCCCAGTCCTCCACAATATCAGGTTCAACTCCCTGGTCAAGGTTACCAACTTCTCCAACAAGCTCGCGAAGGGGTTCAAAGGCATCTTAGGTCCCGGCAAATGGACATTGCCCAAAACCAAGCCCAGGCTAATGTGCAACTGCAAGCTACGATGAGCTCCCCGAGACCGCAACCACTTCCTTCTCTGCGGCCCCCCTCTCTGCAGCCCCACGTAATACAGCAAGGGCCGTCTCCTGGAGCATTTGTGCGGACACCGCCAACGCAGCAGTTGCCTTCCCCTCAAATTGTTGCTCCTACTTCGCATGCGAGCCCAAGAGGTTTGGGAATCACGCAGGGAGCTCCGGGTACGCAAATAACAAGGCCTCCTTCAACTAGCTCGAGGCCCACTCGTGACGCGGCAGGACGGCTCATAGGCAACCTGTTCCGACCACCCAACGCATCGATTCCGCTAGATCGTATACCTCATACACCATGGGAACCAAAGGCTGTGGGAGTCGCACTTCACCAAGTCCAAATTCGGAGTCCAAGACGAGTGCCACGAGACTTACCCTGGTCGGAAGACCAATCGACACCCGTTAGGTTCTACCAAGCCATCAAAGAGCTTGCTCTAGGCCCTGTCTCAACACCGGCCAAGCACTGTGTGCACCGCCTTGTCTTTATGGTGTCCGACGAGTACTACAGCAAGCTCTGCCCGACGAGCAATTTGATAGGCGACGGTGTGCCAGTCTCGATGTACTTTGAAGGGTCTCTACGATACCGTCTTCGTCTCTGCGAATTGCCACTCAGCCCGGACGAACCGGCAAAGATCTCAGAATCTGTCTGGGCAGTAGCACAGTCTTACTGGCCTGAACATATCGCCATCAGGGTCAATGACAAGGCCGTTGCGGTACGCCGAAAGCAGCATAACGGACAGCACCTACCTGTAGAACTCACTCCATATATACGCCCGGGCACGAATTCGATAGCTGTCACCATCACTCCCATGCCCGCGTCTCAAAAGCCAAATTCGATGTACTTTATGGCTGTCGAGGTGGTTGAGACGCTGAGCCGCGACAACATTATCAATATGGTTTTGAGCCAAGGCATAATCTCGGCAGATACGACAAAGCAAGTTATCCGGAGCCGTCTGGAACCTGCGTCTGCCGATGGGGACGATGAGTTAGTTGTGGTTGGCAACGATCTCAGCATTGATTTAGCCGACCCTTTCAGCGCCACGATATTCAAAATTCCAGCGCGCGGCTTTGGTTGCACGCACATAGAGTGCTTTGACCTAGTCAACTGGCTGCAAACTCGGCCGGTCAAGCCTAGGTGTACCGCGCACGGGGCGGGCGAGGCATGCCGCATCTGTAATCGCGGAACGGAAGGGAGACCTGAGCCTTCCTTGGTTGACAAGTGGAAGTGTCCTCTCTGTGACGGAGATGCTCGCCCGTATAGTCTTCGAGTTGATAGGTTCATGGAAAATGTCCGTGACAGCCTCGAGGCTGAGGGCAAACTTCATACGAAGACAATTTATGTTATGGCTGACGGAACGTGGAAAGCCAAGGAAGAAGAGGCTGATGAGGATGATGAAGAGAATGCAGACAACGGCCAACCGCCAGCTAAACGGGCCAAAACACGGCCGTCGATACCAGAGCCAGAGATCATCGAGCTGGACTGATTGCGAGGAGGCCAGAGCTTTGGGCGATTGAGAAGGGACATAGGAGATGGCCCTCCTTCCCGCGCTGGGAGAAATTGCTTTTTATTTTGCTTTGCGTAGGCATTGGGATGCCGGTATGATACCATCTGCAACATCTGGGCGTTTGGGGAAATCGCGATAGGGTGGGATACTTTGCATCAAGGCATCGAGATCTTACCTCATCGCTTTATGAAGAGATTAGGAGAGACAACGTGATCTTAGCCATCGACTTTAAGCGACAATGACGAAGAGTGCTGGAAGCAATAACTATGTAGCTTTCAAAGCATGTGTACGAATACACACAGCATTTTAATACCAACCAAACCTGTCAATTTATCGCCGTGAGACCAATTGACACATGAAAGGTGTGTCTTTTAGCTTCATTCGAGACGTGTTGAGCTCAGCCATGAAAGCACTTTCCCAATCATCTCAAGTTGGACGAGGTTCAAGCTTAGTCAGGCAGAAAACCAAAAGAGGGTGGTTCGCTTCTTTGAGTGGTGTCTATTTAAGGTACGCCCCAAGGTCGGCAATGTCGGCAAGGCGAGGACTTGAGTTCCTCAGGGCTCAAGGTAAGACGACTGGCAACAAGGGAGTGGCAGCGGTGGTGATTGGGTCCAACACCCAGTGACATCAACCCTGGGCTGGCTGCCAGAACTTCAACCTGACACATGCGCGGTATCTGTACGGGTATCGACTCGACTTGACTTTGCGGGATAAAATTGACTTGCCGACCGTGAACTACCTTACCTTACTTTACTCATGCCTTCCTGGTGGGCGTTTTGCCATAGCTACCATCCCTTGCTTTCCATTGTTTTGGGAGACAGCTTGAGCTTTTGAGCTCGCGCCTCGGTCTCGGCTCCGCAGGCCAAGTTACATCTCCAATTCTACGCAGTAGAAGTCCATTGTCACTCAGCTCCAACGACGAGGCTTGGGAGAGGGCTCAGCCACACGCGTCTACGTCGCCTCCTTGTCGACATCACGTTCTTGTTTACGAATACCATCGAATTAATCATCGCCCATTGCCAGGAACGCCGGGACAGCGAGTCACCCAGGCTTTTATTTTTAGCCACTTCCGCATCCCGCGGCGACGCAGACGATACCGACGACGCCGACTGCGCCGACTGTAGGTTCTGCCTCTTTCCACCTCTTCCGACGGAACTCCCATCTCAATTACTCGAAGGCCTCTGATGAGCTGAAGCGAACCTTTCTTCTCACTCTATTTCTGCCATTTGTTCTTGGCTACCTCACCATACCTCACCTCTACACCTAACGCAAAGCTTTGCGCGCAGCCAAGAGAAAAAAAAAAAGACCAAGACCGGGAAAAAATACACACACCACCCCACCTAGGTTGCTTGGACTAGATTGCCCCTCATTCCAATTTGGAGCTCGCACGGTGCAAATACGTTCACTTAAGTGAGGTCGAGGAGCTGTTCTGCGACGTCTGGTGCGCCTGTTTGTCTGTGCCTCATCCCACCTCCGACCGGCAAAGCCACCATCGCAGAGAAAGGGTGGCAGCATATTACACCAAGCGCACTGGGTACCTGAACCATACACCACCAAACCGACGACACCTCTCACACCACCCCCAAAAGGATATCCTCTTAAACAAGGAAAGCGTGTGGACTGAGCAAACACCAAAAACTTCACAATCATGTCGATCAGAATAGCGCTCGACAATGCGCCAGAGTTCTACACCAACCTAGACAACGTCAAGGGCCGCGTCGTGCTCCACCTGAGCCGGCCAGAGCAGATTGGCGGCATCGTCGTCAAGCTTGAGGGCGAGTCCAAGACGGCCCTCGGCTTGCCGCAGGAGAGCTACCACGAACGTAATACCCGGCCCGGAGGCGGGCCCGGGAGCATCGCGAGCGAGAACCATAAAATCCTCTACCGGGTCGCACAGGTCTTCCCGACGTACGAGGAGGAGCTCGGCGCCGGCGGCTCGAGTTTCTCCCAGAGCTACGTCATCCAGGGAGGCCAGCACGAGTTCCCCTTCAACTTCAAGCTGCCCATCAACAATGCCTGCAGCGATCCCGTCACCATGTCCAAAATTGGTGGCATCGGCGGCATGGGAGGCTTCGGCGCCGGCATCGGACCCTTCGGCCTCGGCGGCGCCCGGGTCATGGACGGGAGCAAGCAGCTTTTCCTCCAGCACGTCACCAAAACCTTGCCGCCGTCCTTCACCGGGTTCCCCCGGCAGGCCGAGGTGCGGTACTACCTCAAGGTCACCATCCAGCGCCCGGGCTTCTTGAAGGAGAATTGGCGGTACCAGATCGGCTTCAAGTTCATGCCCATCGAGCCGCCCCGGCCACCAAAGACCTCACAGGAGGCCTTTGCCCGTCGCCCTTTTACCTTCAAGCCGCGGCCCCGGAGCTTGCAAACAAAAAAGTCAACCATTTTTGGCGGCAGGGACGACGGCGCCGGGGACGGCAACGCCGTACCCCCGTCCATCGAGCTCTCCGCTCGTCTGCCGCACCCCCCGATCTTGACGTGCAACCAGCCCTTACCGTTACGGCTCATCGCCAAGAAGCTCGTCCCGTCGCATGAGCAGGTTTACCTCACCTCCATCCAGATCGAGCTCGTCGGCAAGACAAACGTGCGATGCCACGACCTCTTCAACACAGAAGTCAGCAAATGGGTCGTCGTCACACAATCCGGCCTCAGCATCCCCCTCCTAACAGACCCGACCTCAGAAGACCTGAACCTCGAGAACGTCATCCCAGACGAGCTGTGGCGCACCATCCCCTTACCCAACACCGTCGCGCCCTCCTTTGTAGCGTGTAACCTCCAACGCTTCTACGAGCTCGACATCCAGCTGGGCTTGTGCTGGGGTAAACCGCCCACGCGGGGCGGGTTCCTCAACTCGACGAAGGAAAACCCCGCGGCGCAGACGATATACCTCCCGCTGCACTTCTCCAAGATCCAAATCTACTCGGGCATCGCGCCGCCGCCGCAGCTCCTCGAGGCGCTCGCGGCGCAGGCAAATCGGCCCGGCGCCGCGACGATGAGCATGCCGCCTAGGTTACCACCGCGCACGGCGCAGTCTGCCCCCGCGACGGCGACGCAGGGAAGACCGCACGCGCAGAACCAGCAGCAGCAGAGACCACCGCAGCAGCAACATCCGGCAATGGCGGCGCCGCAGTATGACCCGTTGTACCCCCCGCAGATGGGCACACCTGGCGCGGCCAACTTTGACGAGGCGCCGCCTAGTTACGATGAGGCTATGGCTGCGGAGGCGCCTGCGCCGGGACCGGAGTCGAGGCCGGCGTATAGTGGCGTTACGAACGAGAATGCGCCGAGTCAGATTCCGGAGAAGGGGAATTAGAGAGGTGGAGTGAGATACAATGAGTTTGGGAAAGTTTCTTTTTTTGGTTCAATGGGACTTGGACTCTGAGAGTCTCGAGGAGATTCTTGGTGGGAGGGATGAGATACCTTGGGGGAATTAATGAGTAATGCCGGATTTCGTTTGGGGGTGTTTTGAGAGGGCTGGCGGGAGCTCGACAGATGGGCATCGTGGCATAGGGGAGATGAGGGATGGGGGCCGGTGACGAAGCGTTATTGTTTATTATACCATGATCAATATTGAAGGGATGTTGCACTTTGAAAGGTACATGATATCTTCCAATGATTCTGTTTTCGTGGGGGGCTGTTGAAGATGACGAGATGAATGCTTCGTGTACTTAGTACTCGTGATCTCTTCGACTCCAGATGAAGCAGAGCTGGAAAGGCTACCCTGACTAGGAACCCATTCGGGAGCACAGTGTATCTCATTGAGTATCTAGCTATGCTTGACGGCCTCCAGATATAGGTTATTACCACCTTCAAGGCCAGAGCCGCCTCCAAAAGGTTTTCACAGACCTAGAGATGTGATCTGACTGATAGTACCTTTGGACCATTGCAAGTGCACACACAGGGGCGCGAAATTTTCACGTACTTCAGATGTGACATTTCTTCCGCCCCTGTCAACAATGGACAGGCCTTCAATCTCTGGGTTGGAATTTGCTAAACTACTTATATGAAGCCGCCAGTCGTGAGCTTGTCCCCGTCTTCCATAGCGCGAGGGCAGTAGGTATTCAGTGTCCGCAACGTGCTCTGTTTCGGACGTCAGGCATGACCTAAGTGCTGTCAAGGTGTAGAGTGGTAGATCGCATCTTGGGATAGGTTCAGGTAAAGCTGCACAAGATAGGTAGGTACTTCATTAGGTTCAACTCTACCAGCCAAAAGAGCTCCGTGTCCTACCTTACGTCCCCTTTCTTGTATTCAGCATTGGATACTCCGAATATGACTGAAGATTAGATAGGATCGCCCGCCTTATTGATCGTGTGCGCGAGAGGTTGGCAAGAGCTTTCCATGTACCTTTGGGCGACGGTCGACTGCGCGGAAGACGTCTCCTCCGGCCCCCGGATCCCATCTGATTGACGAAAAAGTGTTGTTGCTCCAACAGTTACAGGCACATCTGGACTTTCGGATTTATACATAGCGGTCCGCGTGAAGGAATGGGCTCCTTCAGCTGGCGGATTGGCATTGACACAACAGATTCATGTCAGAGGTCGGCTGTAACATCAAGGCAACGAGCCTCTGGAGACTAGCTCAAAGTCCTGGCGGTGGGATCTCTAGTGAGCACTGGCCTTCAGGCAGTCAGTTGTCTACAATTATTGAGGTGTCTTCGTTGACGAACCTCCGTGGCACTGCCTGAACTTCGGGAAACTTGGTATTTGCGATGCACACAATCTACTAGTACGAAGCATCTGAACTGGGGCGCTTTGGTCATGCATGTGCTTTCGTGACGGGCGTCCTCGACTCCTCTCCCTGTTGTATCTTTCCGATCTACAAGTTACAATGCGTCTCAATACTTACACGTCTACTTCATCTAGTCCATAACGCCATTGCTCGCCATTTCCATCCCTTTCCCCTGTCATACTCTTATACAGCTCATAGTAGAGATTACAGTCATAGCCAGCATAATTATACATGACTCTCAAAGTGAGTCCATCTCACACCTCATACAACAACAGCCGCCTCATAACCCCTCCTTGGCCAACATGTCCGCAATATCAAGATAAAACGCTACAGCATTGAACGTCCTCGTCTGCCCCATCCATACCTTCCTCAATGTCCACTTGAGCCGATTCGACCAATTAATCAAATCCAAGTGGCTCACGTCCAGCAACGTACCCTGATACTTCCCCCACCGACTACTCGCGACACTCACCAACCCATCATTCGCACCCTCGGCCTCCTCAATAACCCAATGACTCTGCCGAAACGGACTCAGCAGCGGCGGCCGATCCGTACACGCACCGTAACTAAAATACCGCACCTCATCGCTGTCCGGCGTTGCAGGATTAAACTTCTCCTCCATGTACCGCTGTGTAAGCTGCTCAAAAGCCTGCGTCCCCAACCCAGCACGCTCAATAAGACCATACAAATTTGCGAGCTTAATGGGTCCCTGCCCGTCAAGCAAGTAATCCGCAAACGCGCTCCCGCGATGCGGCGTCGCGACGGTGACGAGGCTGAGCACTTTGACGTCGCGCGGCTTGAGGTGGGAAATCATGTAGCGCGCGTCGAGCCCGCCCATGGAGTGCGCCACGATGTTGACGGCGCGGCCGCCGGCTTTGGCGGCGATGTCGGCGGCCAGCTTGGCGGCGCGGTCCTCGATGGACGCCGAGGGCGGGACGGAGGTGGTGATGATGTTGGACGGGCCGGAGAGGGTGCTTAGCGAGTCGGAGATGCCGCGCCAGTAGTGGATTGGCGGGACGTAGGCACCGAGGCGCAGCTCAGAGAAGCCCATCAGTCCGTGGGCGAGGACGATGGGGTTCTTTGGCGTGTCTGTTGTGCGTGTAAGTGTGGGTGGATCATTGTGGTTGGACCGAGGCGGGGGGGAGGGAGAGGGGGAAAGCAGGAGGACTCGAAAAGAGGTGTTGGGAGGGCAATATCCTAGAAAGAGCAAACAAGTGAAAGGGGAAAGGATCGGATCGGTTGAAGGAGGGGGGGGGGGGGGGGGGGGGGTAAAATGGTACCATAGTGTTCTCTAACGACGGCATACTCGTCCGATATCTGTTTGCCTAGGTCTCTGAACCTCGGGTCACCGTCGTGCTTCGGCCGCAAGGGCGAGGCGGAAAATGGACGGCTGTCCCGAGCTGCAAGAGGGCGAAGCAAGCGATGAGACGCGGTTGGCGCACTAAACAGCCGGGAGGAGGGCGCGCGAGGGCGGCACCTCGTGAGGCATGCGCTGTTCATGGCATGGAAGGAAGAGCGCAGGTTGCCGCGCGCGGGGTGGTGGGGGGGAGGAGAAGGAGGAGAGAGAGAATCTGGAAAGTCTGGAGGTCTCAAGTTCTAGTCACTTGATGAGCAGTGGATGTACTCTCTGTTCAGGTTGTAACCTGTTGGCCCCCCCTTTGTTCTGTACCGGATTGTTTGCTTTGCTTGTTTTTCTCAAGGATGTGAATGGCCTGGTCAAGTCCCGGTTCATCGACTTTTTGTTTTCTTTACAAGGTTTGTAATGGAGTGTGGAAGGAAGATGCTTGCTCTGCAATGTCTGCAATGTCTGCATGTGTGTGTGTGTGTGTGTGTGTGTACTGCGGAAAGGAAGGAAGAAACGCGCATTTCTGAGCAATGAGAGGTGTTTGCCAAGCATGTTTAAGCGCCCGGCTCTTTGACGTCACGCAGGACCGCGGCCGCGAACGGTTTAGCGCGACAGCCGGGGGGTCTCTCGGCCGAGGGGTCCACCGTGCGCTGGTGCAAGTGGGGTCCCTTTGGGGCCTGGCTTTGCGGGCACGGCGGGCTTGCGGCTTACCCAGGTGGGCTGCGGCCGCTAGTGATTAGTGGACGGATGTTTCCCGCACAATCCACCGCTTGGTCAGAGCTTCTTTCTTCCACTTCCTCCTCACAGTCAGGGTAGGGATACAGGCTATGGCCTGTGCGATCTGCGCCCTTGTCGGCCAGGGGTTGGGACGGTCCATGGATGTTATAGCTTGTTGGTGCTGGTGTTGGTTCTTGTTGCTTAGCTTCGCAGGCACGCAGGCCAACACTGCACACTACCAGATGCTGCCCTGAAGTTTACCAATCTTGTTCCGCCCTCGGGTGCCAGTCCCTGTCCGTGGTCTTGTTCTTGATCAGAGTTCAGACTTTCCCGTCCCTACCTTAGGTTCCCCGTCACCCCGTCCAACTGCCAAAACCAACGCCCGCCGGCTGTTGGTTCATCTCGTTGCTGTCGTCTTCCACCGCCATCTTTGAGGGTTGTCAAGGTGTGAGGGCGGCCGCATCATGCAAGCTGCAGTCGCCTGCTGTGCGGTGCGGGCGTGCGCACACAGTTTGTTGCACTGCACCTGCCATGCCAGGCCATGGTAGGAGACAAATCTCGGGTACGTCGGCCATGATCCATCGGCTCCTGGCGATCTGCCCTCTCATTTTCCTCCCTGATCATCCTCTCTTCTCTCACTGGCACTGCACCTCCATCATCGATGCTACCGTTGGCCGGCCTCAGAACCAACACGCACGAGACAGGAAACCCGCAAGTCAGGCTCCGATTTCGAAACCTGTCTGCCCCCCCAGAGTGTGTTTGCCCTTTCGCGAATGATATCCCATCATTGACTGTTTCCCCCGCTCCTAGGGCCACGTCTTGATTTCCTGCCCCCAGCCCCCAACGTGTCCACAGGCTTAAAGTTGAAAGGACTGGCTTTAACTGGCTGTAAACCAATCTGTTCAACACCCTGACGCGGCCAAGCTGTAGGGCAGATGAGAGCAACGGCTGCTTTCTCCATTGGATGGCGGCCCCCTGCTCACCGGCCATCGTAGACCAACATGGCCTCACTGAATGACCGTCCAATGTAACCTCCTCATCTGCGCCGCCCGTGGATAAGCAGGCCGCAACCGCCAACCTTGCCTGCTTGATTGGTCCAGAGCTCATGCTGAAGAGGGCCCGGATCTGCAAACTTTCGACTGTTGCACCGTCGAACCGTTCCGCTGGGACGGCTTCGCCCTCTCACGCCCGCCATCCACACCCACACTTGTGTTTGTTTGCTTGCCTGCCTCGCTGGCTCGTTGGGAGGCGTCAGTGCCTTCTTCTTCCTTCACGGCAGTTGGGCCTCTTGAAAAAAAAGCCACTCAGCACTGCTTATTGTTGTTCATCAGTCAAGTTGTGATTTGTCTTAAAGGTATCGTCATCGTTGTGTTGTCAGTCACCCACTAGAAGTGTCCGCGAAGTCGCCCGGTTGAAGGTCGACTGAAGAAAGTTCTTGTTGGTACAACGTCTCTTCCGTAGTGGATGTATCCATAACGGATGAAACCGCGGAAGCTGATGGTGTGCCCGTTTGGATCGACCCCGGCCTGGTCCTGCGTGTAACTACCTCCATCTCCGTCGGGCCGCTCGTCTTCATTGTCCACGGCCTCTGCTGTCTGCAATCATCCATATCCCAACCCTCGCGATTATGCAGACCGGTCTGCAGGAATGCTTGACCCATTACACACCTGGCTTCTGCCGCGTGTATGTATATATCCCCAATGCCCGGCGCGCTTCTTCCTTTCCCGCTCCTTCTCTCGGCATGTCCAGCCACCCGATGATCAAGCGACGCAACGTTCACTGTCGCCTGTCAAGTGGAACGTGAGCACAATGACAGGCGACTGCGGAGACTCGTGCCCCTACTCGGGGGGCTTTACCTCCTACTCGCCTTCGGTGATTGGTAGTGCCATCTTTCTGGTAGCCTTTGCGCTGCTCGTGCCTCTAGCCTTGTACCAAGGCTTTCGTTTCAAGACGCCCCTATTCGCGTCTACTCTGGCGACTGGTCTTCTTCTCGAGGTCTTGGGCTTCGCTGGAAGGTTGAGGCTTCGAAACGATACCGCCAGCAGGACCTCATTCTCCCTGTGGCTCATCGGCGCCATCTTGGGCCCTACTCTCATCGCAGCGGCCATATGCCAGATCCTTCCCCATGTCATCGCCCTTTACGGTCTCGGAATTGGCTTTAGCCGGCCAAGAGTCACTGTCTTGTTCCTCATCTTTGCTCTTGCTCTCGTCGTTGCGCTGGAAATTGCCGGGGTTGTCTCGGCTGTCTTTGGACTCGGTGGTGTTCAGGTATGGGCTTTATGATTCCTCTTCCCTAAGGTTTCCATCTCTAACAAGCTACCACAGACGCCTTCGATTCTCCTTGCGGGATTAGGCGTCCAGATATTGGCGTTGCTGCTCTTCGTCGGACTGTTCCTCTGGTTCACCCAGAAGCTTCCTGATCCAAAGCACATCGCCGTGTATCAAGCACCGCGGTTCAAAAACTTTGTCAAGAGTAAGTAGACCCGTTGCTGGATAAACGATATGGCCTGACAGTATCTTCCCAGTGATACCAGCAGTGGCGGTCGTCTTGGTGGGGCACACCATCTATCGCCTCGTTGAGTTCTGGGATGGACTCGATAGCCCTCTTCAGCGGTCGGAAGCCGCTTCTCTGGTCATCGGCGGTGCTTTGCCATTCCTAGTCGCCTCAGTCTTATGTGTATATCATCCTGGCGCATCTTTCGGTCGGGCGTGGGGTCTGACTTCGCCGCGATATCGATCGTTATCTCTGAAGTCGCGCCGCGGTGCTCCATCGCCGCTGCAGTCGCCTACTGCACCTTGGGATGACCACAAAGGGCCCCGTCAGCCGGGATTCACTGCCACACGATTCCCAGATAAGAAGATGTCGCCCGTCGGAGTTGGTCCAGTTCCCTTGAGAGAGTCAACGATGGCAAGCAAGGTTGCCGGTAGCCCCGGCAATAGATCGGTCACCTACCCAAGCCCGATTGCTTCGACACACAAGTTGAGTCCCATCGGCTCACAACACAAAATGAGCCCAACCTTCCAGGGCACTCAACAGCAGCCGACAAATCCCAATCGCTACAGTAACACCAAGCCCAATGCAAAGCCAATGGTAAATAGTGAAGAGTTGTGGTAGCGAGAATTTGGTAAAGAGTGTCTTGGGCCTGGTATTGTTGATTTGTGCAATGGTTATGGTATAGCCTCTTTCATGCGGTTGCGCGGCGTTTGACATTTTCGGTGGCGGTGAATGCTGTGGACTCTTGTCTTTCTGTTACCAGGATACCATTCTCCTGTATATACCTTGGGCGGCTAGAGTTGATCTCGATATTTACATGTACCCATAGGCTCTGCATTTTGAGATGTAGATTGCTTGAGGTTACAAAGTAAAAGCACCCGTAGCTTTCCTCCAAAAGAAGTATGCCAAGCCGAAAGCGGCGCCTCCGAGGTGTCCGGCATGTCCCACTCCTGTGTCTCGCTCGGTGCTCAGGCAGTAGGCGTCCACGGCAAACATTCCTAGGACAACGACGCGCAAGGGCAGAACCTGGTTTGTTCCGGAAAGGCGGACCTTCATCGTGGGAAACATTAACGCCAGGGCTGTGCCGAGACCAGTCAAGGCTCCGCTTGCTCCAACAGCTGTCCTCTCGGCACTATTCTTTGCTTCCCTTCCTCTCTGGGCATTGAAAATGTGACAAAGAGAAGCGGTGATTGCACTCCCGAGAGACAGTACAACAAATCGTAGCGGTGATATACCGAGTAGATAGAACGACTCGACATAAGTTTTGTATGTTGACATGTTGACGAAGAGGTGCAAAGGCTGGATGTGACTGAAGGCTGAGGTGAAGAAGGTGAGTAGTCGCGGGTTGCTTGAGCTGAGCATGAAGTACTTGTGAAGAAATGCTGAAAGACGCCTGCGATCTATCGGGAGCGAAGAGAAAATGGGATGGAGGGCGGCGAGCCAGGCGAGATGGATAGCAATATTGGTCACGGGAACTCCGTAGAAGAGGGCAGTCCAGACTAGTCCAATCTTGCTGGGTGCGAATCTTGAAGGATATCCAAATACTGATAATGATGCCATATTGAGGTTTTCTTCTTGAAAGACCAGTGGGCACTTGAAAAAAGAGGCAATAGACGGAGACGGAGATCTTGAAGTAGCGGTGTTGGGTATGAACAAGATGAGACCCAATATCTCGGAGGTGTCCTCAGAGGTTTTTGGGTTTGTGTGGGTCGAACTAGTCTTGATACCGCGATTTCATGAAGCTCAATGTCGAATCGCGTACAATGGTGGCCAACTGCAAAAAATTTGTAGATTGTACAGAGTCTAGATGGCGTGAAGCTGTCGCCTTCTGTCGAAGTAGATTCTTGGGTTTGCAGTACTCCGTTTTGGAAAGGAGCCCAAGTCGTCGTGCGGTCCGCACGGACCATGCGGGTTCAAGAAGGAATGGTCTGTGCCCAAGGTGCGTGGATACGTAGTGTTTGACAGTGCTGATCTTGAGCCGAGCACTGTAAGTTCTTCCTCAAGCATCCAATTGTTCAGTGTTCTGATCAGCAACTTCTCAAATTTTTTTCATTCACACGTTTCCTCCTACATAATTCGGACACATCAACTTCTGCCACTAGATTTTGCCTTCCTTTCTGCTGCTCGTGAGCTTTCCCCGATTTCTCTTGGTGTCTAGTTATCTGTCTGCTTGCCAACTTGACCAGCGCCTTCCCCCTTCTCGAGATCCACCATCTCGACATCTTCAGACAGGCCACCTACAACCTCAACTTGCCCGGCGTCATTTTCCAGCGGCTGGCTTCCGGCGCTCTCGCTGCGTACATATACAGTACTCCGTGACCATCTATTCAAAACGCTTTTCCTATTGGAAGTCGCTGTGGATGTCATCGTGTTTCTCTTGCTTGCGGCGCCCGTGCTATCCAACTGGCTGCGCATGCCGAGCATCAAAGTTACATGCCGAAGCAGAGGCTGCAGTGCTGGGAAACAACCGACCCAGAGACCAACATGAAGCTCAGCGTCGGTCCACGCAGCTACTGTAAGCATCTTGTATGTGCTATTTCGTGTTAGTTTGCTGAAGATGCCACGCGTTCGCGGCAAGGAGTACTTACGTGTTGACACTGAAATCAGTCGTGACGATGATGGAAAAGCGAACGATGCCGGTGACGACGGCAAAAATACCCAGAGAAAACACGAGCAAAATTTGTATAGCCTTGACCCCCATTTTGACGTAATTCGTTACGACACACAGCGGAAGGACAACCAGCATACAATCAACAAATATGCAAATCATGGCATGGGCCAGCATCATCGATCGCTCCTCTCGTTTGTCCCTGCATTGCCGCCATGTGCTGGAATAATTGAAGACATCGCTAGGGCACCGAGTCAGCCAACCATTGCTACATCTCAGGAGAGGGTTATCTCACGGTATCTGCGAGCATTCTGTCAAGACGAAAAAGAAACCCGACAAACTTGTTATGATCACAATGGCATTGAGGGCATAAATGCTCCAGGTATACACCTCTGGCAACGAACATCAGCGATTCGTCTTGTTGGAGACTGGAATCATCATACTGTTCTTGCTCAAGCGCGGAAGAAACGCCAATATGGATAAGCGTACTGCACCAGAAGCGAGGAAGTAGACCAATTCCATGATGGAAAGCCTCTATTCGCAGTATGTCAGCTCTGTGGAAGAAGTTCCAGGGACGCTTCAACGGACCTTTAAAAATTGAAGCAGCGTCGGTCGGGGAACATCCTCAATCTGGGCCCCGGTGCCATAGTTGGTCGTGTCCATCTCAAGGGCCGAGATTGTGACACATAAGGCCTGGTTCCCAGTGTTAGTCCACAACTTACACGAGGGAACGGCTTTACCTACCCATGCTATTATTGCAAGGAAGTCATCCCAGCCTAGAGCCTTTGCTATAGTCTTGCGCGTGAATAGACGGAGAGAGACTAATAATGTCGACACAATAATCAGAGCTAGGTTTAGATTGAATATATGGTGTCCACCCGAGTTAGGGTGGTACCGCAAGGATTGTCCGACTTCAACCATTTTAACTCGTCAACACAATGTCGTTGGGTTTGAGTGCTTCGAAAGCTTCGAGATTCTTGCCTTTCATGGAAGAGACCAAGATCATGTGCCGATTATCCGAGGCGGCCGATGATTATAATGGAGTCGTGGACCACAGTTGCCAGCGTTGAGCCTATGCGAGACACATGGGCTACGGAAACATCTACGGACGAGAAGGCACTCGACGCCCAAGACATAAACCAAGCCCCGTTGCGAACAACTTGTGCACTTTCTCACGCCTTTAGTCCCCATACAGTCAGACACTGGAGTCTACCGAGCATGAGAAGCCTCTGGAGGCGAGGTCCAGGCTGGGGAAGAGATGCGTCGATGAGCCACAACACCCTCCGGGATCGCCAATCGCCGCTAAAACTAGAGAGCAAGCCTCAACACCGGTCTCAGAAGCTACGTCTTCGGCCGGGAAGACGCGGGGTGGCTAGGTAGGCGTACCAGGTGGCTCACGACGCGCTGAACGATCTGTGAACAGGGACTTGAGCTGAATCTGAGAGTTGGCAATCATGATACACTATTTTTGGGGGGTTTTATCCCCTTGTATCATAGGATTGTAAGTATGGACTGTCTTTCTATCATCAGAAGAGGTTGTAATTCTGTCCTCGTCATCACGCAGATCACATCGGGCAATATCGAGAGGTCTCCTCTATTTTCACATTCCGTTCCCGGATGTTTTCTTCTTCTTTCTTCTCTCCTTCGATATCCTTCGATATTCTTTCTCGCCGAAAAGAAAGGTTCCAGAGAGCTTTTCCAACGGTTGTGTTTCTTCGGCAATGACTGTGGATGATGCTTCTCGAAAGCTTGGCCTAGACCTCGAGCGTGACCTGACGAAAGCGTCCAGATCCAAACCTTAATGATGGCCTCAAAAATGTAAAGCATCGCCACTCGGTTGTAGCCGAACAATACCCATCGCGGAAAGAAGCTTGAGTTTTGCAGCGCGTTCAACGTTCGATGCCCCAAGATCGGGCTGTGCTTACTCATGCCCAAAACGGCACATGCATTCCTCGCTATTGCCGCGATCCAGGCCCTCCCTTGAAAGACACTTGCATCTGATTCAACTTAGCATCCCACCGAACAAGCCCGGCGCCCTCTTATCAATAAACTTGGCAGGAAGACAGTAGTTCTTTCATCGATGCCCCTCGGGACACATAAGTAAGCAGGGGAGCCTGTCAGCGATCCAGACGAGTTCGGCACTCAGAGGCCAGGCAATTTACTCCATACATCCCTCATTGTTCTTGAAATCTGATCTTCCTTTCGGTTGGTCTTGGCATACGACGCCCTTGACGAACGCGGCAATCGCTGATCCATAACAACAAATCGAGGGGCAGTCTTGGCCTAATTCCACATCCTGCGTCACTTGTTCCGCCGGCTCGCGGAGAGAGAGGGGGCCAAGGGCTTTTGAGAATTTCAAATCGAATGATTTACTTCATCACCTAAATCCGAAAAGTCGTTCAGAGAAGCCGGGCACCTGCCGCGAGTTTGGAAGGTAAGATTTGCAGCAAACTCTCTTCTTCATTATTCACTTTTAGCTTACCCCAACTCAAAGGTTCTGCTTCAACCTCATCCCTTGCAACACCCTCAGCTCTGCCAACTTGGCTCGAGACACTGCACAAAGATATCTCTTCCTCTTTCTATGGAGTAAATCCAACGAATGCTTCAAACCAAAAGCTCGGAATTCGGGCATTGCCAAAATCAGCACCGACCAGATTAGGGTCCGAGAAGGAGGATAAGCAAAGGGAGAAGAGCACATGCTGGCACGTCCGTGGCACACACCAAACTAGCAAATCGCCGTTTTCATCAGGACACCAAACAAGAAACCCCATCAGCCTCCAAGCCGAACAATACCAGAGAGCAAAGTTTTCTTCCTAATGAGTACCTCGTCTCAATCCGACATCCTCGCCCCTGCCGCCGCCGACTCCGCCGCCCAAACCGTCAACACCCTTCTCCTCCGCACCTACGCCCTGCTGCAAACACCTCTGTCCATCCTGAAGCTTCACCAGGCCCTCAACGCTGCAGACCAGGCCCTCGCGATAGCGGCGCATCTGCACCGCTTCGACCTCGAGCCCCGCGCTTATTTGTACCGTGGCCATGTCCTTAGTGCCTGGGGCCGCTGGCGCGAAGCTCATGCCGCGTACGTTCGGGCTGCCAGCGTGAGGGGGGTCGGGTTCGCGGGGACTAATATCCGGGGCTTGACGAGGGATTGTCTCACGATGATTGAGTTTGAGGACGCGAGGAGTCGGGATATAAAGCGCGCTCTCGAGATTGACGGCAAAGCAAAGGATGGGTTGAAGATGGTGCGATTTAGGGACGAGGAGATGGTCCTCAAGGCGTTTTACGATTATGATGACGATGATACTTATGACGAGAACGACGACGACGAAACGCAATCTGAAGCGAGTCACAGTGGGCTCTATCTTATTTTGAATGGCGGCGGGGAAGTTGTCGGTAGCCGGGATAGTCTGCCTGATCTAAGGAGTGTACGTGGTAGATCTGTCAGCAGATCGCCGACGCTATGAGTATAAGGGGCCTTATAACGGTCGCAATTATGAGTATAATTTCAAGAATCTTATGATGGCTGAATATCGCTGCACAGCGCTGTCATGTGAGATACTTACCTGATCCATCTGAAGGCTCAAATAATTAGTTGAATGCCTGATACTCCCTTGCCTAATTGCCTTTGTGAATAATAACCATTGAGTTCTTTGATGGTATTGTAAATGTCGCGGCATGTTCAATCTCCAAACAAGCATGGACACCAAAGTCTTTGTGTTCTGCGTCTCCCTTGTATCGTCCTCTCGATACCTTGCTTCAAGCATCCAGATGCTCCCACCATGGAGTTACTAGAAGACACGAGAAGACTCAACGTCATCGAGGGTTGGGTCAAAGATTAGTAGAAAAAGGAGAACCCCTATATCGAAAAAGTCGTTGAGGGTTTGATACTCATATTTCGTTCGACCTGCCTTCTTCTTCTCTCAAGTATGAGCTAACTAAACTGTCTACTTTCTCATCCCAATTTAATAGAATACTCGGGCGGCATGTCGGATAAAGAGAAACCAACTTCAACGGTGCCCGGTGATGCACACAACAGTGGAAATGATTCCACGACACCCTCCTTTTCCTCCACCACCACCGCACCAGCTGAAGATAGCTCTGCTGACGCTGGATCGAAGGATTCTCAAGCGACAGCGGAGACTTTTTCGGCCCCCAAAGAAGTCTCGCAAGAGTCGGACCCAGAGAAGGAGGCGACCTCGTCTCCAGCCCACGGCCAGAACCCCTCTTCCCAGGAGAAGCAGCAGTCATCAGGCGAGCGAGAAGCCGAGCCCGGAGCAACGGGGTCTTTCAACCAGACAAATACCAAACCAACACTGGGCTCAGGCGCCCTCAGTTCCCTGCTATCCGCGCTCGGTGGCGATATTGCATCACCTACCAAACCGAAGGCCCCCGAGATCTCGACAGATGGGAGTCGTCAGACGCGCAACACATTGCTAGTTCCAATCGTTCCCGATACAGAAATTGTCAGCCCCCTCGAGCTCACGTCTTCCGCCACTCGTACACAGTTCCAGCCGTCGACGCCAACACCAGCAGCCTCGCGACTCCTCCAGGGGGATTCCGAATCGGTAGTTGAAGGCTTTGTAGAAAAGGGATATATTCCTAGTCGAAATGTCAGCGAGGGAACAAACACTACTACGGATAATTCTACTCGCTCTCAACATGATCCCAGTCCTGAGGCTGAGCCTGTGCTCCAGGCAGTCACTAATCGTCCCTTGTACTCTCAGTCGACCGAGGAAGCGTTCGACTCGCAACCGATGAGTGCCGTGCTTGGGAAAGCAACCAGAATCTCTCTTCAACGCCCTCTTCCGATAAAGATTGACCCGAGTCGCGAAGACGCCAGACACGGCAGAGGCAACGGCGAAGGTGAATATTACCGCCCTCTCCCACCGTCAGAAGTCTTGCAGAGAACGGAATCCCCTTCACCTGCGTCCGTGAGACCTTTGACACCGAGGGGGCAAGTGGCAGCGCGTGAGAGAGAGAAGAGAGAAAGAGAGCGTAACGACACCCAAGAAGCGGCAGACGAGCGACTGCCATATCCTGAAGATTCCATGGAAATCCCAGCCCCGAGACGTTGCCGACCCGAGTCTTCCCAAACAGCCACGTCTCCTGGAATGAGCCGCGCCCGAGACCGAGACGTTTCCCCTGCATCACCGCTCATCCATACTCCCACGCCGACTCGACCCGGTGAAATCACAGGTTTCATAAGGTCCAACGAGCCGGTCTCGCCCTCTACTCCCCTCCATAACCAACGACGGCACGGCTCCCGATCATCGTCAACAGACACCGTAGTCCAGCCTCCGCCCCCAATCCATAACCCCCAACGCCGCCGCACGCATCAGCAGCTCCCTGCCGGTCTAGACGCATACAACGCCGAACCAGACCGCTCCGGCGCGGGGTTTACCCTCCGCCGGATCAAAGTCCCGCCCCCGGGTGCCCCAAACCGCACGCACATCTTCGTCCGCCCGCAGCCCCTCCCCGGCGGCGACGAGGAGCGGAGAATGATCATACAAGTCTGGAACGACACGTTCGCGACGATGCCCCCCGAGTTCCAGTCGATGCTCTCGAGCCGTCTCCGGTACCCGGGCTACACGCGCGACGTGGCGGCCCGGCTTCGCAAGGACGAGTTTGAAAAGGCGACGGGGGAAAGCATGTCCTCGGACGATTACTACGCACTCTTCGACCTCGAGACGTCCAACGACGGTATGATCTCCGCACTGCTCGAGTGGATGCAGGGCCGGACGTGGGTGAAGGTGCCTTTTGTCAACCGGATCATTCACCAGCTGTGCCGGCTGATGTATACCTCTGCGCAGGAGGAAGCTCGGCTGCGGCTTACATTCCGACTAGATATGGACGCCGTGATGGAGAAGCTCGACGAGGTGGAGGTCAAGTGCGCGGCCGAGAGGATGCAAAGAGCCTGGGAGCGGATGGACGTGTCTGTGAGGCGGCAGCACACGTTTATCGAGCAGACTCTCACGCGGAACGACAATCACTGGGGTCATATCCCCGGCGTGGTAGTGATGACGCGATGCTCTAGAGATGCCAGTCAATGGGACGCGTTCTTCGAGAAGGCACGCGCGCTCGCGCTCGACCAACGAGAGATTGAGGAGACCATTGTGAATAGAATCAACGATAGTGGGGAGATTCTGCAAGAAGATCTCGAGCGGCTGAAGCGCATCCTCATGGACGTGACGAAGAACAACAGGGAAGTGAACGAGTACGTGGGCGCCAGACATCCGGGGGACCAGGTGCAGCCCATGTTCCAGATCGACAACAAGGACCTGGTAGAATGTCTCCGTGTCTACAGCGACCAAGTCAAGCTTGATAACGATGAGCGTAGGTCTGCCGTCATTGCCTTTTCCAAGATCGCGACAGAGCGGCTGGAGGTGCGCCAGAGGTATGCTAGCAGCTTGGAGTATACTGCGCCAAACCCTCCCGGATCTACTACGCTCGCAGCCGGTTTCCAGCCCCAGCCCCAGCTGCCGCCTAAGATACTCGACAATCATCCGCTGCGTTCAGCTCCCATAGAAATGAGTTTTGTTGTTCCCGCGGTGGCCATCCCATCAGAGGCGGCAGCATCCGAAGTCACCGCAATGCAGGAAACCCCGCCTCCCCGCGATAGGGTCAGATTCGTCTTGAGCCCTAGAGGTAGCCGGTTCGTAGAATTCATGGACACGGCGGTGCCTCCTGGGTCAAGTCCCGTCTTTAAAGATCCATTTACCAAGACCTGGAAAAGGCTCGATCTGACAAGGCCAGAATGCCTACGGTGTTCCACGCTGGAGCGGGAGATCAGCTCCAGACTCATGGAAATCAAGGATTACTGCCGCATACTAGCGCGCAGGTTGGACGAAAAACTGAAGCTAGAGACCGCGCTCGAAGCCGTGAGTTATCGCGAAATCAGAGAAGCGGTGGAAGCCATTCACAACTACAGGAGGCTGTTGGAACGCCCAGAGGTTCCCGAATCTCTACAGTGCACCGCGGACCTCTTGGAGATGCACGGAAAGCGAGCAGCCGATCAGGTCAGCCTGCTGGAGATATCCCTGGAGCTGGGGCAAGCTGGCGATTCGACGGACAAGGTGCTAGCGGAATTGAGGACGACGATTAGATCTGTCAAACGACTAGCCGCCGCTGCGCTCGAGCTCAAAGCACAAATGGAACTTTACCTCGAGAAACCCTACCTCAAGGCAGGCAACCGATCTAGCTCGGGCGACGACAAGGCCCTAAAGAATGAAAAGCAAAACCGCTTGATCAAGTCGTTGCAATTGCAAGTTCGAGAATTGTCAGAACAGACCAAGCGCGGTTTGGAACAACAAGCAACAGAGAAACTTAAGCTCGCGCACGCCGTCGAGCTACGCATGAGGGAAGAGAGTGATCGCCTCCGAGAACAAGTTCGAACTTTCCAGAGTAAGCTTGAACATATGCAGGCCGAGGCCCAAGAACGAGAACAGGACTCGAATTCAGAGCAGACAACGTCGGACAGACTGAGAGAACTCAACAGGGAACGAGAGACACAAGAGACGGAACTTCGCAATCTCGAAGCCCAAAACAACGCTTTGGAGGAGCAACGGCAGAGAACCTCGGATAAGCTCGAAGCTTTGGAGAAGGCCAAGAAAGAGAGCCAAAACGAACTGGCAAAACTTGCACGACAGACCCAAGAGCTTCAGATCAAGCTTCAAGCTAAGAGCGAAGCGGCCAAGTGGATATCGTACATGACTATTCCAAGAGCTGTTGGTGACGCCAGCCCCGATGCTCAGCAGACTGATAGAGTCTCTCAACTGCGGACGGAGTTGATGACTGCGCTTGGCAAGGCACGGTCAGAATCTTATCGCATATTCGGAGACCAACAAACTAGAAAGACTTTGCCAGATTTCATGCAGAGTATTTTATGGCCCGACGCCAAGGCAAAGGAGGGCACCAGCGCAGATGTGCCCAACTTCTGGAGGCTAGCTGCTTTCGTGAGAAGGAGAAGGGAAGTCATAGCAGCACTCGAACAGAGGAATCCGCAGAGCTTGCAGAGAGCATTCAACTTGCTTGAAGGGCTCCACGAGTGGAATAGCAACTTGGGTGCTTGGCAGACGGAAGCCCAAACAGCGGAAGTTTGGCGGTCCATCAACCTTCTTAGATCCTATGCCAATCTTGAACTCGGGAAGATCGAAGGGCTCGACGCTAATGCTTCAGAGAGGCGCAATGTCGCCGGGGAGTTGTTCCAACAAGCGGTGGCTTCCGAAGACGCAGGAGAGATCAAGAAGCCATGGAATTCCTTGCAAAGCAGTCTGGAGGAACAGTTGGATGAGGATGCTGACGACGCGCCCGCTTGCGACTGCAAGTTTAAACCTCGCCTTTGCCCAAAGCACCATAGCGACGGTAAACTCATGTTCCATAACTTTATGGAGGCGGACGGTTCGAGGCAGGCGGAAATGGAGTTGACGCAGGAGGCGTCCGAAGTGCTTCAGCGATTTGGACAGACGTTCAAGGTATCGTCGCCAGTGTAGGCTCGCGCAACAGCGGAGGCATCTGGAAGAGAGATTGCGTATGCTCTGACTGGAGTTCTGCAAGAGGAGGATGATCTGCAAAGCGGTTTTGATGTCGGGTTGGCCCCAGAAAGAAGCAAATGAGAGTGCATACCGGATGCTTGTTTGTTGATACCATCGATTTGCAGTCTACCAAGACTTGGCTGCTATCGCCGCGTGGTGTTAGTTCCTTGTTTCCAATGTTGAGATTCTGTTTCTAGAGTTAGAGTCGAGAGTTGAAGTGGCGTGTCTCTGCATCCGCGCGGCCAGCTGATTCATGTGTTTCCCCGTTGACCAGGGCAGCGAAGTATGTTGATGAAGGCGGCCTCAAGCGAACGTTGGAATCTGCCAATGACGAATGCGGAAGTGTGTGTCGTTTAGGTTGACGTCGGTAGTGGTGGGCAGGCGAGTGAAGTCAAATTGATGTCGAGAAGCGGATGGTGGGGCCGGGAGGAGGGAAACGGGGGGATAAGATTACTAGAGGTTACTGAAGTACTACTATCTCCAGCTTGGCATCGCGTTTAGGGATGTACCTTGCTATCTACATGTCGCTGCACTTCTGCCAAGTCTTTTCCTCGTCTAGCGTAGTTACCCGCGCGGGTGGATTGCTCACCACACCATTGCATTCCTCTCCTTCTCTCCTCCTCCCTCTTCGTAACACTCATACGCCCAGCTGCCAATAGGTTCAACATGACTCTTCCTTGCGACTCAGCCTTCTGCGCCTCTCCCGCTTGTATGTTCAAATCATAGGTCAACTCAATGCGATCCACCCTCAGCAATACCAAGCCAGACAGATCTGGATCTTGTCTCGGGAACGGCAAATCCACGAACCTCAACCTGCGTCGCCAGTGCGCACGTCAACTGTCTCAGCCAAAACGTGGACCTGGAATGGTTAAGGGGTGTGGCTTTTGATCACATCAAAGATGATGTGAGTGGCACGCAAAGACAGGCACGATCCAGGCACATCATGCTTAGCTGCATCTGTTGTGATGGAGGCAACTCTGGGCTCTGGCACCCAGCGAAAACGACTGCATTTTGGCGTGCTTCAGAACCTGCCGCTTCCCATCAACTCCGCCCTTTGACCTCACATCACGGCTGAGAACACGTGGACGAACAACTCTGTACTCCAGAGAACGAGTGAATTGTTCCGGAAAGTGACAGCTCAAGAAGCAACGGAAGCACCAGATCCATGACGCCCAACAAAGTCAACGGTAATCTGCCAGCCCGCCAGACGGAATTGCATCGTTCCGGATCCGGCGTATCGCTTGCCCTCCGGTATGGTACGCGTGGATCGAAGGGCAGCGGCCGCTTTCACCAAGACATTTGTCTTTTGAAGATGAATCAGTCCTCTACCAAGGCTACCAGACTATCGGAGCCAGACGCAGGAGCGATAGAAACGGGCAAGTCGTTACGCGACAAAAGTCTGGTACACGCGATGCTACGCAACTGAGCACGATACAACGGCATCCTGGCCTCGGAGCAGCAATTTGCCCGCCTACTCTAGCTAGACGGCTTGGGCAGTGTCACCGACCGAAAGCCTACCTCATGCCATTCGCCGCCGCCTTCTACAACAGATTGATTAGATCCATTGACCTGGCCCCATCTCATTGGACACCCTTGCCGGTTGACTTTGACGTTGTCGCTTCGAGTTGTATGTACGGAGGCAGTCTTTGCCCTTCTGACGCAGCGCGCGGCTGCTTCCGGCGATGGCGGCAACGAGCACCAGCCAGCGGTGCAATGTGACGAATACAGGCGTACTCGAAGCACACTTTGGCCAGCCGCGTCGCGTCACATCACACCGAGTTCCTGACGGGCTGTCAAACTACGGATAGGAGTGGACGATGAGAGTAGGTGGTCCAGCACTGGCCAGGCCAGGTCCACGCCACTCACTTCATGTCCCGTCCTCCCGCGCTCTCCCGTCAGGCCCTGGCACCTCTAGTTCATCCCGTCCCCAGAGGCGGCGTGCAATTCCAGGAAACCCCCACTGGCACGGTACCGTTTCCAAGCGAGAACATGAGGCCTGTCAAGCAAGCCCTTGGCGACTTACCCTCTCGGGGATTAGACGCGGGTGGACTATGGCGAAGATCACGACTAACGGATCACGGCCTAATGCAGCAAGGTCAAGGGGGCCAGGGTCACCCATTTAGCAGGTGACTTTGAGGGGGTCGACAACATTTGCTGCTGACACGACATTCCAAGGATCTCTCACAAGGGATTTTTGAGTCGACTTGCACTCCGAAAGAAACACGGCCCGTACGAGGGCCTTTGCAGTAATGATTCTATCCCATCTAGGCAAGTCAATCTATCTACAAGATGCAGATAGGCACGTTGATACCGGAGCTCCACACTGGATGCTACTATGTGGATGCATTTTGGAGCCGGAAGTCTGGCTCACGCTCAGCCCTCAGCCCTCGATCATAACAAGTGTCTGGCTTGTGAGGCGGACTCTGTCTCTCCTTGGCGTTGTCTCGTTTCTTTTTGCGGTTTGGCTCGAATTACCCAAATTGTGTCAACAACCCCCGTACTTCCGTCTTTGGCTGTGTACTGTGTAGCGAGGCCGTCTGAGTCCTGGCGGCGGTTCACGGCACGCTGCAGACAACGGTGGGGTCGAGGGGCTGTCCGTCAAAGGCTCATCCGGGCCACTCTACTTTAACCTCAACGAACTTTGCTTGCCTACCCTTTCCTTGCCATACTATGTACCCTCCCTACGCAAAAGTACCTTTTCTATGGCCCATGGCATTTTCACCGCAATGCAAAAGAAATGTAGAGTGCTTTGTCAAGCTGACAAAACCAAAACCGCCAGGCCAAGCTGTATGGAGCTAGACATTGCGGCCCTCTTGTTTCTGAACTTCTCGTAGGGGAATCCATCTTAATCTAGATCCACGATTCGTGAGACCTTCCCTAGCAAACAATTTCCCCCGTATTTTCTTCTCGCCTCCCTTCCCGCTTGCCGCTGTCCAAGCTTCCTCCCGCCTTGCTTGCTGCGCTTGCTCCAGCTGCGGAGAACAAGAGGGCGTGAAAGTTACACCGGCTACCGGCATCGAAGGACCCTCATCGAAGTTGGGGTTGGCCATCTCGTCATTGGGCAGTGGCATGGAGCGGCAATATGTGTCTACGTACGGTGTTTGAGCCCTTTTCTCAGCGGTCGTACGACGCAGCTATCCAGGAACGGCTCGAGGCTCTTCACATGGACGAAGGCTTATTACTGTGACTTGTCTGGGCTTCCTCGAGACGGGACGGGAAAGATGTACGTACCCTACCGCATGAGAGGGGAAAGTCCCTGTTTTTTTTTCTCTCGAGACCGGGGACTTCAACAACGGATCGACTTATCTGGGGAACGTGGCGCCTGTCTCACATGGATGTTTATGGAGCTGGGTAATCGGTCCCTGGTATGCACAGGTCTTTGGGGCCGCCGTTGTGTAAGTGCGTTGTAAGCAAGCCAACATGAGAATGCCAACGAGTTGAGAGGGTGCCATGTGAAGCGGGTGGTTGGCCGCGAAGGGAAGGTATAGACTGAATACACAATCCGACGGCTATCATTGCAACATCTCATCGGGAAACCTTGGCTGATTGCTCTCGAGTCTGACGGTGATATCCTCCTTTCTCTTTCTTATCTGGACGTTTGCCCTGTTGTCTGAAGTCCAGATACGATCGAGAAGGAGGGGGACGATCAGGGAAAATCAGGGTGAGAGGAATAAAACGCCACGCGGGTCAAGCCACGGGAACTACGTCGGTAGACCGCATTCATCCAAGGACAGCGTGTAAGTGGGGGTATGCAGACGACTTGTGTAAGTTCACGCGTGAGTTACATAGAGTGGCAGGACTCGACGCCATTTTTCCAGATAAGTCAACAGTACTGGATGAAGGAGGAGCAAGGTATAGGATTTAGGGAAAAAAAGCAAGGAAGGAACGCTCTAGCTGAGGAACCAGGTAGTAGGAGCTCCTTCCTAGACAGATCCGCTCTGCCAAACCTTACGGTCTCACAATATCAAGGGTTAGTTTTTATTTTCGTTTCTTTCTACTATAAGATGAATTCTAAGCCACAAGGGTGGGATGAATCTAAGAACTAAAGGAAGGCACGGCTTGGACTGTGTGTAGACCTCCTTCCCTACCTACACCCAATCTACCCGGGCCTATCTCCACCACCACCACCACCACCACCACCAACCACTACTCGACCCCCCTCCTTCACATTCACCACACCTCAATATTGCCTCCCTGGTACACAACGCTTCACCTTATTCTTCCTCACCCTTTCTCGCTCCCGCTTACCGCAAGCGGGGGTCATCCAAGTTTTTCTATTTTACACACCTCCCTCTGCCGCGTTCCGAGTAAGTAGCTCTCTTCATCACAATACTCTGAGACCCTCCGCGCCATCCTTATCAAACGAGGGTTCTTTCACCCACTCGTCAACTCATCATAACAATACCTCTTGTTATAAACTTGGCACATTCCCAGTTCTCATCCATTTGTTCGGCTCACCTCATCTCACGACGACAACCTTGCCGACTGCGCTAATCCACCATCCCTCCTACAGATTGCGCGAATAACTTCCCATTGCTCACTCATCCTTACCACTACGCGCAAAAATGGCTGGAGGTGCTAGTGGCCCCTCGGCCTACCCTTTGCTCTTTGCAAAGCGGACCAAGCTCAACCAGGAGGCGACGACCTACTTCGCCATCGCCCTGGCTGCTCTTATGGGCATCTTCATCGTCTTTCACCTTGGTCGTCGTGGTGCTTCCAAGGCTGGTCTTCCTACAAAGATGTCTGGTCTGGCAAAGCCGTTCCTCTTTGTGTCCCGGTAAGACTTGAGAAAGGAAACAACCCGTACTTGATCACACAAAAATACTGACCCTAACATAGATCCATCCGAAGAGTCACCGTCTACAAGTTCCCTGCTTTGCCGTCCACCGGCCACTTCGTCGTCGCCCTCGGATATCTCGTAATCAACATCGCCCTGCTGTTCACCCACATCGACGCCTCCGCTCTTCCGTATCTCACAGTCATTGCGGCTCGTGCAGGATGGTAAGTTGAATTACACCCCAAACCCCTTAGCATCATTGGAACTGCCAGAAACTAATACTTGATAGGCTGTCCATCGCCAACATCGCTTTCGTGGTCTTTCTTAGTCTGAAGAACACTCCTCTCGGCTTCTTGACCGCCTGGTCCTACGAGCGGCTCAATGTCCTCCATCAAATCGCCGGGTACATCACCATGGTTCTCATCGTTGTACACGGTGCAACGTACTCCGCCTACTTCATCGAGGCTGGTAACATGGCACGCCTTCGTGTTGCTGAGGAAATCTACGGCATTGCTTCCGGATTTACTTTCCTCGCCCTTGTGCTCGCCGGCGCAATCGTCCGCCTCTGGTACTACGAACTGTTCTACATTCTTCATGTATCCTTCTTCGCCATCTCGATGGTTCTCGTCGGCCTTCACCAGCCAGAGCTAAGCAAGAAGATCGTCATCATCACGGCTGTTGCTTCCGGTATCTGGGTCGCCGACCGCGTTGTGAGATTCGCCCGTGTTGTGCTTTACAGCTTCAACAACAACGCAACCGTCTACCCGCTTCCCCACGGCGGCACTCGCATCATCCTCAAGAAGGCCCCCATTGGAGCTAGTTCTGGAGAGCATTGTTTCCTCTGGGTCCCCAAGATCCGCGCTCTGGAGATGCACCCTTTCACGATTGCCGCCACCAACCCGCTGGAGTTTGTCATCAACTCATACGACGGCTTCACCCGCGAGCTCCACGAACACGCAGTCCAGAACCCCGGTGCTACCCTCAAGGCTTCGGTTGAAGGCTCCTATGGAACGTTCCCCAACCCGGCCGAGTATAACAAGATCATCCTCGTCGCCGGAGGTAGCGGAGCCAGCTTCACTGTCGGCACAGTCCTCAACCTGCTCAAGAAGGTTGCACAGGGATCTATGCCGAGTGTCACTTTTGTCTGGATGGTCAAGGATCCTGGTAAGTACATTTCGCGATTAACTTTTTCTCCCAAACACCCAAACTAATCGGATCTCTCAGCTCGCCTTGAATGGTTCGCCGGTCACCTCTCCACGATTCGTCAGGCCCTCGGTGCCAACATCCAACTGTACGTCACCCGCGCGCCTGGAAGCCAGGACTCTTCCCAAAACCCCGGCTCTTCCAAGGAGGACCGCTCCCGCTCGGGCACCATCTCGTCTGAGGCCTCGACACCCTTCACTCCTTCATCTGAGAAGTTCGAGACCACCAACGGCGTTCCCCAGCAGCCCCCCAGAATCAACACTCGCGCCGTATCTGATCCCGAGAAGTCCGGCTTTGAGTCTGATGCAACTTCGCCTTCGTCTCCCACCATCCAGCAGAACGGAGTTACAAACAGCTTGAGCGGTATCCCTGTCCACTATGGCCGCCCCGACGTCGCCAAGATTATCCAGAACGCCATCGACGAGACCCCCTCCGACCAGCGAGTTCTCGTTATGGGCTGTGGTCCTGAGAGCCTCATGACGCAAGTCCGCAACACGACTGCCGGGTGCATCCGCACATCTGGTCCCGCCGTCGAGCTTCACTGTGAGCAGTTTGGTTGGTAATATATTCTAGCTCAATGAGATTCTTCGTGTGCATACTTTGATCTCTTTTGGTCTCTTTGTATGGCGTTGGAGTATATACGGGCAAAGGAGAGGTATACGGCCGGGGACGGGTCTTCTGGATTTGCTCTTTCTTGTGCATTTGTGCCGCAGCTTGGCAACAAAAGAACATAGAATACAGAGGTTGGATCTTTTTGGGGTCTGGTCAAAGAGATTCCGTTCTGCTAGCTAGCTGCCGCCGGTCGTTTGTCGTCGCGCGCGCGTTCATACCCTTTACAGAAGCTTGGCCTCGGTGGCCACACTGTAATCTTTGATGATTCATAGAACAATGGACAATGGGAAAACCCAAATACTCTATTCGATCCCTTTGTGAAGATGACTTCCTAATGCATGACATGCTACTTACCCCTTTTGGTTTCAGTGTGGAGTGTGGAATGGCTGTTCCTTCGTGGAATGATCTGAACTTTTGCAAACTCTGAAGACGGATTTGGTAAGCTCTTCGAGGGGTTTGACAGCTGATGGGGTTGGAGTAAAGACATATAACGATGACGGGGTTCTGTCGACGATCCCAACAGTCGTCTGATGTCCGGATCGTGATACCCCGCCAAGAACACCCTTCTCCTCTTCGGAGCATCTACAAGTACCTATGTCGGTCTTTGGCCCAATCTCCTTCGGCCATGGCAATACGGTATATTTACCGACAGTCTTTGATAACCTCATACTCTTGCGATAAAGGCCGTTGGTATTAACAGCATAAAGTTTGTCGTGCTCAGCTTAATCTTATCCTCGGGCGACGAACGACATATCCCAAAGACTGTGTATCAAGCGCACTTTAAATGCCAATATAGCCTCTCACAATCTCGAGTCTCCCTTTCCCAGTGGCTAAAAGCATTTCAAGAAATTCCGCTTAGTTCAGCCGCGCGATATGTATAGTAGCGGGAGCGTAAAGGCGAAGATGAGAATGAAGGAGGGTAGGAACTGAAACCCACGAAAATTAGACAGACAACTCGAGCCGGCCCGAAACGAATCAACTCCCACTAGAGCTTCCAAAGCAACGGGTAGTATGGCAGAAAGGTATTCACTTTATAAATGACACTGCCGACACAGCCGACTCCTCCAATCGCTCGCTCCCATGCATCTCATCTCCAGTACCCGAATGCTGCCCCCAAAACGGAGCATCGCTTCCCGTAACTTTATTCCCCCGGCTCCCCGATGAAACGATTGAGCACCTGCCAAGCGGACCATCGAACTCCTTTTCCCAAAAGTTGAATGACAACTGAGCCATTCGCGAAGGAGATGCCAGAGGGAGAAGAAAGTTACGATGACCGAGTTGGGCGATTATGTGGTGCTGTTTTGGGAATTCTCGTCGGGAGTTAGAAAGAGATGACATTGGGGGTTCTTAACCGGCTGAGCTAATGTCGGCCAACAATGCTCAGTGCTTCGGCCCCGATGGATAAACTGCCCTATCTACGGTTTCCGTAGTGACAAGTCTGCTCCCATATCCATGTCCCGTGATCAGGCAGTATGCGAGGATCGGTACAGAGATGGACCATCGTATTCCCAGCTATTAGACCACCCGAGGGAAAAGAAAGGCCCATGACGAACGGAAAGGTCTTTGCATTTCCAAATCTTTGATGTGAATAGTCTTGTATTCTTGTATTCGGTCTATCTAAGAGTCCGAGAGGAGGTATCATTGTTGAACAGATGCATGTTTCTTTAGTCTTTCTTTCCGTTTCCCCAGCGCCATTTGTTGAATAAATGGAATGCCGCTTTCCTTTTTTGCCCACGTCCCGCCATAAAATGAATTCTCTCTATAAGCGCCTCAAAATCCAAATATCGTACTTGAAATGATCCCTCGCGCACTTAGAACAAGCCGTCAATCTCACCAGTCTCGGTGTCGACGTCAACGTTCAAGTACCCAGGGGCTGTGGGCAGACCAGGGATGGTCTGAATGTCTGCAGCGAGCGCGTAGCTGTGATTTTGTCAGTAGTGCAATGATTCCTGGATGGTTGGCTCAACTTACACGTAACCCGCACCAGCGGCCAGTCTGACGTCCCGGATGGGGACGGTGAAGCCGGTAGGGGCACCCTTCAGGTCGGGGTCGTGAGACAGGGAGTACTGCGTCTTGGCAACGCAGATGGGAAGGTTTCCGAAGCCTTGTCTGGTGTAGGTATCAACCTTCTTCTGAGCGAGCTCGCTGAACTCAACAGCAGCAGCGCCGTACATCTTCTGACCGATAGCCTCGATACGCTGCTGGACGGTTCCCTCGAGATCGTACAGAAGCTTGTAGTCCTTGGGCTTCTCGCTGGCGGCGATGACACCCTTGCCCAGCTCAATGGCGCCCTTTCCACCCTCGGCCCAGTGGTTAGACAGGATGGCATCCTCGGCACCGGCAGCGATGGACTCCTCACGGATGACAGCGATTTCAGCATCAGTATCCGTGACGAACTTGTTGATGGCAACAACAACAGGAATGCCGTACTGTTTGGCGTTCTCGATGTGCTTCTTCAAGTTCACGCAACCAGCGCGAAGAATGTCGACATTCTCCTCCTTGTACACAGCGTTGAGAGCGGCACCAGGAGCGATAGGGGGACCGCCGCCGTGAACCTTGAGGGCACGGACAGTAGCAACAATGACGACGACATCGGGAACAAGACCAGAGGCACGACACTTGAGGTTGAAGAAACGCTCTCCACCCATGGTGAAGTCAAAGCCAGCCTCAGTGATGGCGAAACCAGCCTTCTCAGAGTGGTTCTCATCAGGCTCGGTACCGACAATCTTCAATGCCATCTTGTCAGCCAAAATGGAGCTGTTGCCAACACTGATGTTGGCAAAAGGACCAGCGTGCACAAACACAGGAGTTCCCTCCAAGGTTTGCATGAGGTTGGGCTTCAGGGCGTCTCTCATCAGGGCAGTGAGCGCACCGCCGGCACCAATGTCGTCGCAGGTGACAGGGTCGCCGGCTCTGGAGCTAGCAATAACCATGTTGCCCAAGCGCTTACGCATATCAGCAAGATCTGTGCTGAGAGCAAGAATGGCCATGCACTCGCTGGCAACAGAAATGTCGAAGCCAGTCTCACGGGTCTGGCCTTTTTCAGTCGGCGCAGTGCCGACGGTGATACCACGCAAGTGGCGATCGTTGACATCCAGAACTCGTCTCCAAGTGATTGTCTCGGGGTCGATGTCAAGGCGGGCGAAGCGGCGGATCTCCTCCTCGGTAAGCTCGTCGGGGTTGGTCTTCTCAATGCCGAGCTTCTTGAGGCGGGGCAGGAAGACTGGCGGGAAGACTCTCTTGCCGCCCTTGGCGGGCACAAGACGCTTGTAAAGAGGACCGTCCTTCTGAGTGTTCTCGTGAAACATGCGAGTCTCGATCGCAGCTGCGAGCAGGTTGTTTGCCGCAGTGATGGCGTGGATATCTCCAGTCAAGTGGAGGTTGAACTCGTCCATAGGGATGACCTGGGCATAACCACCACCAGCGGCACCACCCTTGATACCAAAGGTAGGTCCCTGACTAGGCTGGCGGACGTTGGCGAAGGTGACGCGGCCAAGGTGGGCGCCCAGGGCCTGAGCAATACCCATCGTCGTGGTAGACTTACCCTCGCCAAGAGGCGTGGGGGTGATGCCCGTAACGACAACATACTTGCCGTTACGACGGTGCTCCAAGCGCTTCAGGATGGTCAAGTCAACCTTGGCCTTGTAGGCTCCGTACGGCTCGAGTTCGTGAGATGCGATGCCGACCTCCTTGGCCAAGCGAGTGATTTGCTTGGGGTTCTGGGCTCTGGAGACCTCGATGTCGGAGGGAACGGGCTCCTTGAGGTGAAGCGGCAGAGGAGAGATCTTCCTCTGTCTCTGCTTCTCAAACGACTTGAGTGTGGACTCGACAACGTTGGACAGAAGCATAGCAACGGTCATGGGGCCAACACCACCCGGAACAGGGGTGATGTGAGAAGCAACTTCGGCAGCGGAGTCGTAGTCGACGTCTCCGACGAGGCGTTGACCAGACTTCTTGGAGGCATCGGGGACGTAGTTGGTACCAACATCGATCACCACAACACCAGGCTTGAGCCACTCGCCCTTGACGAAGCCGGGCTGGCCAATGGCCGCAATGACAATGTCCGCCGCCTTGAGGTGCGCCTCCAAGTCCTGGCTCTTGGAGTGGCACACGGTGACAGTCGCATCAGCGTTGCGAAGCAGGTAGCTGACAGGGCTGCCCACAATATCGCTGCGTCCAAGAACGACAGCGTTCTTACCCTTTACGTCGACTCCAGCCTCCTTCAAGAGGACCATCACGCCCTTGGGGGTGCAAGGGATGAAGAAGGGGCGACCGCCCTTCTTGGCGAGCTCACCGATATTCCTGGTGCCGAATCCATCGACATCCTTCTCGTCTGCGACGGCAGATGTGATGACGTACTCATCGAGGTGCTTCGGGATGGGGAGCTGCACCAAGATGCCGTGGACGGCAGGGTCGTCGTTGAGGCGGTAGATGCGGTCCAAGAGCTCGGGCTCAGAAATGGACTCGGGGAAGTTGACCAATTCGCAGTCGACATTTGCCTGACCATGTTAGTCATTGGTCATTACGTCTGGGGTTCCAGTGACATGTCTTACCTCCTTTGCGGCCTTCTGCTTCATGCGCACATAGGTGCCTGCGGGGTTGTGAGCATCGCGATAAATTTCATGGTGGGGTAAATGGTGAAGCGCGACATACTTGAGTCCGATCTGTCACCGACTGTGGAAGATTATTGTTAGCACTGCGAACGTATGACGAATTCCGAAAGTGAGGAGACATACCCTGGATAATGGTAAGCCGAGGCTGGAACCTGGGGTTCGCCTTTTGCTTCTCGAGAATGTCGCTGGCAATGGACTCCCGAATCTTCTTGGCGACGGCAGTGCCATCGATTTTGTTGGCGACCATGGCTGAGGTTGCAAAGGACCTATTTGGGGAAATCGTATCGTAGGAACCCGGGGTCCTTGCAATAAACGGACGGGGGGATTGCCAAGAGACCAAAGATGCAGCTTGTCCTCGCAGGTGTCCAAACGCGAAGTTTTTGGGATGATGGGAAGAAGATGAAAATGTCGGGACGGGCACCGAAGTCAAGCGCGCAGGTTGGGTGTAAGCGGGAGCAGCGAGAATGAGGGGTGGTGGGCAGCGGTGCAAGTCGGGATTTAGCGCGCTGCAGGGCCGACGGCCAGATGGGGAACGACCCGTATCTACCCCAAGGTTCAGAAGTGACCGGCGGGAAGAGGAAGTTTGGGTTCCTTGGGACAGTGACGATGGATTGTTACTGGACGACGGTGCTCTCGAGGGCAAGCCGCGGGTTCTCAGCCGAAGCTGAGACTTGTTGGGCATGGCCATGCGGCGCGTCCAAGACAGCCTCTGAGGGCCTTTCAACTGGCTGATAGACGACATGCCGAATACCGAGATGAGTGTCTGTCTTCCTTTGGGCCTTGGTGGTGTGTCCCTTGCTGGCTTCGATCTTCCCTTGAGTGGAGCTAAGCGATAGGGCCCTGTGACTCCCAGATCGCGTGCGTGTGAGTCGTACCTATGACTGTGGCTGTTGAGGTTCCCTGGTCCTGGCTATGCAGACTCTGTACGAGTGAGTCCCAGTGGAAGTGGAAGGATCAGCCGTTTGTGGCAGGTCGAAAATTTCGGGCGAGTCTCCGAGGCCGGCGGCAAACCCGATCGATAAGAAGTCGAGTTGTGGGTATTATAAAATAGGCTCAGTATGGAGTAAACAGCCTATTTTAGTTGATGAATGGTCCTGCGAATGATATGTTTTGGAAAACACACAATTGAGAAACCAATCAAGACTGAACGGATAAGGAGATTGATCGAATGAATTGACGTGCCCAAGAAGGGAAAAGAGGAAACGGGGTGAGTGATACAAATATGGTACAAGAAACAAGACAAAGACAAAGAAACAAACGACGGTGGTCCGGACGGTCTGATTTCTTTTCGCAAAAAAGACTGTCTCGGTAAAGCGCATGTGAAACTACCATGAGCTTCACGTAGTTGAGCCAAAGGGTCCGAGGCTTGACTTGATAGTGTTTAATGCCAAGTTTCGAGGTCCGGAAACGCTGTTCATGGAACACGTATGAGTCAAGGATGAGTCGGATTGCCATAAAAGGGACGTTGTTATGGTACAGAGTAGTGTACGAAGTAACCAAGTACTCGTCTCGACGGGGAAGATGGACAATGGGAACGGAATGGAACGGCGTGGGAATTGGATGATGATGACCGCACTATTCTGATGGGCACGGAGCTTCAACGGCGGCCACGGGTGCCATGCCACGACTGCCACGCTGTCTGGCTTGGACTTGAACAGTTGGACTTGGAGGGTTGGAGCTGCCATGACTCCCGTCCCGCCGCCAGCCTCTCCAGGGGCAGCTCCTTCCGTGACGTGCACCAGCCTGGACCGGCACGCTAAAGTTCTAGAAGGAAGGCTAGGTTGGCCTGCGCTGATGGAAGGTTCCTCGAACACCTCCCTCAGGCGTGACAGGTACCTACCTACCTTACCATGCTACCGTATGTACTTCCTTACCCAAGGTCGACTGTACCTATCAGAGGTCGGGTGCTTTCCATTGGGAGGGGAGGTGAGCTGTCGCGCGCCACGAGCTGGGACGGTTGACTCACCTTGCTGTGCCACGGTGACTGCCCATATGCCCGTGCTAAGGTAAGCTAACACCGATTGCCTGAGGCGGCTCAAGGCGGTAAGGCGGTGAAAGACCTTCACCTCAACCGGCAGAATGGTCGCGGGGAAAAAGTGCGCCCCACACACCAGAGCACCGAAACCCACAATGTCGAGGTGAAGGCAAAAATTCACGATTGACCCGACGACACCAGCCTTTTAAAGACCGACGTCCCCTGCCGCAACAACGTGCCCGCATACCAAGCCCCCCGATATCGAGAACCGCATCACCTCCCGACATCAGACAATATGAGGCCCATTCTTTTGGCAGGTCACGAGCGTGCGCTCACCCAGATCAAGTACGTTTCTGCAACCCCCAACACGCGAAATGTCCAATCCAAGGAGGGGGAACCGAAGCGCCCAGGGCTCTCTTTTCCCTCAACTCCCAACTCCCATACCATAGGAGGGGCTACGCATGCTAACCCGATGCGCCTACCTCACACAGGTACAACTCGGACGGCGACCTCATCTTCTCGACCGCCAAGGATCAACAGATTTGCGCCTGGTACGCACACAATGGCGAGCGTTTGGGAACCTACCACGGCCACGTCGGTGCCATCTGGACCGTCGACGTCGACCCCACCAGCACCCTGATTGCTTCTGGTTCCGCCGACAACACGATGAGACTTTGGGATGTCAAGACCGGCAAGAACCTCAAGACCTGGGAGTTCCCTACCGCTGTCAAGCGCGTCGAGTTCAACGAGGACGGCACCAAGCTGCTCGGTGTCACGGAGAAGCGCATGGGTTTCCTTTCCAACATCATCGTTGTCGACATCAACCCCGACCCCGAGGCCGAGCAGAGCGATGAGCGCGTCCTGACTATTGTCTGCGACGAGAGCAAGGCCACCGTTGCTGGCTTCAGCTACCTCACCAAGTACATTATCGCCGGTCACGAGGACGGTTCCGTGTCGCAGTACGATGCCAAGGTGGGTCCGGCCAGAGCGATATCATAAGGGGGAACTTGAAGCTGACCGTCTTCTAGAACGGTGACCTGATCTACAACGAGCCCGTCCACGAGCTTAACACGCCCATCACGGATCTCCAGTGGTCGCAGGACAGAACCTACTTCATCACCGCCTCCAAGGACAAGACGTCCAAGGTACATCCGGCATATCAGACGATCCACGAGACCAAATGCTGACTAGATATAGCTCATCACCGCCAAGGACCTCGAGGTTCTCAAGACCTACACCGCTGATACCCCCCTCAACAGTGCCACCATCACACCCAAGAAGGACTTTGTTATCCTCGGAGGTGGTCAGGCCGCCATGGATGTCACCCGTACTTCGGCGAGACAAGGAAAGTTCGAGGCAAGATTCTACCACAAGGTCTTTGAAGACGAGGTTGGCAGAGTCCGTGGTCACTTCGGTCCTCTGGTAAGCCCCCCCTAGCCTCATGATGTCATGTTATGCCGTTGACTGACTATTTTGAAGAACACCGTCGCCGCAGACCCCACCGGAAAGGGCTACGCAAGTGGTGGTGAGGACGGTTACGTCCGTGTCCACCAGTTCGACAAGGGCTACTTCGATTTCATGTACGAGGTCGAGCGGGAACGGAAGAACAGACAGGAGAACTAAAGAAAGATTGGGGAATTTTGGTTGGAAAGAAAAAAAATTCAAGAGCAAGGCCCCTTCTTTTTTTTCTCTTCTTTCGTCTTTCTTTCGCGGCTTGCATTAGTACGGCGTTCTGGGAAATCTCTGGGGGGATGGTTAGATTTGGTTTTGTAAAAACCTAGGGCAGTCCGCGAAAACCAAAAACGAAAGTAAAAAGAAGCCTGGTAACACGGATGATATCAAACTTTCCTCCTCTCTACGCTTTTGGGGCGGCGGGAAGAAGCCTTTGAGGATGAGATGAACCAAAATGTAATGATGAGATTTCTGACAAACAACAAGTTAGTACCATTGAATGAAAGTCATGATGATATCCGAATGTGATTTACTAGTATGTTGCATTGGATTCCCATGTATTTATTTGCTCGTGTACCTTACCTTGCCGTGTCTGCTGGCATGAGATTCCACTGGTCCATGAAGGTACATGCGCGCAGACATTCGCATGTTGCGATGGAGAGTTGCGTAGCCCCCTACAACTTCCTACAACTTCCTGCAACTTCCTGCAACGCTTGAGATGCCCAAAAGCAAAAAGGAAGAAACAGCCGTCACCGTCGTACATCCTAGAGCTATTTTCGTCTAAATCAAGGTCGAAAACAGAAAAAATGAAAGGGACGAGACTCGAACTCGCGCGGGTTGCCCCACCAGGAAACAGATGTTAAGCTGACCTTAACCTGGCGCCATAACCAACTCGGCCACCCTTCCGATGTGAGAACTGAGCAGAATGTCAAAATAAGTAGCTCAGTGTGGGGGGGTTCCCCCGCGTGGTGGGGGTTCTGGAAGGGGTTTCTGTCGGTTTCTGTCGAGCGATTCATAGTAGGTCAGTAGTGGGCCTTTTCTCCCCTGTCGTGCCCGTCAACAGGGTGACGGGCGGCTAACCAGGGGTCGCTGTATTCACGTGGCTGGCTTCCGACTGCCAGTCCAGGTATCCGGCCTAAGTCGAACGGGCATAGAAAGACATAGTTTTGAGATCTAACGGTTTGCATTTTTTGCTTTCTATTGCTCAGATAAGTATTCTTACGTTCTATAGGGCATTGCATGTCTGTAGACCCTGCCAAAGCAGTTATGCTAGAAAGCACCGAAGCTATCCGTACGGGTATGAAAGTCTCTGGCACGTTCTAAAGAATGTGGGGGCGATGACTCTTTACACATATTGGATTACGGTACTAGCGCATTCGCTGTTGAGGGACTTTTTTTTTTTGCCGCTGGACACTGGACTGGCCAGGGACAGAGACAGAGACCTGGGCACCCCGCCGGTCCGCGCGGGTGTTTGGACGAGACGGGCACCATCTCACTCGGAAAAGTTGGGACGAAGCCCGAGTGGCACCATCCTGCGACCGACGGGATGTACGTGTGTGCGTGTGTGTGTTGAAACATGTTTGAATGTACGACGATAATGCACATCAGAAGAACAGGCCGAACTAAAGGGGAACCTATGTTGAAACCCTGAAACTCGAAACTTTATTTGGGCAATTTGTCCACCACAATGCGAGAACGATGAGCGTCATTCCGACAGAGGACAGCAGACACACAGAGACATATTGAGAGACCTGGAATATGTTGAGCGACAAGAGAAATATATGTCTTTATGATTACCCCCGTGTTGATGGCAGCCGACCCCTTTTATCTTCCAAAAGAGGTCGTCGACATGGAACCGCCACCAAGTGACGGGGGAACAGATAAGTATGGATGATATGTGTAGCTATGGGGTTCGTGAGACTAGCTAGCCGTCCCTTTCATTTGGCATCATCGCGAAAACAGTCCCAAAAAACCGAACACCGCCCCCCATGCACCTTTCGTTGTAAAAGACAAGAAACAAAACGGAAAACCAACGCCTCTCGTGAACACGCACACTCTATGCTTTGCGTGCGGAGTTTCTTCCCTTCCGATATGCCTGGCCGCCCCCTCGATGCTCGCTCAATCCCGTCGTCAAGACAATAATGGTGTCCGTGTAACCGTTAAACAGAAAACCCCAGGGAACAGAGACGGTGTCTTGAGTCCCCGAAGTTGAACCGCTGTCGAAAGTGAAGAAAGTCGTGGAATGCTAGTCGGGCAAATGCACTATGTGTGCCTGCTACGCTTTGGTCCGCCGCCAAACATGTTCTTGTCTATACTGCTGAGGTCGAATATCTCTGCAAAGTTGATCTTGCGTTTCGAACCCGCGCCGCGACCGAGGTTGCTTCCTTGTCTTGATGCTGAGCGGGGCATGTTGGCGGGGTGTCGTGGTCTCGCTGTGCGCGTTGCGGGATTTGTGTTTGTTGATGATGCGTCGTGTGTCCGAGAGTCTGAGAGGTCCAGGTTCGCAAGGTTCAGGTAGGCGTCTTGTTGATGCGCTTGAGGCGGCCAGGGGTGAGATGACTGGAAGGTGAAGGAGTCTGCCGTCGGCACAGTGACTGATACGGGTTCAGGTCCCTCTTCCTCCTCCTCCTCCTCATGGACGGGCTGCGGGATGCTAGGGGGCGCAGAGTCCGTCCTCAGCTGGCTCTCCCCTCGCAGGGACGCGAGTTGTGTGCCGCTGCTCGTCCTATTCAGCTCCAAAGAAGACGCGGTCTCGGTCTTGTCCGCCTCGTCGTCGCTCTCGGCGTTCTGAGAGCCTGTATCTCTAGCACCATCCAGCCTCTCGGTCGCCCAGCTTCGAATCCTCCAGCCGTCGCCGTCACCCAGCCCGATTCTCTCATTGTCGAGGAATGATAGCAGGTCATCGAGACAGTCTTGGTAGCCGTCCATGCGAGCCTTGGATTGGGCGGCCGCAGAAGTCTTGTAGAGTTTCGTGACAGAAAGCGCGGCGGCCTTGAAGGCGTCGATGAGTTGCTCGGGGGAGTCATTTTGCGTCGGCTGCTTGGCGGCCGCGGAGGCGCCCGGGAGGGAGGTGTTCAAACTTCTCATGGAGTCCATGATGTCGTATTGCCAACGACTGAATCGTTGAAAAGAATCAGTACCGAGTCGAAGGGAGGGAAAGATGAGTCCCGCACCTCTAGCGGTGAAATGTAAGGTAGTTGAGGTTGTCGGGTAAACAAATCTTGCAGTTGATGCCGGAGTGGGGTCCAAACGGGGTCCCCAGCGAAGTTAAGTGTGTGGCGATAAGGTGTGATGTGGTGGTGGTAGTCCTCGAGTGCAGGTGCACTACGTAGGTAGCGAGGTTGTTCGGACGGTCTCCCTTGGACCGCAAAGAGTGAGAGAAGGAAATGCCGAGGACTTGGTGATGGAGATAGTCAAGCAGGACAGGCTATGATGAGAAGATGCAGTTGATTGACGGCGAAATGAAGCACTGAGGTCAGCTCTGTCTTCGCCGCAGAGCACATGACACTGGACAACGGTGCTAACCGACAGCCAACAGTAGCTTAACAGGCCCCAATTTACCTTGGATCTTAGGTGGCTTTGACGTTATCTCCTCCACCCATGGCCAGTGCGCTACCACTACGCAGTAGGTACTTCGTTCTTCGTACCTAGTCTTGGCCGGCTGACCCAATCTTGGAGCGGGCGGTGGATCCTCCGACACTTTCCCAAATTCCCATCCATTGCCGTACCCCTGGCTGGGCTTGGAGCGCCCGAGACGACTCGGGATGTGAAGGGTTCGGAGGCTGCCTTCTTCCGGAACCGAGCTCGGGCGGCGCTAAACGTACCGGTGCTGCTGCACTGATCGGGAATTGACACGGCGAAAACGCGCTAGTCCTGTTTGGAAATTGTCTTCTACACTAGAGGGATCCCACCTTTCCTTCCATCATCTCTAAAAAACATCTACGGACCGTTCACACTCGCGCAGCAACAAAGCATTCGTCCATTTTTCTGAATGCTCCGCGATCGGTTGCACTTCAAAACGACTCCGAATATTTGTACTACACCGACCCTTCTGGAGCGCGCTGTCGAATCTTCAAGAAACGCGTGTAAGTCGCGTAAAGTGATTTACAGCCGTCAAGATGGCTCCTCGATCTCGAGCTGCCGCGGTTGACACCGACGCGTCAATGTCTGACGCTGCGGATGCCCATCCTGTGGAAGAGATGGTAAGTTCTTGCCACCATGGATTATCGCGTCAGTGTGCTCCCCATGGAGCTCACATTGCGATTGAATACTCTGGCCCTTTTGCTGACGTGCAGACAGGAAGTCGATGAGACACCCGACTACACCGACTCAGACACCAATGCGAATACCACTGCTAGCAGTGTCGTCGGAGAGCCCCTCGGAGATGGTCGTAGAAAGCGATCTGAGGCCAATCAGCTGCGTCGCAGCATCTTTGGCAAGAAGCACGACAGACTGGGCGAGTCAAAGGTATGAAAGGCGCAAGCTATTTAATCTAATGAGCTCTCAACCATTCTACATGTGCTAATTCACGTTTGAAAATAGGAAGAAGACAGTATCCGCCGATTCCGATACTTGTTGGGTCTTACGGACCTTTTCCGTCACTTCATCGAGACGAACCCCAACCCCAAGATTCGCGAAATCATGACCGAGATCGATCGACAAAACGCCGAGGCATCAAAATCCAAGAAGAAGGGCTCCCGCCAAGGTGGCGCCAGTAACGAGCGAGTACGCCGGACCGAAGCTGAGGAGGATGCAGAACTGCTCCGTGACGAGAAGCACGGTGGTTCCGCCGAGACGGTTTTCCGCGACTCGCCCGCTTTCGTTCAAGGTCAGATGAGAGACTACCAGATTGCTGGTCTCAACTGGCTTATCTCTCTTCATGAGAATGGTATCTCTGGTATCCTCGCCGACGAGATGGGTCTCGGAAAGACTCTGCAAACAATTTCCTTCCTGGGCTACCTCAGACACATCATGGACATTACCGGACCGCACATTGTCATAGTACCCAAATCGACTCTGGATAACTGGAAGCGAGAATTCGAGAGGTGGACTCCTGAGGTCAACGTGCTGGTGCTTCAGGGTGCTAAGGACGAGCGCCAGGCGCTCATCAATGATCGTCTGGTCAACGAGGACTTTGATGTCTGTATCACGAGTTACGAGATGGTTCTGCGTGAGAAGAATCACCTGAAGAAGTTTGCATGGGAGTACATCATCATCGACGAGGCGCATCGTATCAAGAATGAAGAATCGTCTTTGGCGCAGGTCATCCGTCTCTTCAACTCCCGAAACCGACTCCTCATTACCGGTACACCTCTTCAGAACAACCTGCACGAGTTGTGGGCTCTGCTCAACTTCTTGTTGCCCGACGTCTTCGGCGACTCCGAGGCTTTCGACCAGTGGTTCTCCGGCCGAGAACAGGACCAGGACACCGTCGTTCAGCAGCTTCATCGTGTTCTCAGACCATTCCTGCTTCGACGTGTCAAGGCCGACGTGGAGAAGAGCTTGCTGCCGAAGAAGGAGGTCAACGTCTACCTTGGCATGTCAGACATGCAGATCAAGTGGTATCAGAAGATTCTCGAGAAGGACATTGACGCTGTCAACGGCGCCAACGGCAAGCGGGAGTCGAAGACCAGACTGCTCAACATTGTGATGCAGCTGCGCAAGTGCTGTAACCACCCTTACCTGTTTGAGGGTGCTGAGCCGGGACCGCCCTACACCACTGATGAGCATCTTGTTTACAACGCTGGAAAGATGGCTGTTCTCGACAAGCTCCTGGCCAGAATGCAGAAGCAGGGAAGCAGAGTTCTCATCTTCTCACAGATGAGTCGTCTCTTGGATATCCTTGAGGACTACTGTGTATTCAGAGAGTATAAGTACTGCCGTATTGACGGCGGAACAGCTCACGAGGATCGTATCGCTGCCATTGACGAGTACAACAAGCCCGGTTCTGAGAAGTTTATCTTCCTGCTTACGACCAGAGCTGGTGGCTTGGGTATCAATCTCACCACTGCTGATATTGTCGTTCTCTACGACAGCGATTGGAACCCTCAGGCCGATTTGCAGGCCATGGATCGAGCTCATCGTATCGGTCAGACCAAGCAAGTCGTGGTGTACCGTTTTGTGACGGACAATGCCATCGAAGAAAAGGTTCTGGAGAGAGCGGCGCAGAAGCTGCGTCTCGACCAGCTGGTCATCCAGCAAGGCCGCGCTCAAGTCGCAGCAAAGGCTGCCAACAACAAAGATGAGCTTCTCTCCATGATTCAGCATGGCGCCGAGAAGGTGTTCCAGAGCAAGAGTGCCGGTGGCACGCTGGCTTCCAAGGGTACCGATTTGGACGACGACGATATTGACAAGATTCTTTCTTCTGGTGAATCAAGAACAAAGGAGCTAAATGCCAAGTACGAGAAGCTTGGAATCGACGACTTGCAGAACTTCACATCCGAGTCTGCCTACACCTGGAATGGTGAAGATTTCAAGACGAACAAGAAGGAAATTGGCATGAACTGGATCAATCCCGCCAAGCGTGAGCGAAAGGAGCAGTCCTATTCCATGGACAAGTATTTCCGACAGGCCATGTACCCTCCGAAGGAGAAGGACACAAAGCCGAAGGCACCCAGAGCTCCGAAGCAAGTGCCTGTCCACGACTATCAATTCTACCCGCCAAGATTGCGCGACCTTCAGGACCGAGAGACTGCTTACTACCGCAAGGAGATTGGGTACAAGGTGCCGCTGTCTGACGGTGACGACGAAAACCTTGACGAGCGCGAGGCGGAGCGAGCCTTGGATCAACAGGAGATCGACGAGGCTACCCCTCTCAACGAGGAGGAGCTGGAAGAGAAGCAGCGTTTGTCGCAGCAAGGTTTCGGAGAGTGGAACAGACGTGACTTCCAACAATTCATCAACGCCTCGGGCCGCTATGGTCGCAACGACTACGCGAACATTGCCGAAGACATTGACAACAAGACTGCATCTGAAGTCAAGCAGTATGCCAAGGTTTTCTGGCAGCGGTACACGGAGATTGCCGACTACAACAAGTATATCAAGGTGATTGAAGACGGCGAGGAGCGTATGCGCAAGATTGAGCATCAGAGGAAGCTGCTCCGCAAGAAGATGTCGCAATACCGCGTTCCCCTGCAGCAGCTTAAGATCAACTACTCCGTCTCTACCACGAACAAGAAGGTATACACCGAGGAGGAAGATCGATTCCTGCTGGTCCTCCTCGATAAGTACGGCATCGACTCTGCTGGACTGTACGAGAAGATGCGCGACGACATTGCGGAGAGCCCTTTGTTCCGATTCGACTGGTTCTTCCTTAGCAGGACACCGGTCGAGCTGAGCCGTCGCTGCACCACCCTGCTCACCACCATTGTCAAGGAGTTTGAGGATGTTCACCCGACCAAGGCTGCCAATGGCGTCAACGGCAAGCTCAAGAGAGAGGCCGAGGATGAGGAGAATGACGAGGATAGTATTCTCGGCATGGCCCCTTCGAAGAAGAAGACCAAGAACGGCGTCAAGGTGAGCGCTAGACTGGACTAATGAGTGAATTCGGCTAACCAGACATGCAGAATAAGGCGCTCGACAACGTCAAGTCGGAGGTTGGAAGCAAGAACACATCCGCTGCGCCCTCGAGAGCATCAAGTGTCGCCTCGAACAAGTCTGCCACCAACGCCAAGAGCAAAACCAAGGGCAAGAAGAAATAGAGGCGGGCGAGGGAGGCTACATGAGCAAGTTCAAAATTAGTCTTTGGGTTGGGGATAATGGCTTTTTATGGCAGTGGCTACGATAGATGGAGGCGTTTGGTCAGGCATAACATTTGGTCAGTTATGTGGTAAGGAACCCTCTTTGTATGACTTTCGCAGTAGAGGGAAACATGCCGTCTAGTGTTGGGCATCATTAGTCCGAACAAGACGAGAATAAAATGAAATCAAAGATAACCTTTTTCCAACAATGAGATGTATGAACTAGAGGGAGCAATGGCTCTGGTACGATATCAGCTAAGCAGGGCCGCATGACCTACCCTTTTTTCAGGTATCGTCACTGTAGACTTTCCGGCTCCTTGGAGCCCACACCCTTTAGTTACAGGGCAGATCTAATCCTTGTTCAGATAATGGCTTTCTTCATCAGTGTCGTCCTCTTCTCCCCTATGGCCGATTTTCCTGCTGTATCCCTTTAGCCCCGCGTCGTCCCTCGACGGTCCAAGATGTCACCAGTCTCAGTTCACCGTATCCAAGCTAACACCCGATCCAGCATCTAAGTACCAGCATCCACGACGATTTTTTATTTATCATGAACCCTCCCCGCCGTCATCGCGGATGAAAGCTGCTAGGCCCGGGCGCCCGTCATCACGACATCGTATCATTCAACGCTGTCAGCGCGGAGAGTTACTTGGGGGGTGCAGAAGACTTCTGCAGGCCAAGTGGCAAGCCAAAGGCGGGCAAAGCGTTACGGTGGGCTCTGGTGAAGGCCGTCGTGGACTTCGAACGACGTACTTTGCGGCAGAGGCTGGTAGACTTGAGAGGGAGATAGGAGGAGGAGTCAGTGGATGTCTTTGGGCTCGTGGCTCTTCTTCATTGTTTCGAGCATGAGCGCCAGTGCTCGTCGCAGTGCGGTCAGAGCTGGGTTTTTGAAGAAAATTTTGCCTGATCTATCACCTTTTATCAGAGGGCGGATATACTTGAAACGGCCATGTTTGCATTACTGTTTAATATGATGGCCAACAATTGGAATTCGGGGACATTAAAATTGGCCATGGCTGGTGTGAATATCGTCAAGACTGCTACTTTCCGGAACTACTTTTTCCCTGCACCTAGATGGGTGAGGCAGTATTCGGGCGTTGGGCCAAAATGAAAGTGAAACATTTGTATTGCTATGGGGTTTATGTGATTTCATGCGTGTTACTGACTGGTCTTCCATATTTCGTAGAATTCAACGGCAAAAATGTTCACAATCCTTAGGCGTTGTTGGTTGCCTTTGTCAGAAGAACAAAAAAAGAATAGACGCGATCCGTGGGACTCGAACCCACAGCCTTCCGATTAAAAGTCGGACGCTCTGACCAAATTGAGCTAGGAAAGCGACGACTTTTGTTGAATATTCGAAGCCACTTGGCTCACTATATACCCTTCACGCATGTGGGGTGCAAATATGCACCACACTTGTTCCCGACCCACGCCAAGTGAGCAGCTGTATGGGCTCTTCCTCACTGATCAACGAGATGAAAGAACGTCTTTGCATAACATCGTTAAGAGAAACTGAAGTCGGTTTATTTGAGGTTGTACACACGATCTTTGGGGTTCTGTCACAGATGGTTGGAAGCCTGATGTGCCACACAACGTGTTAGTACGCATCCCGTGAGGTATACGCAAATGATCAACCATATGCATCAGCTCAGATCGATATTAGTGCCTATTGCTTGACTTGTCGTGAGTGATTCTAGGCAGTTGCAATACTTGCAGAATGTCTAGAGCATCCCCAGACCACAGCCGCGTCAGTCTGCGAGTGGTTAGCTGGCGTAAGAGGGACCTGGAACGTCATTCCTGCCCCGCAGTAGCAACAATAGCACTAGCACTGCCCCTCCATCCCGGATCGACATCCCAGCTCCAGGTCCAGGTTCCCACTCGGTACTGTCGACCGCCATTGTGGTGCCTGGCTAGAAAGCTGAACCCCGACGCAACATAGCACTCTCCAAGACTCTTGATTGTTTCATCATCTTTGCTCGGAGCTTTAGGGACTTCTATTCGCATTGCATACCAGCGTGTTTGAAGTTCACACATCATGTCTGTCACCATCGACAAGATCTTGGCTGCTTCGCCCGCTACTCAGCGTGGCCAGCCGACACAGCTCTCCACAGACAACAAAGGAGAGCGCATTGCCTACGCTGTTAGTCCCATTTGCACCTCTCGACGAACAATGCCTCAGCTAACAATGCATTCGCGCAGGCCGGCAAATCCATCTTCCTTCGATCCATCGATAACCCTTCTATCTGCAAGCAATACACCGGCCACACAGCTGCAACGAGCGTCGCCCGGTTCTCTCCCAGCGGCTTCTACGTCGCCAGTGGAGATGTGTCTGGATCCGTGAGAGTCTGGGACGCTGTTGAGGCCGAGAACACAAAGGGTACGTACGGCATGATACCTTCACACCGCAGTTGGCTATCTTTCTTGGTCGGTACTGATTACGTTGCTAGGCGAATACCACATCATCTCCGGGCGCATCAACGACATCGGCTGGGACGGCGACTCCCAGCGCATCATCGCTGTGGGCGACGGCAAGGAGCGCTTCGGCCACTGCATCACGGCCGACAGTGGCAACTCGGTCGGAGAGATCAGTGGTCACTCCAAGGTCGTCAACTCAGTCGCAGTGCGGCAACAGCGTCCACTGCGGGCAGCGACCGTCTCTGATGATAGCTCCCTGTGCTTCCTGCACGGCGCGCCCTTCAAGTTCAACTCGAAGAACGCCAACGCCCACAAGGGCTTCATCTTTGGAACGGCCTTCTCGCCTGATGGCAGCCAGCTCGTAACAGTCGGCGCTGACAGACGCATTCAGCTCTATGATGGAAAGACGGGCGAGCCTACGAAGTCCATTGGCGAGGGAGAACACACTGGCAGCATTTTTGCCGTTTCATGGTCTCAGGATGGCACCAAGTTCGTTACTGCGAGCGCGGACCAGTCCGTCAAGCTCTGGGATGTGGAGTCAGGCAAGGCTACACAGACATGGAAGTTTGGGGACGGTGTCAGCATCGGCGACCAGCAAGTTGGCGTTGTCTTCCCCCACGGCAGGACGGACGGCTTGATCATCAGCTTGAACCTGAACGGTGATTTGATCTACCTGAACGAGGGTAGTGACAAACCTAGCAAGATCGTTCAGGGCCACAACAAGAGCATCACGGCTTTGGGCGCTTCGTCTGACGGTAAGGGCCAGACGCTTTGGAGTGGTAGCTTCGACGGACGCGTCTGCCAGTGGGATGTCGCCACCGGCACTGGCTCGGTGGTTGACGGACAAGCGCACACAAATCAGGTGACCCAATTCAGCGCCGAGGCGGGACAGACGTACAGTGTCGGATGGGACGATCACCTGCGGATAGTAGACGAGTCAGCCAACACCTTCGCGGGCGAGGCCCTCAAGCTTGCTGCCCAACCCAAGGGCGTGGCGGCCACGGATGGAAAGGTGTACGTTGCCACCATCGAGGGTGTTGATGTCTACCAGAAGGGCCAGCTCCTCTCCGAAAACCGCCTCGGGTTTACTCCTGGTGCTGTGGCCGCCTACGGCTCGACAGTGGTTGTCGGATCAGGCAACTCGGTCAAGATCTACACTGCGGATGGGTCAGGCAAGCTCTCGGAGACGAAGTCGGTTGACAAGTCGACGGCTTTGATTTCCTGCTTGTCGTTCTCCAAGGACGGCCAGTACCTCGCCGCAGGCAACCAGATCGGCAAGATTGTCGCCTACAAGACTGCCGACTGGGAGGTTGCAACGGACCGTTGGTCTGCACACACGGCGAGGGTTACGTGCATCAGCTGGAACGACGCGGCGACGCACGCCGTCTCTGGAGCTCTGGATACCAACGTGTGCGTGTGGAGTTTGGCTAAGCCTGGAAGCCGTGTCAAGGCTCTCAACGCTCACAAGGATGGTGTCAACGGCGTTGCGTGGGTTGAGGGTGGTAGCAAGATTGCGAGTGCCGGAGGCGATGCCGCGATCAAAGTTTGGACCGTGGCTGGACTGCAATAACTCTGTCCTGACGAACAATTTTGTAGATGTTTTCAATAGGTGATGGATGAATGAATGAAAAGCGACATGATGTTATCTCGACGATGAACGCCGTTCAAATTTGGGGGGTATCTCTCATGTCTAAGGAGCAGGCTCGTTGCCCCAGTGCCCATTCTATGCACTCTAGTTCGACCTTTCTCTTTCCCACAACCTCAAAGAGTATTCGTCATGGTCATTTCTTCCTCAATCTTGTCCAACGATGGATTTTCAGGGAACTCAAAGGGCTTCCAATATCGATAAGACTCCTAGCCCATCGTCATCTGCGCCACCTCCTCCCGCTGAACCTCCTCTCCAGCACCGCTGCCGCCGCCACCGTCACTCACTTGGGACCTCTTGGGCGCCGCCGCCGCAGCAGGACCAGTTTCGTCAGAGTAGCGGTTCATAAGCGCGCTGCTGACCTGCCAAACATCCACATCCACGGGGTCCACTCCCGTCGTGGCAATGTGGTGAGGCCGGTACTGCTGCTCCGTCTTATCGAGCTGTAGTACCAGCTGCTCCAGGGCCCACGCAATGTCGCCGAGGCGGCCCCAGATCCCGTAGCCCTGGCGCTGGATCTCTTCGGCGAGCTCGACCTGGTGGTTGTCTTTGAGGGTTGGGTTGGGGACCACGATGAGGGGCACGCTGACGCGCATTCCGTCAAGGATGGTTCCCGTGCCTGGGGATTCCTTAAATCAGCTTACACATACACACACACATATATTTATATGCCGACCATAGAAATCGAACAGCTTGACTTGAATATGAGTGATGGATGGCTCTGGCTTACCTGCATGACAGATGACCACACCAGCCTCCCGCATGCCCGCCTGCGCTCGACATTTGATCATCTCGGTAGTCAAATCGTCGACAAAGTCAAAGGCGGTGATTTCGATTCCAGGGTACTGATTCAGAATCGGAGGTAGAATCTGGCGGGAGAAATCTGCGTAGTCTTTGCCGCATTGGAGTGTGAGGTGCGTGTAGCGGTTCGAGGTGACATGGTCCAGAAACGCGTTGGAGAGGACCTCGGTCAGGAGCTGTGTGAAGCGGGCTGTTGCGCCAACTGTTACGAGGCAGTGGCGCTCAAGGGGCGTGTTTGGCTTTGAGGCCATGATGTGTGTTGTGACAACACTCCGTAGATTGCGGGATGGAGATGCAACCCCGTGGTGAAGTTGGTTTATGTTTGTGAAGAGATAGTCTCGATGAGTGGTGGTTGTAAAGTTGTGTTGAAGCTCTCACGGAAAGTCATTTTCACAGGGCGGGCACTGGTTGGGTGACATTCGAACGCTGTAACACAGCCGATTGGTTGTGGGACATGCTGGCAGATCGGTCTCGCGGCGGCTACTGGGCCCTAAGAAGACGGGATTCCAGGGATCGACGCCCTGGCCAGAAAGCTAGGGCCCGTCTTTGGCCTCCCGTCTGGCTGGAAACTTGGGGGCTCCAGCACGCTTAATCTAACGAGAACCAAGTCTAGCTCACATCGTCCGCCTACGTCTACTTCAACTTCAACTTCACGCGTCCCCTCTTCATCATGAGGCATTCATCTATATTCGTCTATGGGGTATCTATCTGCCTGTCCTCCTACTCTGAACCATGCTGCTTCGTCTCTACCTGCGTGTATTGACCATCTGCCTTCGGAAATCTCCAAAATGGCTCGACACCCATCTCTTGGAATCTTTTCTTCTCATACACCTTGGTCACCACCCAGCTGCTTACAAACATTACCACTACGATGCCAATTATACATACGCCAGCGATGAGTGGCGCCAGAATCGAAAAGACTGTGAAGCCGTAACTCACACTCTGAAACACGCTGTCGCCAACAAGTCTGTCCGTGGCTAAGCCGACCTGCATGGCCGTCAGGACGATGACAACATAACCGAGGATCGCCGCCAATGTTGCAAAGTTATCCCGGATCAAGTCTTCGTACACGGCGTGGGAGACAACCTTGGAATACCCCCGGAGGAGGTATCCCAGGCGGATGCGGTAAATCTTGTTCAGCCGACTGAGACGAAGCTCGCCGTACCAGTACCGCGGATTGACGGACGCATAACAATGGTTCTGCGCGATCTGGGCCGATACCGCCTTCCACTGGTACCAGTTCATCCGATCCGGGACCAGGCCTCTTTCGACGGCTATGCGGAAGTCGCTCTCGTATGCGATGAGGGCTGTGTAAGTGAAGAGGAAACCGAGCGCGCAGGCGACGAGCTGCTGCTTCCGCGGATCAGACTGTTTGTCCGAGGCTTCGGCCAAGTTGGCGGCCCAGAAGTCTGGGCTCAGCAGCCACCGGGGTATCGGCTTGATAAAGATTCGGTTCTTGGCCCAGACGAGATGAAGTTCGGGGTTCTCTGTGATGTGGATATCGCGCGATATCGCCTGGTAGTGGAGGGGCCGAGGCGGCATTGGACGGCCGCAGATCCAGAGGAGATCCTGGATGTCGTTGAGTCGTCGGACGAGCAGCTCTCGTTCCAAAAACTCAATGTCGTCGGCTTGCGGCACGGTGATGTGATCGTGCTTGGTTCGACTCGTTGCCGGTAGCAGATCGCTCCAGTCTCTTGGCTCCTGCACTGTCACTGCGGGATTGACGGCGTCATCGAGCACCCGGACGGTAAAGGGCACAGACGACTTCTCCATGGTGCGACTCAAGAAGCTTGACATGTGGACGATGAATTTCGCTTTTTGCTGGTCTTCGGTGTTGTCTGTTCCCACAATTTTCGGTCCCGACGCTCTTCTCTGATCTTGGAGAGATGTGATATCACGGTCCTCCGAGGCGCAGTCTGCGCAGTCTGCGCAGTCTATCAGACCGTCACTGTCGGTAAGCGGGCTGTTGGTGACAGGCCTTCGTTGCTTGTAGAAGCGCCCGCAATGGAAACGACTCCAACGGTGGTAAAAGCCCACCCGAAATAGCCAACGGCGTGATTAAGAACCTTTCCAACAAGCCCGATTCGGCTGGTAGAAAGAGTAGGCAACGAGATTCCATGGGTTCCAACAGTGGCGGTCCCCTGTCATTTTAAGATGACTTGATTGCCTAGAACCCTCCAGCCTGCAGCAAGCAAACCCGTGCTGAGATTCCGAATACAGACGAACCCGAACCCGCTACTGCAGCGTGAGACCAAATGCTTACCTGTGGGACAGCGCTACAAAATTAGAGGTGGTTTTGGTTCAGCTGAAAGACACTATTGGCGCAGTCGGACGATCGTTGGCATCGCAGGATTACAATGCATGGGGGTGGCTGACACCGCTAAGGTCGTTTCGGGCCGCCCAGTTGCAGGGAAGGGGGCTTATTAACATTTTGGACCCCAACGTCGGCAGCCCTGTCAGGCTATGCTTATTAGTTACGCCGGTGCCTAGCTCCGTTGCCAGCTCGTATTCAAAGCTTGTTGATCCCCAGTTTCTCGGAAGTCGCGGTTGTTCGTTTTGTCAGGTTCCGTTTCGTTGTGTAAGTTTCTTCCGCAGCGAGTGGCCACCAACATCATGTCTATCCGCCGCACAGGAACGAGAAGGGTGCCTCACGGCGCTCCTGGGGCCCCGAAGCCCAAGACGACGTATCAGACGGTTCAGCAGGGCTTCAGGGAGCTGTACAATCCTCAGAAAGAGACCGGTTCTGCCATTGATGTTGAGTACGTCTGTCGTTCTACTTGGTTGTGAAGTTTTGTGGTATCACGAAGGTCTAACACACCCGATAGTGTCGTCTTTGTGCCTGGGCTAGGTGCTCACCCGGAGGAAAGTTGGAAGTCGGAAGCCGGGTTCAACTGGGCAACCGGAATCTATGATGGCGTTACGAAGAGCTCATCTGAATCCGCCAGCAAAAAGGATGGCCTGGCAAGGGACTTCCCGAAAGCACGCATCCTCTTGTACCAGTATGAATCAGCATGGGTTGGGGATCTCAAAGTCAAGACTTTCTTGAGAGACATTGCCAAATCAATGTTGGAAGGATTGCAAGCAAATCGTGAGGTAGGTCGGCTGTGTGGAAATTTTGAATAATGGAGTCGGTCTAATCTGAAGGTAGAAAATCAGAGATCGCCCAATTGTCTTCATTGGGCACAGCATGGGAGGCTTGGTTATTGCAAAGGTAAGCACGCGATCTTGAGATCAACTGGTGCAGATTGTCGAGGCTTACAAACATCAAGGCTATCACACTTGCAGCAGAAGCATATAGGGAAATTTTCCCAAGGCTGTTTGAGTGCATCGCTGGATGTGCCTTCTTCGGAACGCCCTTTGGCGGTGCTCAAGTTGCCGCCGTAGCCTCCATGCTGGGTGATGTTGGCGAACAACTCGGGTACACCAAGTCGTCGGCGTTGGTCAAAATGATGACACCCGGAGACGAGAGTCTGAACGAACTCCGAGGCGACTTCCTGCGGTTGGCTCTCAAACTAAGCCCAGCCGTCCAGCTCTTCTGCTTCTATGAGAATCACCCAACCGACTTTACACAAACCAAGTTGGGCCCGACCATGTCGAAAATCGCAAAGGCAGTTGTTCCCAAGAAGCTGCAAGACTTCGTCTCAAGGGAATCGGCGACCCTACCTGGAATCGAGGAGATGGGTCTCGCGGCCAACCATCGAGATCTTGTAAAGTTCAGCGACTTCAAGGACTCCCGGTATCAGCTTGTCAGGGAGCCCCTGAAAAGACTCATTCATGGCGCCAATCTTGTGGCCAAGAACCGACTAAACTCGACTCGTGGCATCGAGCCAGAGGTTGTCAATAAGGTCATGGAGTTGCTGAACGGCGGTCAAGTTTCAAAGAAGCGCAAGATGCTTACGCCCCAGTTCCCACCATCAATCTGGATACCCAAAGCCGAGGCGTACCTGGAATGGTTGAAAGAGGACCATGGTTCAGAGGGCGCGACACAGAAGCACAGAGGACAGGCGCTGTACGTCCGTGGTCCCGAGGGAAGGGGAAAGACACGAGCGACTATGGCGGCCCTCCAGGACATCGACAACATTATACAGGCCGACGAAAAGGTGAACCATGGGCGAGGACCCGCCCTCGTTGCCTACTTCTTCTGCGACCCCTCTTCAGACTTTTTGACTGCCGAAGACTTGCTCAAGTCGTTGGTGCGACAGCTCATCGGTCAACAAGCCACCTTGTCTGTGTATGCGAAGCACTTTGTAAAGAAGGAAGATTCGGCAAAGACGTCGGCGAACCTCACGGTGGAGAACCTGTGGCAGACTCTTCAGGATATCCTTACGGACGAATTTATTGGCCGCAGAGTGTACTTCGTCATCAACAACCTGCATGTTCTGCCTGAAGATGCCGAGTCAACTGTCAAGTTGATGCGGTTTCTCAACGCCGAGCTGCAAGAACTCAAGACCGAGGATGACAAGCGAGTACCTACCAGATGGTTTCTCACAAGCAGAGAGGTCCATCATGTGGAAGACTCGTTAAAGGTGGACGGAATCCAGCTAATCGATCTCGAGGACGACAAGTACTGCGACCAGGTTCAGCGGGAGCTGCGCAAGTCGGCACAAGAGAAGGTGCAGGAACTCGGCAGCTCGAAGAAGTACAACAAGGCGCTCACATACTATGCAAGCAGTCTGATTGGGAAGAGGGCATCCAACAGTCAATGGATCAAGCTTTCCTGCATGCAGCTCGCGGAGCTTCCTGACGCAGAAAGTGATCTCAAGATTAGGCATATGCTCGAGGGTATGCCTCAGGAGCTCAAGGCTCTCCTTGACGCTGCGTGGGCGCAGATTTTCCACTCGAACGAAAAGGAGACTGACAAGATCAAGGAGCTGCTGCGGACGCTCGTCTTGACATTTGAAGAGCCCACTGAGGATGAGCTTGTTGTCTTGGCAGGGTTCCCTGCCACGGAGGCCGGAAAGATTGAGCTCCAAGACCTGGTGAAAAAGTGCAGGCCGTTGTTGACGGTGAAGAGAAGCGGCAAGTCTGAAAACACCATCGGTTTTATGGACAGAGTCGTCAAGGAACATCTTCTCGAAAAAGAGACGTCCAGGAAGACTCTGGGCATGTCGAACGACGAAAGTAAATGGCAGCAGGGCATCATTGCGCTCCGGTGTTTGGCGCACATCAAGGATGCGTTTGACTTCCCCGAGGAAGAGAAGCCTGTCGAGGAGGTTCAGGAAGAGAACGAAGAGGCAGAGACACAGTCTGTCAAGGACGAGGACGAGGAGAGTGAAGGATCGGAAGCGGGTGGTCAGGAAAGTGCCGCCGCTGATTCTGATCAAGAGGATTCGGACAGCGACACAGACTGGGACGACGAAGAATCCACCTACGGCTACCAGCAAGACGACAACGAGGCTGAAGAGGCGAGAATATTGGCCGAGAAGGTGCTGCCTTACCCCGTCAAGCACTGGCTGCACCACGCCAGCAGGGCTACGTTGGAGATTGCGGAGGATCTCAGCGAGGATGACTTTTGGAAGACGGAGTCTTTGATCCGATACCGATGGCTCGTCGTCTACATGTCCATGACGAAAGTCCTCGATGGGTTCGAACCCAAGGAGTTGACTGCTTTGCACATCGCAGCTGCGGTCGGGTTCAAGCAGCTTGTCTCGGCGCTCATTCAGAACGGCCATGAGAACGAGATCAACAAGAGAGATACTCTTGTCAATACTCCTGTAAGGCGAAGTTCCTTCCTATTCTTGAGCCATCGCCAGCTCGCATTTGTTGCCTCGTTACTAACATCCCTGACAGCTTCATTTCGCCGCCTACATCGGTAGACCAAACATCGTGGACGAACTTCTCAAGAGAGGTGCCAGTATCGACGATGGTATCGACATTAGCGAGCAGACTCCGCTGCACATGGCGGCATTTGCTGGCCATGTCAAAGTGATGGACAAGCTCATCAAGAGGGGCGCAAATGCCAACGCCATCGCCAGTGATGTCGGCCCAGTCATGAACGCCGCCATCTCGTCCGGTAGTCCCGACGCTGTCAAGCTACTCGTCGAGAAGCAGGTTTCACTGGCCGTCGAGGACGACAACATCGATTCGCCTCTGGCGCTGGCTGGTCTCCATGCAGACCTGTCCATGTTTGAGTATCTCACGAAAACGTACGCTGACAAGCTCCCGGCCAAGGAGTTTGACAAGGCCTTCATTAAGGCTGCTGTCTCTGGCAGAGTGGACGTATTCAACAAGTTGCTGACCTACTCCCACCCCCAAGAATGCTTCCAGACTGCGCTGAAGGTGGCGGCAGAGGAGGAAAACTGGGAGATTGTCATGATACTTTTGGAGCAGCGCAGAGGCCTCGACTGCAACGATCTTTTCCTTAGTGCGGCGACCACAGCGGAGCATCAGGACAAGGTATTGGAGGCCGTCTGGAAATACACCAATGGAAACATCAGGCCGGAGACTCTGAACGAGAGTCTGTACGAGGCTACTGATCTCGAGAAAGAGTCAACAGTCAGGTTGCTGATTGATGACTTCAAAGTCAACCCCAACGCAACTGGAGAATAGTAAGCTACCTCACCTACTGCATCACTACGAGAATCAAACTAACAAACGTTCAGTTACGGGACTGCCTTGACTGCTGCAGCATACGATGGCACCCTTGACATTGTCAGGTTGCTCCTGGATAGGGGTGCCGATGTCGACGCGCCCAACGGATGGGCTATCCAGGCCGCTGCTGCGGAGGGCCACTACGACGTGGTTAAAGAGCTTCTCGACCGAGGAGCTGACGTCAATGATCTCACCACGAACGAGAACTTCCCACAAGGAACGGCACTCCAGGTAGCTTGCGAATCGGGCAAGGTGGAAATTGTCACACTCCTGCTCGAGCGTGGCGCCAACCCTGACCTCGGCACTGGAGAAGATACCTGCCCGATCATCGCCGCTGCTATGAAAGGAGAACAGGCGATTCTCGAGCTCCTTGTCAAAGCCAAGGCTGAAGTTAACGTCTTTGGGGGTTGTGACAATTCGACAGTCTTGATCTACGCCGTTGTCAACCTCCCAGTCGAGTCACTGCGCGTTCTTGTGGATGCGGGCGCCGACGTCAACCTGACTGACCAGGAAGCTGATACAGCCTTGATCATGGCTGCCCGAGAGGGAGATGCGGACAGCGTCAAGTTCCTCTTGGACAATGGCGCCGATATCTTCCACGTCAACGAAGACAACGAGAATGCACTCCAATCAGCCATACAGTACGGAGATGACGAGGACTGTACAGCTGTTCTTGTTGGCCGTGTGTCTGAACTGATGGCGGCTTTGAGCAAGGCCATGAAGAACGGTAACACGGCCGTGATCGACGTTGTTCGTAGCACCGCTGTCGCACACCATGGTCTCGACTACGATGACGAGGACGCAAAGTCATCACAGAGTCAAGATGACAAGCAACCAACGAACCCCGAGGATCGAGGCGACGTCTTTGACGAAGACAATGACAAGGGCAGCGACGAAGACACCCCGCGGACAGAGTCGTTCCCCAATAGCGCCAAGAGAGTCGACGATGTAGAATCCGAGGAGAGCGCTTACCGGCCTGTGAGAGAGCTTTCCGAAGAGCTCGAGGCTGCCCTCGTCACGCAGGTCTCGCTGCTTCAAGGCTTCACTTCCCCGCCGCCCCGGCCAGAGAAGGTACCGGACCGGGAGCAGCCAGTGGAGATGCCGCCGACAACGATTGCGGAATTGCCCTCTCAGCGCAGATATTCCCAGCAGGTGCAGATGGAGGAGCAATTGGGCCACTACGAGTTTGACCAGCTAACCCGCATGGACTCCTACTCGAAGCCTGCCTTTGTCAAGCAACCGACGCTGCAGTGGGCCACACAAGCCGAGAGTCTGCCTGCCGCCAGCGAACCGCTCCTCTCTCCAGGCCAGGCCCCTATCCGACGGAAGCCGGCGCCCAACACGACGTTTGGCGCCTCGTACACCCAGAACGCCTCGCCCGCGCCGTCAAACGTGTCCAACAGCCAGTTCTCACCACCAGCACCTTCAGCCGCGCTCCGCAGGGCGAGTATGGACCAGCGCACCTCCTACCAAAACTCGACATCGTACCCGGGGGCGCCTGCGTACCAGGGCGGGGCGGGATACGCCGCCAGCCAGACGCACCTCGCTTCTTCGCAGCCTCCCGCGGCTAACCTTGGTCGGATGTCGATGGATCACCACGCACCCTATGACCCGTCATCGTTTGACAGGCCGACGCACAGTCCCGGGACGACGCCGCCGCAGAAGACGCAGCCGTTCCCGGACTTGCCGTTCCAGCCGCCGGGCGCCTGGCAGAATAGCCCGCCGCTCGCGGGAAGTCAACCGCAGCAGTCGTATTTTGGCCAAATGAGTGGGTCGCCGCCTCAGCAGCAGCAGCAACAGGAATGGGTTGGTCAGGATGGAAGGTGAGTCTTCTCGATATTGATAAAGTTATTCAATGGCAGTGGCGAAACTAACGTTTGCGCAGCAGGCCTGATATGAAAGCCCATCGCTCCTCTTTCTTGGGGATGAAGAACACGTTGGATAAGGCGAAGCAGTTTAGCACTGGGATCATGAACCGGAGACCGTCCGGGTTTTGAGTGACGCTATGCAGTTGAAGGGATAATCTGAAGGTCTGACGTTGTTCTGATACGCGAGGAGTTCATGATACCATAATGAAACTTTACTATTTAATTACAATTATCAGTGTGTTTTCCACGTTCTCAAACACGACAGAGGCTACAGGACATGTTGATCTACCCACGAAGGAAGTAGAGGATTCTGAATGTAGAAATGACGGTTAGGACTGGCTGTCTTTAACAATACCAAAACCGAGTATACACTCACTGGTGGATATGCGTTGTTTCCTCCCAGTAGCAAGGACAGGATGCGTTGATTTTGCCTCTTGATACCCTAGTTTCACCCATTGGGGCTCTCCATTAAGCCTGTTGCTGGCATTGTTGGATGTTCTTACGAAGTATATTCAGATCATTTCGCCTAACAAATTGATTGGGGGCTAATCGTCGAACGCACTTCAAAACTGCACTTGGAAGGCCGGGGAAGCCAAGGGAGAAATTGCAGCAAAAAGCAAAAGGCAGAATCAGGCTCAGACCTTTTCACTTCAGCAAAGTTAAGCATGTTCAGGGAGACGTGGTATTACCCACTCGAACACCCCGAGCACTTTCCCTTCAACTGATGATTATCGTGAACGGGCTTCGACTTATACTGGTTGTGGCGTTGACGATAGCATTTGGACCCACATGAATGTGGCTGAAGGATATGGATGTGGCTGGAGCTCGATCCAAAAATTTCCGGGGACAATACCCAGCTGGCCATCTAAGCAGAGCGCGATCAATTCCACGAAAACCAGCATTGCCCTCGGCCAATGTAAACTGAAACCACGCCCAACATGGCAGCAACAGGGCAAGCATTCCGACTCTGCGCCCGCAGCAGTTGTCGGATACCAACCACGCCGCGCATCGCCGCGACCCGCCCGACGACGACGACTCAACAGACCCAGAGACGAGCCTTTACCGCCAGCACCACGCAACGAGCACCGGGATTCGGCGAAGATCGTGACGAAGCCGTCGAGGAGATGGTGGCGCGCCTGAAGCCCGAGGACGTGAAAAAGCTCGAGAGGCTCCAGAAGAACGAACCCGAGTTCCAGCAGATGTCGGTGGCCAAGGGCCTTGCGGCGCGGATTGCGAGGGACAATGCGCAGCATCCGCTCCCGAGGCCCACGCCGAACAGGTCGCCTAGGGCGTTCATCCAAAGGAACTCGTTTTGGTACGATGAGGATGACCCGACGGCGCCGATTGATAACACGTTGGAGGAATTTGAAGAGGACGACATCATGCCCCAGGCGCACGGAAAGCTGGACGAGATTCGCGAGTACAGACATTACCACCGCATCATGGCGTGGGAGATGCCGCTGCTGTCCAGTACGTTGCAATTATCTTCTTGTGTCTCTCAGCCCATCCGAAGCCCCCCCCTTACTTCCTTCCACCTTTGGACAGAATGGCCGATGTGCTGACTACGGATTCAAACAGAGCTCGCCAAACCTTTTGAGCCGCCCAAGGAGGACGAGGTGCTGCGCTTCCGATACACGTCGTACATGGGCGAGCACCACCCGGCGGAGAAGAAGGTGGTTGTGCAGTTCTCGCCGGCGGACCTGGGGCTCACCGACGTGCAGGCGGACAAGCTCCGCAAGCTGGTCGGGGCGCGGTACAACCCGGAGACGGACGTGATCAAGATGAGCTCGGAGAAGTACGAGCACCAGGCGCAGAACAAGCGGTACCTGTCCAACTTGGTGGACGATCTGATTACCAGTGCCAAGGTGAGCAATTATTTTGTCATTCTCATACATGGCCCCGATGAAACATGTGACTTGGTCACGTCATGAACAAAGCAGGAGAGGCTAATCGAGGAAACTCTCTGTCATTAGGACCCCAAGGACGACTTCAAGGACGTTCCCCTCGACACGCGGCACCACGTCTTCAAGAACAAGCCCAAGTTCCCTAAGGAGTGGCGCATGAACGAGGAGCGCCGCAAGGAGCTCGACGGATTCCGCATGCGGGCGCTCGAGATCGACGCCGGCAGGCTCGAGGAGGGACAGGTCGTCGACGGCACGGAGAAGATTGAGCAGTTCCTCGCGGCGCCGCCGCCCGAGACGGGGGGTAAGGTGGCCGAGATGGTGGCTGTCCGGGGCCGGGGCGGTAACAAGCAAAAGGGTCTCGGCCGTCGGTAAAGGGTAGATAGGGGGGTTAAGTCCTGCCACTACTACTACCGCTGCTCGGCTTGAGTGGCCACAGACTCGGTTTTTCTTTCTGTCCAAGGTCTGATCTATCGGACTAGGTGGGAGGAAACTAGAAATCTTGTGTATGACTAGGCGGCGTGGTCCCGTTTATGGGACTTGAGCCTGCCCGTGTAACATCTCCATGTATACATCCGTGCCAGATCGGAATTATAGAAATTCAAAAACAACGGTGGCTTGCGTTAGAATGTTTGTGTCATTGTTTTTTTAATGGTGACATGTCAAGGCGTTCATCAACTAGCTATTGTTGACTTGAACGTGGGATAATGCGGCTGATTAGAAGGGCGACGAAAGGGCTCGAGGCGTCGTGTCAGATAGGTCGTGAACCATGGATTGCTGTCAGCATCCTCCCGTTCTTTCATGTATGGTCGTCTGTATAAGCTTGTCACATAGGTAAGCTCAGGAAAAGGTTGAGGGTTACAATCCCCTTTTTGGCACGTTGATTCTTGTCTGATTAATAAACAACTTGGTCGTCAATGTCATTCAAATATGCATACTCCATTGAACACAAGTCCGGGATGGAACCCACCGCTTTCCGCGGCCAAGTCTATTTTGCCCAATCGACTTCTGAAGAAACAATGGGGTTAAATCATTCTGAGTGCACCGACCGAAAAAAAAAAAAAAAAAAAAAAAGGGGGGGGGGGGGGACTTGAGAAACTCAGGAAATAGACGCGGGATTGCTCGCGTTTAGTCAGCCGCATTAATCAAGGTGTTGAGTGATGCCTCGGCAACTTTTTTCTTTCTTTTGGCTTGAGGTTGTGTTTGCTCACCATTTTTGCAGGCAGGCACACAGGTCAGATCGTGCAGGCGCAAATGGGCAGGGGGTGGCGCCCTGTACCTATGTGGGGAAGAAACGGAGCAGCGGGATTGGGCGAGCGGCGGCGCCGTCTTGGGAGATCCTTTTCTCGACCAAGTCAGGTAGTATGGGGCCTGGCCTGGCTAGAGCTCCCCAAGCTCTTGCCTCGGACTTTTAGCTAAGGAAACCTCAAAGCTCAAGCACGCGGTCGTCAATCTGCTATCTGGCATGGACCGTGAGGATGGACGGTTCACCTGAAGCTGTTAGTCTCTTCAAAAAGGCAGCTTGTTGTCTGCCTATACCAAGGTAGCTTGAGCATGGAACAAACTAGAGAAGAACGAAAAGCTTCGATCATGGCAATAGTCGACAAGCACCGATATTAATGGAAAAAGAGATGAAGCGGTTGGCTAATGGACCACAACGCAGTAGAAGTCCCAGGTTGGGACGGTGTCCCCGTCGCAGCCCGCTCCGTCGGGACATCTATGCCTCCATTCCCTGTCCGTCATATTATGCAACGCCATTCGGTACGGATCAGTCGCAGCCCTCTCTCCAAAGGTATCTGCATCCCATAACATGAAGGGCAAACGGCATACCTACCTTACTGAACAGTACTGCTGGGTGCCGTTCACATGCGTCTAGCGCACCGCACCGTTCCCGTAGCTTCCCTGCCTGCGCCTTCTTAGGGAAACGAGTTCGTTTCCAACGTGCAGTGCAGCGCATTCGCCTCCCCTTCCCCCTGCCTTCACTCACCAATGTTCACCTCCATTAGGCAGTCCCTTCCCCTCCATCTGCTGTCCCTCATTGCCGGACGGGTTACACATGTACTACATCACCACTCGCACTCGCATCATACAAGTCTCGCCATCAGCCAATTCACCCGACATACTGCAGATAGTCCCTTTTCCGCATCATCCACGGGATAACAGTACTGCTAGCAACGTCTCGGAAACGAGGAATTGACAATCACTAAACGATTCAGCATCTCCCAAATACCTAATAGTCGTTTGCTTACGGAGTACCTTCTCACATTACCTCCAGGTACCTCACTTAAGTAAGCCATCTCATGCGCCGAGGTTTCTAAGCCCGGGAGTCCCTACTCACATTAGACACTACTTTCCGTACCTATCCATCACACCCACGCGACACGGAGGCCGAGCACAGGTGGAGCTTTGTCGCATCCATCACTTTTTCCCTTACCTTACAAGCTACCGACGCCCTCTGCATCTGCTTGGCTGCTGATATTTGCTACTCGGACTACATAAGTCGAAGCAACCCTTACAACTCTATCTCCCACCACCAACACCATCTCCTCTTCTTTTCCGCGACCCCGAATCCCGACCATTGCCAACTTCCCCTCACGAACCTCTCCTCTCCCTAGGTCCGGTTCATCGCAACAAAGGAGGTACAGGAAAGAAGCACCGCCCCTTACACTGAAGAAGCACGCATCTCATCGCCATCAAAATGTCGCTCGCAACGGACACAAAGATCGCCGAGTTCACTCACACCTCAACCGACGACATCTATCGCCTCACAGACACCATCCGCGCCACATTCCGCTCCAACAAGACCAAGGATCTCAAGTACCGTACCCTCCAGCTCCGTAAGCTCTACTGGGCCATCAAGGACTACTCCCCACAGCTCTGCGATGCCTTGCGCAAGGATCTGAGGAAGTGCAAGCACGAGGCCGTCCTCTCCGAGGTCGACTGGTGCGCCAATGACTGCCTCTACATGCTCAAGAACCTCAGCAAGTTCGCCGCCGAGGAGAAGTGCGAGGATGTGCCCCTCACCTACGCGCCCCTGAAGCCGCGCATCCGCAAGGAGCCCCTCGGCATGATTCTCGTCATTGGCGCCTTCAACTTCCCCGTTCAGTTGACCCTTCTTCCTATCATTGGCGCCATTGCTGCCGGCTGCACCGCCGTCTTGAAGCCCTCCGAGAGCGCCCCGGCTACCGCCATGGTCCTGACCAAGATCTTTGAGGTTGCCCTTGACCCCAAGGCCTACACCGTCGTCAACGGTGCCGTTCAGGAGACCCAGGCGCTTCTGGACGTCAAGTGGGACAAGATCATGTACACGGGCAGCACTGCTGTCGGCAAGATCATCTCCAAGAAGGCTGCTGAGACCCTCACACCCGTCACCCTCGAATTGGGTGGCTTGAACCCGGCTTTCGTCACCAAGAACGCCAATGTCAAGCTCGCTGCTCGCCGTCTCATGTGGTCAAAGTGCCTCAACGCCGGCCAGGTCTGCATCTCTCAGAACTACATTTTGGCCGACCGCGCCATTGTCGAGCAACTCATCCAGGGTCTCAACGCTACTTACAAGGAGTTCTTCCCCAGCGGCGCCAAGAACAGCCCTGACTTCTCTCGTATTGTCAACAAGAAGTCTTTCCAGCGCATCAAGAAGATGATTGACGAGACAAACGGAAAGATCGTCATGGGTGGCGGTTTGGACGAGGACCAGCTCTACATTGAGCCTACCGCTGTGCTGGTTGATTCCATGCTCGACTCCGTCATGAAGGATGAGTCTTTCGGTCCAGTCTTCGCCATCATGCCGTACGATACCCTCGATGACGCAATCAACATTGCGAACCAGGTCTATAGGACGCCTCTGGCGCTCTTCACTTTTGGCAATGACCAGGAGAACCAGAGAAGTGAGCATGATCCACTAATTTCTAAGCAAAGGCTATACTAACATTCTCAAAGTCCTCAATGAGGTGACCTCTGGTGGCGCCACCATCAACGACGCCTTTTTCCATGCCTCCATCTCGACTGTCCCCTTTGGCGGCGTTGGTGACTCAGGCACGGGCAACTACCGCGGTCGCGCCTCTTTTGACGCCTTCACTCACCGCCGCTCCGTCGCCCAGACTCCGTCGTGGCTGGAGAGATTCATCCGCGTTCGCTACATGCCTTACTCCCCCAAGGAGCTTGCCCGCCTCCAGGGCATGACAGCCGACAAGCCCGACTTTGACCGCAGCGGTCTTCAGGTCCGCGGGCTCGGGTACTGGGTCAAGTTTGTCATGGGACTCGGCGCGAAAGGTGCTACAGGTGCGTTGTTGAGATGGGTCTTGGCCCTGGTAAGTATGTACACCCTAACCCAGCGAAGGCGTTCTTAGGACTTTGATCGGATGAAGTATGGGTTGCAAGAATGAGTTTCAAACACAAAAGAGCGTTTACCACACTTCACCTCGCTTGTTTCGTCTCTCTACCCAAACACACTTTCCCAGGTGCGATTGTCACTTGTTTTTTTCTACCAAAAAAACCACAACCTCACCATAACACTTGCCATGCGCACCATTTTCCTTTTGATTGTAAGTTTAGTCCCCATCAGATATGACCTGCCTTGGAGAGATACTGGGGGACATTAAGAACAAAAGTTTCGGCTTGTTGGACACACTCGCTTGGAGTGAAGGGACTCGTGTTGCTGGGATGGAATTAGGGGTGTTGGGTTTGAGGGCTAGACAAGCCTTGATCTCATCGCCGCATCTCAGACGCGTTTTGTACGGTACTGTGCTATATACCATTTTCCTATACGTTATGCGATAGTAATGTGAAGAAGGCCAAACCAGCCTCTGACGTTCGTTACACTTGATGTAGTCTATGATGGGGGTTTGAGCTCTTGTGTCGTCAGATTGAATTGATACATGCACGGCAACCATGGAGACCGTTGCATGATGCTTACTATTCTTCCAATCTTTATGGTGATATTCAAAAGGAAGCAGAGTGGAAAGCCCTCTCTCTAATCGGCAGAGAATCGAACCAGAAGCGAAGCGAAGGTTAAGGGCGATAAAGGAAGAACGGATTCCACTGGCGCCTCCTCAATCCCTCGACCACTGCCAGTTACACCTCAAGCCATGACAGAAAGGAAGGAGAGGAGAACCAAGTGCCACCCTCCCCCCGTTCCCCGCTTCGCTAGGGGGTGCTCACTAGCCGTGCCTGTTTCAAACACACACCTTCATAGGTCTCCTTTCTTGGCCCAACAACTATTACGAGTCCGCGATACCCTGGCAATACTTCCCCTGAATCACCTCGCTGTACCAACAGGAACACTCCACGACGTCCTCGCCAATTCAACAGGAAGATTCATCTCCAGCCTATCACCGTCGTCATCTTTCACCACCACTGACGTCTTCGCGCGGGTCGGTTTGAGTGCAGGTGACGGGTCAGAGTCAAAGTATCCCGGCCTGGCGTCCGACCTCTCCCTCTTCCTTCTCCTCCTACGCTGTCTCTGGCCTCCCCCGAGGAAAGTTGAGGAGAAGATGGAGGAGAGTGTGCTTGATCTGGAAAGACAGCGTGGCTGGGTAGGAGCCCTGGGCTGATGTTTTTCCTTTCCGTTCAGGAATGTCGTCTCCAGAGCTGAAGACTTTCCAGAATCGTGGGCTTGAGTTTCTGTTGTTTGCTTTCTCTTCCCCTTGTCTCTGGTATTGGGAAGAACCAGCCCTGCGGGACTCTCACCACCATCCTCGCGAGGAAGCCCAACTTCACAACATTGATTTCCCTGCTCAATCGGACCCTTCAAGCGCCTTGGCTCGCCGTCGTTGGCATTCGAAACAACAGCCAGCGCCGTGGACGCCGGGCCCCCATCCTTCTCAAGCCGCCGAGCGTTCCGGTGCGCCTTGTAGCTTCTGAAGCCGGCTTGTGCTGTGGGGTCGCCGTCGACGAAGCGTTCGAGGAGGAGTTCGAGACGGTCGCGGAGGCGGATGTAGATGCGGGCTGGGGTCGCTCGCGGTCGTGATTGTGGATGGTGTGGTGTGGTGGTCATTGGGAAGGAGAAAGAAGATGTTAGCTGCTGGGGAGCGTGATGGCGTTGAATCTCGAGTCTGAGATGTTTGATCTGCTCTTCCAGGCAAGGTACTTGGCGGTATTTGTAAAATATTGAGGGGCGTAAGTAAGGTTGGCGGTCCAGAGAGGGTTGTGCAGAACATGATGCTGAGCTGTCTCGTCCACCGTTCCGCGAACCCCCTGAGCGAGAATGAAGAGGTAGGTGAGATCCAAATCTAACAGCCCAGCTGTACCACGCACAACCTGCCCATGTCCCACTTCCCCCCACCGCGCGGAAACCAAAGAACAAATTGACGATTCCACAAAGGAAACAAAAGAAGAGGCTTGCCGTTTTTCATTCTATATGTGTGGTCTGGTTGGTAGTACAAAATCCTCACCACCCGACTCTTCCCGTCGCGGGAGAGTTAACCGCAAATCAGATACCTCTAAGCTGCGTATTATCCTGCTCGTCCATCTTGCGGTACCGCTCCGCCAGCACCTCCTTGACGGTCTTGGTCAACCCGCTCGGCTTCTCGTACCGCTGATGCAGCGCCTTCTGCACCGGCGTCGTCGCGGGCGCCACTGCGCCGTCCGCCTTGACGCTGACTTTGTCCTCGGCCACGCCCACCACCTGCTTGGCCGCCACGAGCACCGCCTCGCCCTGCTGCCGTCCCTTATCCACCACGTCGCCGACGACGGCCTTGACCTCGGCGGCCTTTGCGTCGATGGCCTTCTTGGCCTCGGCGGCTTTGGCGTCGAGAACCTTCTTCGCCTCGGCGGCCCTGAAGCGCGCGGCCTCCTCGGCAGCGAGGCTCTTCTCCCTCGCGCGCTCCCAGGCGCTGCGCGCCTCCTTCTTGATCTCCGCACCTCCTTGCTCCGCGACGGCGCCGCCTCGTGCCGCGGCTTCCTTGGCCAAGGGTACGGCCCTCTTCTCGACAGCCTGCTCCGCCTCGCCAGCCTTTTCGAGGCTCCCGCCCCAGAATCGCGCGGCGCCGCTCTCGAGTCCCTCGCGCACCTCCGCCCAGTCGGTGCGCTGCGCCCAGCGGACGGCGTTCTCGACCTCGCGGTTCCAGCGGTCTTTGGCGGAGGAGAGGAGCGTCTCACGGTCCTGGACGGCCTGTTCGGCGCGAGTTAAGGGCGGGGGGATGCGGATTTGGGGCTCGAGGAGGGAGGAGAGGACGTGGTGTTGGGTGCGGAGGGTGTGGGATTGGGTTTCGCGGTTGCGTTGGTGGGCGAGGACTGTGAGGTAGGCTACGCCTAGGGTTACGGTTACACCGCCGGTCTGTTTGATGGGACGTGGTTGTTAGCTATCCGATGTGCCAATTGCGTATTCAACTTCTCTGTCACTGGGAGCGGGCGTGAATCAGAGCCAGAGAGGAAGAGGGAGTGTAGCGTACGAATCCAGTGGTGAAGCCCATGATGGCTATTGATCCAGTCCAAATGCGACGGGGCGCAATTGAAGACCGAAATTTGATATTATAGTTCCTCTCCGTAGATTGTGTTTCGGTCTCAAGGTTTCATGATGCAATTGGAGCAAAGACGGGTCGTGGAAAGTCGAATCGAATTGGGGGTTCGCCTCACTTGTCACTGAATTGACCTCCGAGAAGCGGGACGGGATAGCTTCGGTGCGGAATGACGTTAATTAATCGGGTTTGCGAGCGAGCGAGCGACTTTCAGCCTCCCCGGGTGGATTTCGGCGACGAGCAGGGGTCAAGGTACCTTTTCTTACCTTCACCACCGTGCAGTTGCAAGTCCCCGCATAATTATCCCGCTAAGCCAACCAGAGGCTCCATAGCACCCTGCGCCAAAAATTTGGGAGCCCGGGACTCAGACGAACAGCCAGCGGGTTGCAGCGACTCCAAAGGCTATCAGTACGGCTTTTTTTGACGATCCAATTCGATTCGATATCCTCACTGCTCCGAAGTCTACCTACCGACCTGTTCACCACGCAGAGCAGTTAGCCCCAACCACAGGCCCCAAGACGAGGACCGAACGAAACGGGTTGCTCCCGCCCATCTCTCTCCCTCTCTCGATTGAGACGACTTCGACACATTCACAGCAGCCATGGCGGGAGGTCTCACCAAGTACAGGCATCTCAGCCGTAACTCGTCGGCGCGACAGGCCCTCCTCCGCGGTCTCGTCACCTCCCTCGTTGCTCACGAGCACATCCATACCACGTTCGCAAAGGCCAAGGAGGCCCAGCGCCTCGCTGAGAAGCTCATCACCTACGCGAAGCGCGACAACGAGGAGACGAGGCGGAAAGCTCAGGCGATTCTATACGTGAGTTCGGACGCTCCCCGTGGCAAGCAGTAGCTTCTTTGATATCGAAGCAGCTACTAGTCCACCCAGAGGCAGAGACGAGAGACTAGGAGAAAATGAAAAGGAAGTACTGATGAAGGACATCTACTAGACACCCCACGACCTCCTCCCCAAGCTCTTCGGCGAGCTCCGCACACGCTACTCGGAGCGCCCGGGAGGCTACACGCGCGTGCTGCGCACCGAGCCCCGGAGCACCTACGACCAGGCGCCCTCTGCGATCCTCGAGCTCGTCGACGGGCCCCGCGACGTGCGCTTCATGATGACGGCCAAGGCCGTCGCCAACGACAAGGACAACGGCCACCGCAGCACCGACCTGACCAAAAAGAACGTCGCCAAGGTGACAAGGTACCGCCAGGACGGCAAGACGGCGTTCGACGAAATGGTGGCCAGCTTCAGACTGCTCAGGGCCCGGTCGGACGAGAAGGCGGCAAGGAAGGAGGAGTTGTTGGAGGGGTCCAAGGTCAAGGCCAAGGCCCCCAAGAAGGCGTAAGCCGAGGCCTTTTGCCTTGGTAGTTGATGCTTGAGGTCGCTCGCAGGAGAGGGGGTGAGGAGACTGCCACAAGCAGAGAGGACGATGTGGTGTGGGAAAAAAATGTGTAACTCATAAGAATGGTGTATTATCAAGAAGGGAAATACCTGGCCAGTCTATAGATTACTGTCGTGTAGGGTATACATGTATACTACGGAAGCTCCAAAAAAGGACAACTTTTTAACGTCTGCCATAACATGGCAACAAAAACACATCTATCTTGCCTCCTTTTCCATTTTTCTTACACAAAATCAAAGGTATCGCCCTTCTCCTGGATCATCTTACCCACGCGCTGCGTGCCAACCACACGCTCCAGCTTCATGACATCGTACTTTGAGAACATGACGCGCACGGTACCCTGTCCGGGCTCCAGCCTCATGTCCTGCTCGCTGCGCGCGAGGTATTCGCCCGCAATCTCGCGGTAAAAGATTGGGTTGTCCGGCAGGCTGTACATGATGACGCGCTGGACGCCGCGGATCTGCGTGCGCCGGAAGTGGTGCGCTCGCTCCGTGTACAGGAGCACCTTGTGCCGGCCGTTCAAAAAGTGGGAGCGGGCGCGCGAGGCCTCGGGGACGTCGGCGTACTCGGAAATCGTGCCAAAAGAGAGGGCGGCGACGGCCGGGTTGGCGGAGAAGTAGTTGCGCACGCGGACGAAGTCGAGGTATGAGGGGATGAAGATGAGGGTGCCCGAGGTCTCTCTCGCGCGCTTGATGAGGGAGGGGAGGATGGCCGAGACAAAGTAGTCGAAGCGCGCGTCCGGCTCCTTTTCGAGAGAGCGGCACTCGAAGCGGGAAAAAGTCTGGCGCGCCTTGAGGCCGAGCTGCGTGAGGACGCCCGGGTGGTCGGCTTGAAATCGGACCTTGCCGGCCCAGTTGTGGCACTGCGTGCGGAAGAGCTCGGTGAGCTCGGGCGTGTTGAAGCCGGAGAGGACAATGGTCTGGCGGAAGTACTTTGCCTGGTCGTCGAGATACCAGCTGCGCACGCGGCCAAAGTCGCAGCCGTGGGCGTCCTTTGGCTGTAGGTTCATGTGCTCGAAAATGTACTCGACGTGCTCCCAGTTCTGCATGAGCTGGGCGTCGGCCTGGTCCGCGATGACCATCTCGATGGAGCTGAGGAAGTCGTAGTCCATCTTCTTCTTGTCCTCGTCGGAGCCGATAGCCATGCGCAGGCCCAGGGGACTGGCGAGGAGGATGTCCGAGTTGTAGAATTGCGAAAAGTACTTGACCGTCTTGCGCGTGAACTTCATGCCGATCCGGAACATGTCGTCGTCGTTGCCCTCAAAGAGTTCGCGGAAGTCAGAGGGCTTGTCATCTCCGAATTTGGCGTCCTCGTCGGTGTACGCATCGTCGAAGCGCTTCCTATTTTCCCGCTGGTCAGGCGCGCAGATATCCTCGATTGTGTTTACAATCTTCAGGCAGGACTGTCTTGTTGGCAGCAGGAATAGGATCTTGGGACGCGTGAAGCCCTGGTCTCTGAGCTCGAGATCGGCATTCTCTTCTCTTGAGAGTTTGTAGTTGTTCTTGATAACTCTGTCTCGAGTTCTGTTTGTATGTGAGCATTTGAGCATTTCGGAGGCAAACAATGAGAAGTATCCTTACTTGAAGACGTGGTTGACGGCATGTAGGCACACAAGCTGCCGTAAGCCGTCAGAGTTTTGGGTGTTTCGGTTGTCGTACAACACATCGTTGTAGTTGAATATCGTCGGGGCAATGGCTCGTTGCAGCGTGTCGAGCGAGCTCATCTTTTTCGAGGCCGTCTCCCGCAACTTTTGCTTGAGCTTAAGGCTGACCAAGCCAGAAATCGGCGAGGGGATCGTCAGGGTGTCTGATCCCTCTACTTGAGGGTATGTCACCACAGCTTTCGAAACCTTGGACATTGTCCGCTTAAAAGCCCATTCGTTATTTTGAATCGCCTTGACTCTCTTCGCCGTTACACGTTCGTCAGGAGTAGTGAAGTGGCTGTCGAACGGATCTGTGACATCGACATCGTCTTCGTCGTCGCTCTGCTCCGCTTCCTCCTCCAGGTCAGCCGTTGGGTCTTCAGCCTCTTCGACCCTGTCGACGTCCTTGTCTTCTTGCTCCTCTTCGGGCTCGTCGCCATCAGATCCAGAATCGGATCCAGGCTCCTCAGACTCAGACTCGGACTCGGACTCAGACTCAGCCTTGGCGGTGGTTTCTGGCTTGCCACTTTCGAGCTTCCGTCTTTTAGCACTTGGCTCTGAAGACTCCTTGAATCCTTGAAGAAGCGCCATATAAGGCCGCGTGTTCTGGGGCTGCTCATCTTCTTCCTCCTCATCATCAGACATGGAGACATCAGAGTCCTCCTCCACTTCAGAGTCTCCCTCTTCCTGAGATTCATCATCTGAAGACCTGACGATGTTAGATCTTCACAAATCTTCACACAATTTTCGCAAAGGTCAAACGTACTCTTTTTCTTCCAGGCGCGCAGTGTCGAACCTTCTGCCTCCTCTTCCTCTGCCCCTGCCTCTTGCGCCTCCTCTGCCTCTTGCACCTCCTCTACCACCTCCCCTGCCACCACCACGGGCACCGCCTCTGCTTCCTCCCCGGAAGCCGGCCCGACCTCTACCTCTTGGACCCATTATATCTTACTTTGATTACTGATGAATCTGACTAAGACCTAACAGCAAGAAATGAGTTTCAAAAGGACAAGGTGAAAAAAAGAATGTTCACCGAAGCAAAAACTCACTCACTTTGTCGCCCGAAAAAAAGTTGTAAGTCGGCGATATCAGCCTTGCAGAAAATCCCACACTAGTCACCAGCCACAGCGGGGCATATTCCGCCACAAAGACCGTTATCGTGTCTTATCTTAGCGCGCACAACCCAGTAGGGGCCAACCACAAATCGCAAAATCGGCAAACTGCCCACTAGGAGAAAGCGAAAGAGTTCGACGATTTTTTGAAGCGACCTATCGCGAAAAAACGCTCCGACCAAAGGCCCCAAACCCACTCTTCATTTTTTGGCCCGCGCATCACCACCAACCCGAATCCCGCCCTCCACCTCCCCTCCTCTTCTCGATATCTCCTCCTCAACCGCAGGTCTCCCCCCTCGAAAAGAACCTCGCCGACCGAGATCCAACCTGCCCAGCATGGCTGTCGCCGAAACTGAGAAGTTCCTCCACCTCTCGCGGCCCATCGCGCCGGCCACGATTGGCATCCCAGGCAACATTGCCCCGCTCACCGTCAACATCCAACCCCAGGTACGACACCTCTTGCTACGCTGCAGGACCTGATATCATTACCCGAGACATGTCATGGACCTTTACAAAGCTATGACATGTATACACACATCCATCATCAATACAGCCTCTGCTCCCGCGGGGGATCACCAACTACTCGTTGCTAACCCCACCTCCTTTCCTCCCAGGCCATCCTCTCCATTCTCGACCATGCCGTGCGAAGAGACATCCGCGATACGCAATCAACCCGCGTTATCGGCGCCCTCGTTGGTGTCCGCTCCGAAGATGGCACCGAGGTCGAAGTGCGCTCCTGCTTCGCCATTCCCCACACCGAGAACGAGGACCAGGTCGAGGTGGACGTCGACTACCAGAAGAACATGCTCGCCCTCACCCTCAAGGCCAACCCGCGCGAGTCCCTGTTGGGCTGGTACACCACCACCCACGAGCTCAACTCCTTCTCCGCCCTGATCCAGAACTTCTTCGCCTCCCCCGAGACCGGCACCTTCCCCCACCCCGCCGTCCACCTCACCATCAGCACCGACCCGACCTCCGACATCGAGGCTCGGTGCTACATCTCCGCCCCCGTCGCCGTCAACGCCGAGCGCGCCGCCGAGAGCTGCCTGTTCATCCAGGTGCCCCACAAGCTCATGTACGGCGACGCCGAGCGCAGCGCCCTCGAGGCCATCTCCATGGCCAAGGACACCGAGGACCGCACCGCCCCCGTCGTCTCCGACATTGAAGGACTTGCCCGCTCCATCGAGTCCGGCGCCAACCTCATCGAGCGCGTCAGCGACTGGGTCAACGGCATCCTCGACGAGGACGAGGAGCCCAACCAGGCCCTCGGCCAGTACCTCATGAACGCCCTCTCCCTCGCCCCCAAGGTCGACCCTGAGCAGATTGAGCACGACTTCAACAACCACATCCAGGACGTCCTCATGGTCTCCTACCTGGCCAACACCATCCGCACCCAGATTGACCTGTCGCAACGGCTGGCTGTTGCCAACCTCACCGGCGGCGAGAAGGACGGCGAGGGTAAGACGACCGAGGGCGGCGAGAAGGGCGAGCAGCAGCGGGGTGGCCAGCGTGGCGGCAAGCGCGGTGGACGCGGCGGCGGTCGTGGCGGTGGCGGCCAGAGGGGAGAGCCCAGGGAGCCCCGCGAGCCCCGCGAGCCGAGGGAACCTACCGAGTAAAAGGAAAAGGGGCAAGCTAATTTGTTTTGAAAGAGGAAAAAAAGAGTAAATTCCCCTACACATGCAAAGTTCATGTTGAAGAGAGAATTACACAAGCGCCCACCCCAAAAATCTGACCCCTCCGAAAAAGGGGAACAAGAGGTCGAGAGGTTGAAAGAGACCAGGACAAGCTTGATGCTGGGGATTTTCTGCCGCAAGGTTAGCAAGCATGGCATCATGAGAAACCCACACTTGATAAAACCATCATGGCGTTATGGCAGTGGCAGAATTAGACGGCCTAGGGTAGAATGCGCTAGGCAGTTGCAATGATGATTATTCACGCTTTCATGCAAATATCCAAGACACATGAGACATTGGTCCAGGGGTGCTGCTGTGCTGTTATGCTGCGTAAAACTTCAAAAAAAGGTTTGAGTGATAATTAAGGTGCGTAAGTGTTCTAGCATGCAATAGCCTACATGATCTGATGCCATCCTATCCCTCCCGTGTGAACGCCAGTATGCTGTACCTGTAAAACCCCTGTACGCCGTTCATTCTGCCATGGACCGTCCAACAACATCAAGCGCGTACCTAAATACCCATGTTTGGCTTTTGCGGCAAAGTAGCAGGGTTGCCGTAGTGCGGCAGGTGGCTGAACGTCTGTCCGGCCGGACCCTGAGGGATGACGGGTTTGTTGGGAATATGGGGGGAAGGGTTTTGAGGGATGTGTTGCGAGGGTTGTTGGGGGATATGATGGACCGGTGGTTGAGGCATGGGATTCAAGTGATGAGGGTGTTGAGGCGGTGGCGGGTGGTAGGAAGGAATCGAGTTGTTCGACCCTTGCCTCGCCATGGCATAACCGTAAGGTGCTGGTGGGCCTTGCTGTTGGTAACCGGCGTATGCCAGATGAGGTGAGCCAATTTGGGGGCTACCATGGTGAGATCCAGGAGCACTGAACGGCGGCTGTGGCGGCTGCATCGGAGCCATGCCACTCCCAGGGACGAACGACTGCGTCTTGGGGTTGAAGGCGTGGCGATTGTAGCTGCCGGGAATGGGATGCTGGCTCTTTGGGTCATTCGGGTTGATGTGGGCCGGCAACTGCCCATACATGTACGGAACAGTGCTTTGACTGGGCGGCGCCGACATGCCCCGAGGCGTGTAAGCGGTGGCACTGGCGGCCGAAGGCGGAGTCATCGGCATCGGTGCCGGTGCCGGTCCGAACCCTGGTTGAGGTTGCCAACCTTGTTGTGGAGGAGTAGGACCGGAACCACCGTAGCTCCTAGCATTCGGAGGGGCTTGGAACTGGGCCTGGTTTGCAGGAGGCGGATACTATTTTCAATCAGCCTTACGAAACCGAGGACGGAAAACTTGACTTACCGGTGTCATGTTAGGATAAGCCGCATTGTAGGCCGTGTTAGGCATCATAGGAGCAAATGTTTGCGTCGGTGTAGTGTTGTAAGGGGCTGCGGGTATCTGATTGGGATAGGGCTGCTGGACTGGCGCACCATACTGGTTAGACACAGGAACATACTGAGGTTGCGGCATCCAAGTCTGTTGCTGCGGGCCCCAGTATGGTGTGTAGTTGTGTCTCGAGTCGAAGCTGTCTGAATCATCCCGTCTCTGCTTCCCAGTCTTACCCCGTTTGCTGACACCAGGCTTCTCCCTCGCAGATACGGAGCTGGCACGTGAAACACCATTTTCAACCTCGTTATCTTGGAACACAGTCAGTGGCGGTCCGAAGGAAGGGTTGAGAACCACACATACCAGGCGTGGATTCGCCAGTCTTCTCAGAGTTGCCGAATATCCTCTCTCGGGCCTTATTGTACGCCTCTTCACGCTGCTCTCTTGACAATCTGAACAGGTCAGCAAGTTGCAATCATTCGAAAAAGGAAGGGTGACATACTTCTGATTTGCCGCAGCAGACTTATCCTTAGAGTCACTGCCGGTCTCGGACGTGGCTTTGGATGGAGAAGCGCTATTACTCCCAAATTCTCCATCCTCCCCACGTCGCATGATCTTCCGCGGCAGGACCGCTGGGGGAGGAGGCGTCTCGGCATTGGTTTCCGGAGCAGCGATACTAGCAAGCGACTCAGGCACTCTGGCATAAGGGGTTCTGAAGATTCGGACAGATCCCACACGAGCTTCATATTGATGCGTCATACGGTAGTAGTCAGCCAGCTTATGTGTGAGCATCCGACAAAAGGAGTTTGAAGGCGGGAAGTCCATGTATGGGTCTCTGATATCGTTGTTAATGACTCAACGTACCCTGATTCATTCTGTAGGGTACTCACTTGGAATTCTGAACAAACTTAATCAGTTCGGCCTCCAGCCGCAACAGGAACAGCCGATCCTTCGGGGAAGCCATAGCCTCCAACAGTTTTTCATCCGGTGCCTGTCCGTAGATGGTATTCAAAAGATTGGCAGAATCTGGGAGGTTGGCGGACAGGGCGTTGGGGATGGGCATCTGTGGTTGATCTGACGAAGCACTCTGGGGTGTGATCATGCCTTGGCTTAAGGAGCCAGAGATGGGTTGAGCGAGACGGCGGTCTGGCATATCGCCAAGCTGAATGATGCCTCTCGCACGCGCCGCAATATCGGAGCCCATTCTGGAGTTTGGTAGATTTGGCCCCCGGAATGAGAAGGAATCGTCATCCTCGGCTGCGGCGGCTTTGACGCTGGCGCTGTCATCCGGCCGCAGGGATTCCTTCTCGTCCAGCGCAAAGGTCGTTCCCGATGTGATGCTTTTTCCGTCCAGACTTGGAGGCTTGGTACCGAACTCCGAGCTGGAGTCAGCTCTCTGGGAATCGTCCGATCCATCCTTGGTTATCGATTTTGATCGCTCAGCAAACGAAGAGCCCGTTCCATTCACAACAAGGCTCGGAGTCGGTTGCCCAATGTTTAAATCCTTCAATCCATCCAACACGGCACCGGTCGCATCGGGCTTCTTGGGTAGGGTGGGTTCGCGCTTGGCGACAGTCGGCGCAGATTTCGTGGAGTTCATGATCGCGGGTTGGCGAGTATCAACTCCTGCTGAAGTGGTAGACGCGGGTATAGAGGCAACACCGGGAGGGGAAGCTTGGCTGGGACGGTCTTGAGCTGGCGCAGCAACTGGTCTGACGGTAGTGACGGGTTGGGAATCTTTTGATGCCGATGCAGCGACCTGGAATAGCGCAGAGATTGTCAGCATTCATTACTAGGCAACTACTGACTGAGCTTTGAGAACGAGGGGTAGCTCAGGAGCAAATCGCACCTTTGCGAAAGACGGCTTAGGAATGTCAGACGACAACTGGGCTGTAGCCATAGCCGGAGTAGAGGATCGGAGGATGGCTCAACTTCAGCCGTGGGTAGTAAGATGGAAATGAAAGTCGTCCGCTGAAGTAGCTTCGCGCAGGTAGAATGGTAGGCGCGCGACGAGACGAAATAGAAGTCCAGGTCGAAAAATAATTAAAGACGAGGTCCGAAAGCAAGAAACAAACTGGATCAAGGCGAGCCTGCAGAGGAATAAATACCGTGGATCATCGTCGGGACAAGCTCGTCATCGTAGCTGTTGTATTCCTGAATGTTGGATGAATGATGGGCCCAGTTCCTCGTTGCAGGGGAGAAATGGGAGTTGTCCGTTGCGTGTTGCGTCGAGTATATGTGCGCCTGAGTGGCTGTCCGTTAGTCGTTGTGGGAAAGGTTTGGTTGCAGGAAGCTGGAAGATAGACGCGCAGCGGGTGAGACGAGGCGACGTGAAATTTTGGCGGCCTGCGAGGCGGATAGTCCGTCACGGGCTTGGGGGAGAGGGGTGTGGTGTGGGTGGTGTGGTGCAGACGATGGTTTAAGGTAGTGGGAGGGAAATGGCAGAGCTGTGGTGTGGGTTTTTGGGATTGCGCTGCAAAGGGAAAAAGAGAATGGGGAAACTGGAGAACGGAGCCAACGACTTGACTTCTCAGCTTTTGGCTCACTCACCCTCGGTATCTTGTAGTGCGAGATCACTCACTCACTCACGTACTCGCTCACTTGCCCAGTCCAATAGGTACTGATATCCGTAGTCTGATGACAACCTTATGTCTCAATCTCTCACTTGTGTTGCGTGAGGCCCTCGCTCTCTTTCTCTCTTTCTGTCTCTTCCTCTCTCAGTTGCTATCTCCGATCGCAGAGACGTGGTGGAGAAGCGGGAAGCTTCAATGCTGGCAACGCCGAATCGAGCGGACAACGGTCTCAAGTCGGTAAAAAGTGGTGTCAGACGGCTGCCATCCCCTCCGCAACGTCTTGTGGGACGTCAAGCTGAAGAGTCGGGTGGTGATTGGGATACGGGAATTCTGATGAGCATCAAGCAGGTAGGTCTCGGGCCTGGGTAAGGTAGGGCAGATTGGCTGGCAAGAGACAAAACGACAATAGGCTGTGCCGAGAGTGGCTTGGTGCCGGCAGATTCCTCTCGGAAACCTTAGGTTTGTGGCTGGTGCAGGTTTTCCGATCAATCCCTCCACTTTACATAAGCGTCCGACTGAATCAAACCTCATCTTTCTGTCACTGTAGCAAACCACGTTCGGCAGACCCAGTTACAACTGTAATACAGCTGACAGCGGCAGAACACGACAACATCTGTCGTTAATAATGAAAATACCAGTGTTGCACCGGAGTCTCGAATTCTAACCGAGAAAACGGAAGAAAATCTCATCTGCTTGATCTTACCGTACCGGACCACGAATCGCCATCCAGACTTACAACAGTGCGATTCCGACAAGAGCCCCATTGAGGACGCCAGCGTAACGTCAGCCTGAATACTATTCGGTGATCTCCTCGTTCACGCATCCGGCTTATCCAATGCACCCCTATAGAGGTCGTGGCGGACCTCGCCAATCCACCCCAGCAAACGTCCAATGTCAAAAGTGTCTCAAAAGAGATAAGTCTACAAGCAAGCGATACATTACAAACATGAAGCTGACTCTCACAGAACGTCACTACTCGTATGAGTGCAAAGAGTCGGCTACGGCCCGACCATATGTGTCTCGGCCGTCCCGAACTCAACAGCTCCGCAACCCGAAGCTGGTGCCCAAACTGACAAACGATACGCCAGATGACGCGCAAAGAAAGTCAGTAGCCCATCTCCGTTTGTATGTTATGTACATTATAGCTAATCCGTGGTGTAGGAAAGGAATTGCTGATGAGGAGCTCGCGAAGAAGGAAGCCGAGAGAGCGAGAAAGAGGGAGCTAGACGAGAGAGACGACGAACTCATCAGGCAAACAGAGACCAAACGCAGACGATCCGAGTCTGTTGACTCCGTTTCCACCATCTCAACGAACCGCTCCGCCTCGCCCCCGCCTAGGCGGCGCTCACCCTCTCCCGCCCCTGCTCCGCGGAGACAGAGATCATTCAGCCCAGAGAGTAACGATGGTCGCTCTGTCTCAAGAAGGTCAGCAGCAAGCATACGAACTCAGTCTCCGCCTCGACGCCGCCAAAGATCTCTTTCTCGGGACAGTCGTTCACCCGTTGGAACTCATGAGCAAAACTATCGTCAGAGAGATGCGGACCATGCTAGACCTACCGCCAGGGGTCAGGCGCGCTACTCGCCCGATTCCAGGGATTCATCAATCTCAGGACGTGGCATGGAGGCTGCTGGCAGCAGACGATCGTTGTCAAGGTCCCCCGATCGGCGTGTTGCGATGCCACAGAGCGGCCCAAGTCGACGTGCTGGCAGGAATGACGGATATCGAGATGAGCCTCAGCCTGGACAGGCTCGAGGTGGTGGGAACGAAAGGCAAAGTCGTGGATCTGAGCGACAGCCAGAGCGAGAGCGCAGTCTCAGTCCATTTTCCAAGAGACTGGCGTTGACACAGTCCCTGAATAGGTAGCTATTGGGTATCAATTATCTGTAGGCCAAAGGGAGTTCATGCCTGCTCCGCAACCGTATAATACAAGGGTGTTCCACTTCTCGCGCCGGGGTTTGCTGCTTTAGACAGCCAGATCTTCATCCTCTTCAGCTGCCTTCTCTCGTCTCTCGTCCTCTTCTTCCCTCTCGCGCACACGCACTCCTTCCACTAATGCGATACCATCAATTCCGGCTGCGTCGCCCTCCCTGCTACCCGCTTCGACCTGCTTGGCTTGTGTGGCCGCCTTCTGAGCACCTGTGATGCGCTCCCTCACCAGCTTCGCAATGGCATTGTCCGTCCGAACGTTGAGGATCTCCAGCTTCTTCTCTAAGTCTCTCTTCAGATCCCAATTCGGCTTTTTCGGCTGAAGCTTGAAAAGATCGATTCCCTTGTCGTCCTGCGCTTCTTCGGCCGCTTTTTGCTTTACATCCGCCTCAATGTCTGCCGCAAGCTCTTCGAGCGTAGGGTTTTCTAGGTCTTGGGTCGGCGGTGCCTCGAAGCCAAGCTTCGGACCGCGCGTTTCTGGGTCGTAGTTGCGCCCGGAAAGGTGCAATTTTGTGACGTCTGGCTCTGTTGGGGGCGAAGCTGCGCGTTCTGACTCTGGCGCGACAATCTCGTCCGCTGGCTGTTTTCTCTTGAGGTTCTTGAGCTTTGCGAGGCGCGCTTTGCGCTCGTCTGTTACCGCGCTTAGGGTGGCTTGGCTCGACATAATGCTAGAATGGGTGGAAGTTTCAATGGGATGACCGGTCTTGCGGTAGGATGATCGCGGGTTCTTCGAATTAGGATGTAGGTGAGGTTATAACTTTTGGTGAGCGCGTTGATCGAGAGTTTGATGGTTGAAAGTTCAAGTTCGGCTTGTAGTGGGGCTAGAAGTCGGCGAGGCATTGGTACCACGGCGGAATGCTTCCACGGAATGCGCTAGCGGATGCACGGTCTTCCATCCTTCAAAATCGCATTTAGCTCGCCAGGGGTCTAGGGGAAGCTCCCGTCTGTCGCCAAAGAAAAAATCCCAGGTCAACGACTGCAGCCGCGACAGACCGATACCTTTACTCCCAATGCTCCAGGACAGTTAACGAACATTACGGTTGCGCCGTTATCGCTCGAATGCCAGAGAGGCTATCCATACCCGTAACGATCGGATACTCTGGCCTGGTTTCTGCCAACGCCCAAACACTTTACCTGCGATGTCGCACTCCTTAGTATGCCGACAATGCCCACCACTCATCCGACAGCGCAGCAGCCTCGCAGCGAATAGCTTTATCCAGACCTCCTTACATGCTCGAAATAATACTACCTTCGCTATAGAAACCTCCACAGAACGGCCGTTTCGAATTCGCAAAATAAAAAGATTAGTCACGCCGGGGTCAGGAAATGCGCCAACGCCCATCGGAGCACCAATAAAGGCTGAAGCAAGCCGGAGGCAAACAGATTTCACGTCCAAAAACGTTGATACATGGTCGCCTAAAAATGGACGAGAGAGGAAGAAGAAGTACGAGTTCACATCTGGAAACGCCGATACATGGATTTCTGAGCTCGTGAAGGAGAGGAAGAGGAGATACCTGGAATATGGGTATCTACGCCATCGCATGACCAAGAAGGAGTTGAAAGACTTTGAGAACTGGAAAAACGACTGCAAGAGGCTTTACGGATTTGCATCTTTCGGAGAAGACTACAAAGTCCCAAAAGTTCTCAGCTGGATCCAGGACCGGCAAGCCGTTGAACACGCGATCGAGCAATGGACGACTTGGACTGAGGAGCAGAAGAAGACAAAGTGGCGAAAGCTCATGTTCTCTGCTTTGTGGTCTTGCCCTGATCGAGCTGCGGCCATCCTCGAAATCACCACCCGCGATATAAAACCGCCAGGTTACGCCATCAGTGACGCTATTCACTTCATCGCAAAATGGCAAAGTCAACTATCCAGGTATGAATACGTTGAGCAGAGAAGACATCTTTGCAATGTGGCTGTGGCAGTCTTCGAGCGCTTTCCTGCGGGCTATATACCTCTGAGGCAAAACACCATCTTCATGATGACGCATGAAGTAGAACTGCCCCTTTTAATTTCCCTATACGATTGTTGGAGGGAAAAGGATGTCCAATTCCACAGCAATACTCTCCAAAACATGGCCAGACGACTTGCAGTCAGCCCTTCGCATAAGAAATTGGCTCTACAGTTGGCCATCGAGTCTATCCCAGATCAAGGTGTTGATCTCGACTCAGGGCTGTGGGCATCTTTGTGTACCTCCATCTTGAGTCTCAAACGTGGCCAAATCAATGTCGAGGACGGCTTTTCAGCTGCGGACGCATTCGTCACTCTGTTAGAGCATGGATTTGCTCCCAACATGGTTCACTATACGGCAGTGATCAGATCGCTGTGCCTGACAGATCAAAACGACGTTGCAGGGGAGGTCTTCCAGGTTATGCAACGGCACAACTTTGAACCAGACATCATCATGTGGTCTACTCTGCTAGACGGAGGCAAGAGGGCTCTTTCACCGTCGAGCATCGAATCTGCCGTCATGGGAGCTGTCGAGAACAACGAGATTGATGTGCCCTTCTTGAATGACCTCCTGATGTGCCTACTTCACTTCTGCAAGTGGACGCCCGGCATCATGCCGGCTTTTGGGCCAATGCTACACTTTTACTCAAAGGTGTTCCATTTGGCACCATTGCAGGCACTTCTCCCCGTGGACTTGTCGATGTACCTCGAGGGCCAAGAAGGCTTGCAGATGCCAGCGGACTGGGAGTTGGCCCGCCAACTATTTCCCACACTCGACAGGGCCATGTCCGCCGTCCATGAGAAGATGGAACCGACGAGCTCAACCCTGAGCATCATGTTCCTCGCCTATGTGAGGAGCATGTCGCAGCCCATCAACCTCATTTCGCTATACGCGTACCTCAGACAGGAGATTTTGAAGGGCAGCCACGGGGCCACTAAGCTGGTCCAGGAAAAGGGGACCTTCATGTACGACGTCCTTATCAAGGCGCTCTGCAAGCACCCAGGCATGCTCCGTGCTGCTTTGGATATCGTCGGTGACATGCTCAAGTACACGCTTGAAGAGCGGAGCAAATCAGTGGAGGCGGCAAAGCAATCCTCGAAGGGGAGGAGGGAGATCCAGAAGACCGAGGCCAAGGAGACTAGCGAGGTCAAGGAGACCGCGGAAAGCGAGGCCAAGGAGAGCGAGGTTCAGGGCAACGAAGTCAAGGAGACCAAGATCGAAATTGCTCCGGCGCCACTGCACCCCGCCCCGAGCGTCTTCACCTGGAGCATCCTCCTGCACGGCTTCAGCCAGGAGAAGGGCTCCGGCGACCGGATCCTCGCCCAGATGCGCCAGCACGGCGTCGAGCCGAACCTGGTGACCTGGAACACCCTGATCGCCGGCTACGCTCGGGCCCAGGACGTCAACAAGACGGTGCTGTCTCTCCAGCGCCTAGAGGCTTCGGGCCACGAGGCGGACGACTTTACGCTGCGGGCTTTCTCGCGGTTGGTCAACAGGGAGGCCGCTCTGAGGAAGATGGAGAACGCCCTCTCGCGGAGGGCAACGCTGGATGAGATGAAGAAGCTTCAGGAGCAGAGGATGGGGGAGCTGCCGCTTGGTCGGTCCTGAAGTGCAGGGGAGGCTTAGTGTCCTGTAGTCGGGTAATTTGAAGGGCTTAGGAGCTGACGAGACGTTGAATTATTCTGAATGGCAATATACCCACTCTTCTTATCTCTATCTCAGATGACGAGCACTATTCGACTGCTTTGGTTTGACTGTGACTCTATGTATGCTACCAGATTCTTTTATCTATTTTCCGAGCTTCGCATACGGGGATAGTCCAATCCTTGGATATATCCAAGTGGTGTTCCCAGTCACGCAGCCGAGAGTTGCTTCAAAGGGAAAAGGCCGCTTCAGTACACTTGGGTTCAAATAGAAGCCGGCACGGACTGTATGAAGCCGCCAGCAATCATGAAAGTCGGTTTGATTGACTTCGCGCCATCAATCTTTGTACACTGACAACACGACTTGGAGTTGCCTTCACAACTCAATCTTCTTGACAACGGAGAACGTGGCTTCATCCTACGTGTGATGCTGTATAGCGAGGTGAGTGCTGGGCAACACCTGGCAGTAAGCGGGGTTGGAGCTGGAAAAACAAAACACCAATAGCGAGGGAAAGTATCATGCGCCCTTGACGGTATGAAATCAGCAAAAGGGGCATTTTCTATTTCATATTGAATCGCGCAATATCCATCTCCTATCTCGACAACGAACACCATGTTTACTAGGCAATTTGCCTCGTGTGGGAGAGATCCATGGGGGATTATTGTATCTGTCTACCCCCTCTGCACTATGAGCTTCAATTAATTTATATAGACGTCTTGTGCGGACAAGTGCATTGCTTTGCACTGGAATGATTTACACCCTGGAAATACCAGCCTCATATTCCATCCCATCCGATCACTGTGTGCTCCTATTACATCCTTGGGCTATCGCCATCAGAGCACCAGACTAAGTGTTCGATCTAGTGTATTGCAGACATTCATAGCTTGTTCACTAGAGCGTCGGACCACCCTCACCGGCAATCGGACGAGACGACCCTTGTACTTTGCTAATCTTCTCGAAGCGGGCCTGTTTGAAACCCTTCGTGAAGCGGAGGCGTGCTGTCGTTTATAACATAGTTTCTTGCCAATTCGAATACCTGACACGAAGCTCAACTGCTTTGCTTTGAGCAGTGGCTCACGTGCGGCAGGACTTGCCATACATCCTAGGGCACGTACGCGGCGCGCTCAGCTTCGAAGGGAAGCTTTCTCTTCGGAACAAGCTGATAACTGGTCAAGGACTAGCTCTGTCACAAGACTGAAAAGACATCGCGGCATGCCAGGCATTAGGATGTACAACACTAACACTTCACCGTGCAAATTTCAAGCAGGAATCCTGACATTCGACGTATGCTTCATTGACCGAGCCTCGCTTTCGTAGCTACAATTGGTGTGTATATCATTACAAATCCGTTGCCCAGCCCCTGGCCGCAGTGGCCTGGCGCAATGAGCAATTTGGGAGCCCCCCCCGCCCTCTTGACGAGGCTATAACAAGCACTGAGCATGGGCTTTCAACCCTTCTCTGCTCTGACGGAACGCTGCAAGAACGCCCCAACCCCCTATTTCGTTTTCCTTATGTGAGCTTCTGCTTGATGAAGAATGACCGCAGGTGAGACAGTTGCCAGGTGCAAGTAACAGCGAGAACAGTGAGCTGAATAAGCATCCATCTGATGACACGGGCGTTGGTAGATTCGGACTGGTCTCTGAACTCGGCTTCGCGTTCCTAGTTTATCTCCGTTAGCATCGCATGGTACCTTGATACGCCATTGGCGCCATCGCGCCACCTCTCCCATTCCAAAATGGGGAAGGAGAACTTCATTCTGGGCTCTGATGGTGGAAGACTTACACGCTGGAAGACTTGCTCTCTGCGGATATCCTGCAGACGAGCGTTGAGGTCCTTGACGCGGGTCGCAATATCCTCGAGCTTGCTCTTGTCGGAGCTCTCGATTTCGGTGCTCTCACCAATGGCGAGGTCGAGTGTCAGGCGGATACCACCGTTGTGGGAGTGAAGCGAGAGCCAGCCGGCGCGGCCAGAAGTGGAGGACGGGGTGAAGCAGAGCATGTGGTCGCCGGCGTCGGCAGCCGTGAAGGTGAAACGGCCTGATGCCTGGCCACGCTGGGAAACTACACGGTGATCGTTGTCGAAGGTTTCCTATGCGGTGTAATAGTTAGCATGGATGTCTCGTTGCCATCGTGGACAGGGCAGTGGGAGTGTCCCAAGTGCCCATAGCTACGTGGTAGCTCCAAAGGGGGGCCATGCGAGACCAAGGGGGTTGACTTACATCAACAGAGATGTAGATGCTGAGACCATCGTGCTTGGCCCACTGATTGATCCGGTCATCCCACTCCTCGGCAGTGTAGTGGCCAACAACGAGCGTGTCCTTGGGGAGCTCCTCGAAGAAGCACTTGGGCGAGGTGCCGTCAATGTAGAAGTACAGCGCCTGGGCGACTGCACTCAGCGAGAGCAATGGGAGAAATGGTCTCATATTGTCGATGACGGAAGTTGACTTCTAAAGATGGATTTTAGGGCGAGCCGCGGGTATATCGGGGCAGGGTCGACTCGAATTCGTGGTGCTCGTCGTCTGTCGGCTGTCGGCTGTCGAGGGGGTTGAATTGGAGATGCTTCGTTTCTTCAAGTCGACAGCGCCAGGTCAGCCAGTTCGCTCGGGTACCCACATTAAAGTCCCAGGGTGCGCGGGAGCAACTTGCAAAGCTGCCACGTTCGAAAAATTGGTGGTGGAACAGGGGTGGCATTGGCCACTACTTGGGACCTTTGGGGGGATGAAGTGGATCACGTGCGGTTCCCAAACGACAGACTGCGCGCCTGCCAATGCGACTTTCGCGTCCAAAGAAATGTAGTTCTCTTTGGATTCGAGATTTCGGAGATATTGAAGAGCAGAAACAAGTTTGATCATCCGCCTTTCTTTCTCGGAAACCACACAATAAAACCACGAAGACCACTTTAATCAACGATTTCGCCTTAACATACCTCCATGATTCCCGTTTCCTTGATGCATGTACGAAACCCAGCGATAAATTGATGCCATCGAGCGGACTAGTGGCAATCGTCAATCGAAAAATAAAATCCGCCCTTCCGACCGGTCGCGCATCATCACAGCCACTTTCCTGCCGCCCTCCCTACCTGCCGCAACAATGACGTCCTCCGACGTGCGAGACGTCCTCAACCTCCCCGACAGCCACGCAGGCCCCCGACCGGCGAAGAAACAAAAGACATCAGGCCCGCGCCCGAATCTCAAGGGTCTTGCCCGTGAGGTCCAGAATCTGGGCGGCGACAACCCGATCGCCATCGTCCCCGAAGTATCGATATTCAAGAAGCGGCGATTCGCGAGCAGGAAGCCGGCGACAAAATGGGAACTCAAGCCCTTCACAAACTCGGCACGGGGCGACAGCGGCGCATTAGTGCTGAAGCACTGGAAACGCAAGACACCAACGGCTACGGAAAATGGGCAACAAGGTGGCGATGCCGACATGAAGGACGCGGAAGGAGAACAGGCGGCGGTTAAACCCGAGAACTCCATGTTTGCGAAATTCAACGTGGAGGTGGATGTGCCACAGTACAGCGAAGACCAGTATCGAACGAACCTGCAGAACGACGACTGGAGCAAGGAGGAGACGGATTACCTGCTAGGTCTGGTGAAGGACTTTGACCTGCGGTGGCCGATCATATGGGACCGATACGACTACTTACCAGAGGCGATCAACGGAGAGGCGTCGGCAGACGGGGACGAGAGTAAGGCTATCATCCCCGTGCCGAAGCCAAGGACGATGGAGGACCTTAAAGCGCGCTACTACGACGTCGCGGCAAAGATGATGGCGGTCCAGAAGCCCGTTCAGTACATGACACAGCCCGAGTACACCCTCCACGAGCTCATGGCCAACTTCAACGCCAACCAGGAGAAGCAGCGCAAGGACTTTGCCAACAACGCGCTTACAAGGAGCAAGGAGGAAGCCAAGGAGGAGGAATCACTACTGCTGGAGATCAAGCGCATCCTCGCACGCAGTGACCGTTTCAACGAGGAGCGTCGGGAGCTGTACAACCGCCTGGACTACCCACACACTGACCAAGACATCAGCGCATTCAAGTCCAGCGCCGGCCTACAAACTCTACTGCAGAACCTGATGAATGCCGACAAGTCCAAGAAGCGGAAGTCGCTCATGGCAGCAGACGGCGTCAGCCCCTCCGCGCCTGCGGGTCAACAGCCCGCGGCAGCAGCGGCGGCGGCAACGGCCGCGTCATCAGACAACAAGGACCGCCGCGAGAGCATCGCTGCCGCGGCGGCCGCTACGCCAGTGGAGAAGACACACAAGGAACCTCCCAGCAGCGTCGCGCAGACGCCGACGGCGCCGACCGGCGGAAAGAAGGGTCAGCAGGAACGCCGCAAGCTCTCCGATGCCGACATGCACGTCTACGGTGTCACACACCACGACCGCCTGTCCAGCGGACCGACATTCCGCTACGAGAAGATCAACAAGCTCTTCACACACAAGTCGAACCAGCAGCAGCTGCGTATCATGAACACGCTCAACGAGCTCGACATCCCGCCAAGGCTGGTCATGCCGACGGCACCGGTAACAGCCCAATACGAGCTCCTGCTCGGCGCCGTCAACAGTCTGCTCGACGCTAGAAAGGTCACGGACAAGATTGACGCCGAGATCAAGCTCGAGCTCGCCAAGAAGGCGGAGCGCGAGAAGGCGAACCAGCCGGAAGCGGACCCCGCTGCCGAGAAGAAGGAGGGCGAAGGCCAGGGCCAGTCTACGGATGAGAAGAAGGACAAGGCTGCTGCAGGGGGCGAGGGCGAGGGCGAGACAAACGCCGAACCCTCTGCAGCCGCTGAGCCCGCCAAGGCTGAACAACCCAAGACTAACGGGGATGCCGCCGGTAAAGAGACAACTCCAGCTGCGGAAGCAGATAAGGCAACCGCTGCTGCGCCGGCCGCGACGGAGGAGGGCAAAGAGGATGCGGAGAAGGAAAAGTCGGCGCGGCCGGGGAGTAGTGGGGCAACACATAAACGGAGCGCGAGCGTCATGAGCGCCGGGGGCGAGGAGAAGAATGCCAAGAGGCAGAAGAAGTGAAGCAAGTGAAGGCGATGTACCATCAAAGTACTGTCAGACAATCAGGTACTTTGAGTACTTTGCCTCCTCGCTACGCGCCGTGACGAGATGGATGAAGTGTCTTACGATATGTATAATCACACAAAGATGAGATTGAAGTTTGAACCTCGAGAAGTCATCTCCGCGCGTGACCAACCACCCTCTTCCCCTCCCCTCCCCTCCCCTCCCCTCCCCTTCCTCTTGGACCGGGGGAAGGGAAAAGGAAATGCGAGCGCGAAATATCGGTGTGAGGATATTGGTCAAAGGACCGCGGCATGTTTTGGGACCAAAACTTGGGAGTGTGGATAGGGACGGGACGGGAAGGTCTTCAGTGTTCATTGGGTATCGGGCAGAGCGAAGTGGACAAGCCGCTGCCGCCGCCTCTCTTTCTCTGGGGTTGTTTAGCAAGATGTACAAAGGCTTCAAACAAGGAAAAATGAGAAATAGGACTGCTGCTGCTTTGCCCGACGTCGCCAGGCAAGGTATCTTTGCTTCACGTGGGCAATGTGACCGGGGCTACGTCTGGATGATCTGCCCATGTCTAGATGATGTGTGTGCCCTTGTCTTTTGTGGGATGAAGTAGCAATGGAAAAGGAGGGATGGGACATGAAACAGAAAACCGCCGATAGGTAAGGTAGGTATGCAGAGGTGCCAGAAGACTGGCGGTGGGCAAATATCGAAATGCTGCGTCTCGAGGTGACCTTGTCGGTTTCGCCCCGCGCTTACAAGTGTGTGTATAGATATCGTGTAAGTGTCTTCTTACAACGATATCATGCCAGGGGTGGGGAGTACAGGGAGGCATATTTGACAACTCAAAATGGAGAAATAGAACAACTCTCTCTGCAGTTCGCTTCTTTCACAATTATAATTGCGGCGAGGAAGAGGTGGTTGCGAGAGATAAGGGACGCTTCGGTGTAGGGGAACCCATGAAGTTCAACGCGGGACGTGACGTCTCATTAAGCAAGATGCAGCTCATCGGCGGCTGCAGGTGAGGCAATCTTAATATAGCAACGGCAGCTAAAAATATCGACGTGGAGAGCGGTTACGATTGGGGAGGTGACTGATTATGGCATGCCGCTTGCCTCGGAGTCGGGTCTTGTAGTTTGCTAGGAGGGGGAGGGGGGGAGAACGAATATGACCGCACGAGGCTGCCAGGGCCCTTTAGATCTCCGGACCCGCCTTTGACGAGACTAGCCAGTCCAAGATGCAGATGATGTTGGTGAAGGTCTTCGTGCCACGATCGTGCTTCTACTGATTTCAGGGTCCTACTTTTTGCTGTGGCCATGGAGGGGGGGGTGTGTGAGTGAAAGGCGTCAAGGTCAAGCCGCGGCCGCGCAAGGGACCTAGTTGGCAATCTCGAGATCTTGCCTGCAGGGAGAAGAGTTTCATACGTATGGAGAGGGAGGTGAGATGAGGTTAAAAGCAGGAGGCGTCGACGTCGGCGTGACGCCTGGGAACAACAGGTTCGGCTCTATGTCTGGCCTCGGGTATCCTGGGCGCCGGTTCGTCGTGACGCTGTCGTCATGCTCGACGGCGCGGGATGTCTGGTCGCTTGCGTACCTTGCAGGGTCAGGAAGCTAGAGTCCTAGACATGTAGCTGCTCGCCCGGCGCGTACGTCGCACGGCGCGGGTACAGGGAGTAGATTGTACTCAGGTCTTTGGGGAAAGGGAGATCTGCAAGCCGCTTGGCCAAAGGTCCCAGGGCCAGGATTGGAACATGCTGTTGGGTCCGGTAGTTATTAATAGAGACCCAGGCGGCTCGAAAGTGTAGAATATCGTGAGTTTGGGAAGATTGGCTTGCCATGTTGTGAAGGAGAATGTTTCTAGAAGAAGGGTAGTCAGCAACGTGGAGTTTGACGTCGTCGTTTACGAGGAGAATGAGGGAGCGCTTATGAGTGGGCGCTTAGTTGGAGGCGAGCGACCCCATTCGCTGCAAGCCAAGCTGGCGTAAGGGTTTGTGTGATGGAGCTGCGATGTTGTGCATGGCGGAGATCTTGACACTTCTAAGATTAGAAACACGTCGGTTCTTTGATTAAAAGAGTTGTCTCTTCGATAACAATGGGTTTAAAGACTGACGTCTGAAAAGTCTTGGCCGAAAGAAATGAGGACCGAGGTGGTGAGGTTGAGAGGTGGTTGACGGGAAGTCGATACCATGTCCATGCTGACCATCTAAGTGGGCCACGTGCCTAGGTACGGATAGGTAGTAGGCAAGTGACGGGATACAGATGCTCGAAAGTTGAAACCGAACAAGCGCGCTTTTGTAAGGTATCCACCAGAATGGTATAGTTAATTGATTATTTCCTAAGGAAAGGCTGCAACGAACAATGACATTGAAGCTTAAGGTACTTTGCGGTGAAAGAGATTGGATCGACGATACGACCAGACAGGCACACAGGGCACTCCTTCCCTGCGCTTGTCAAGTTGAAGAAGCCGTGGTCTGCACCAAAGTACTGATGACTAATGAAGTACTATCCTCAAGTAAAGTGCTTTCCAGGTGGACACAGCGTATGGGTCGCGGGCCGGACAGTCAATCTGTGGAGTTACCTTCCACTGGGTGCGAGAGTCCTCCTTCCCACCTCACCTAAAGGAAACCATGGATTCTGTCCGGAGGAAAAGGAGCCCAAGGCAACCCGAGATCAAATGGAACGCGGCAGAATAAGGCACCCAAGGTACCTAGGAAACTGAGCGGGTGCTTTAAGCTCTTGCCCAGGTAGGTACCTTAGGTACAGTGTCCTAGGTAACTGCCTCGACAGTTCGGATACCTCCTGCCGCTTTTACCCGTTCTCCAGTTGGGCAAGTGGACAGTTGGGCAGGTACCTTCCATTGGTCCTTCCGCTGAGTTGTCAACTGGGCAGTTCCTCTGACATGGAAGGCCCCTTCCCCCTGTCAGCGCGCTTGAATCTCTAAGTGGGCTCGGTAGCCCCCAAACTGCGGATGTCCCGTCGCCCGCAAAGAACCAACAACTGCAGATCCAGTCCCAATGTCCCATCCATGGACCATGGCTCTCTCACCAACGTCAAGGGTTTTTCTAGACGGTGCTGAATCGTTTCTGTGCGACTCTCCACTCTGTCCTGTCGGATTGTTTGTTAGATTTTGGTCTCCCGATACACCGAGGCTCTCTCGCGCTCTCTAACGAGTCACCTTGGACGATTCCCATTCCCTTTCAGCAAATGCACGGCGCCACATTGGGCTGCCTTCGCCAATGAGACGCATTTCCAAACTTCGTTTCGGGGGCTTTGGACCAACCACGGGCTCAGGATCTCCAGAGAAATGTGCTCGGCGGCCTGCCTGACACTTCCACAAACTCCGGGGTGTGCCATTCGCATCCCTCAACCGTGTGCTACATAGTAGATTCGAACGCCATTCGTTGTTAGTCGTCAGTCGTCAGTGGCCAGGAATAGCAACATCGTGCAGGACATTGGATGGGACGAGACATCTCTTGCGGACGACCACTACCTAAACAAGAATCCAACACAATCTCATCCGGACGCCTAGTTGTTTCCAGCTCTCGCCTTCTCCGAGCCGGCCTCGAATCTTTGTCCATACAGTCCCCCTCATTTTCTCATACCGCAGTCAATCTTACTCTAGCCACCTTGCTATTGACCTAGGCGGTATGCATCACCGTCACATCCAACACACTCGACCGTCGTCAACACCAGATTGTACCTCGTCTGGCCAACTGTCCACCACTATGGCACTCTGTCCCGGCTCCCGCCATGCCTCGACGAGTATGTACACCTGCGTAGGTATGCTGCCGTGCGGCGTGCCCCTTTACCCCTGCCTCTGCTTACCCTACCTTAATGTCACAGTTTATCTCACCTCCACAATCCCTGATCAGTTGGTGACGGCACAATGCTACAGACGACGGACCAGGGGTTTAATTCTCAACTGCAAAAGAATACCTGAGTCCCTGACTTCTCTCATTCTCGAATCCCGTCGCCCCGCTTTTGTTTGCTCTACCAAGGTTCCCTCTTGGCCTCGCCGCTCTCGCAGCTCCCTGCAACCTCGGTCCTCGAATTTGCTCCATTTCAACTCTTGATCCTGCGCCTTTCATCCCCGCTCGCCCAAAGTCGCCCCTGCCTACTACGTTGGAGACCAAGATATGCCGCATTTGCCATGACACTCGACGCGTCGGCCATGTCATTTCATTATGGATCTGGCGAGACGGCCTCCTAACACGAATGACAACTCGGCTGGCGGCCCAGAGGTTCTGCGCTGTTTGCTACTGTTGCCTTTCTTCCGTGCTCCACATCGCGGTGGTCATTCCGCATTTGTCTGATCTTTCGATGCAACAGTGGACACTGTCACACAGATGAACAACGGTCAACCAGACACGATCCCGGAGTGGAAACCCCCATACGGCAAACACATTGCACCACTGTGCCGATGCTCTCAAACGCCTTCCATTTCGCCCCTCGCGCTTCTCGCTCCGGCCGGCCCCACGAGACGACATTCCCGCAATCTCTGACTAGGCTTTCTTCATTACCGAGCGACCAGGCAAAGGCTCACGAGCTCCACCAAGGCCAAGTTCGCACGCATACGGCTACAACTATTGTCTGTAGACTTGACTTAGAAACACTTTGCGCTGTCGCGTCGATAGACGCAAGCAATATGAGCTGTGGCTTTTCTAAAGGAACTTGGGGTATACCCCGAGGCCAGCGTCTACAGCCAAGCACTTGAGTCGGGCGATATCTTTGGGTGTCTGGTCAAAGGTACAACGACTAAGCAAGAACACAACTCCGTCTGCAAAGTCAAGTTTGGGAAGCCAACCATCTGCAAGCCGTCCGCCTTTCTTACTTGATGTCTTCCTGAATCTGACGGGCAAAGATATATTATGCCTTACCTTTGATATGCGCAATAGACAGTGAAGGAGGTGTACGCTTGTGCGTCTGTGTGTGACAAGATGTCAGCACTTGTGCAGCGAAATCGTGATAGCCGCATGGGTCTCCGGCCAATGCAGCACGCATCACATTAACTCTGATCTAAGCAGGATGTGAAGGAATCCATCGCCTGCGAGTCAAATTCTACGCGGTATCGCAAAGAGCCCATGACATCTCACCTCGAGCAACAGCATCTCATGGAACGAAACCGACGGGCCAGCGTAGTCCCGGTTGCTAATATTGGACTGCCGAAGATTGGGCAAGTTGCGCCGTCGAGAAAGTCTCGTCTGTCTCGTCACAGCGCAT